AGAAAATAGTAAATTAGATGTAGATTTGAGTTTAAATATATAACTTTTAATATATAAATGTTATAAGAAAGTGTTTATACCNCTTTAAGTCAGTGTGAAGAAGTGCATATTAGTGTAAATGTATATAGCAAAAAGGAAAGGTGTTGTATTATTGTATTCTGGTCCCATTCCTGTAGATTTCTGCAGATTCCAGTGCCATTCCTGTGGATTCCTGCGGATTCCGGTGCCATTCCTGTGGATTCCTCCGGATTCCGGTGCCATTCCTCCGGATTCCTGTGGATTCCTGTGGATTCCTGCAGGAATGGGTGGGGCACTGTAAAGTACTGGCTTTTGTTGTTAAATACAGATAACAGTGTAATTCCAGTGGAGTCCAGTTTTGTATTTAATACAATTGGCAGTCCAGTGGAGTCCAGTTTTGTGTTGAATACAGTTGGTAGTCCAGTGGAGTCCAGTAGAGTCCAGTTTTGTGTTGGTTGCCAAGGGGGGGGCAGGATTTGAATCTGCCATATGGGGCTGGTTAGTTAGTCCTGCCGTCAGGCTGTTAATTTTTTTAAATTTTAAGTACCAATTTCAGGTAATTTATGGGCTGGATGAGCTCAGATTAGACTGGTGCACGCTCTGAGGTGATTCACAAGCTGTCCTCACTTAACAAGTGGGATATTTCTCAGGATGACCCTGCCAGAACCAGTATGTGCTACCTATGCTTAGGATAATAACCCATTCTAAGAAGCCTGTATGATATAGATTGAGGGGGATATCTGAGACAATAAAACCATTATCTGTCCACATTGTGAGACACCAGTCCATTTGGGCACAGCTGGTCTTCTACAAGCAACACTAAGGGAGTAAGCAATGCAACAAGAACAAGCAAAGAAGAGAGAGGGAGAAGAGCACTATGCAATACCATCTTTTGTGTGTTGGACTGGATTGTGGTATCAATGACTAGGTTTGTGACCCATGCAAGAGCATAGGAAAAAGCAGAGGAAGGGGCAGCAAATGATTAATGAAGGTGCACAGTGTAGATAAGGTTGCAGCTGACACGACGCCCAAATGTTGCCCAAATGACACCCAAAATACGGTGCCTATTTATAGACGTTACCTATATATGGTAATTTATTCACATGCTAGTTAGTTAGTCCCGCCATAGTGGCCTTATGAAAAAAATCAGCATGATATATTAAATTAAAATTGTGTACCCCCCTTGTTGGTTGCAGCAGTGGAGTCCAGTGGAGTCCAGTCCAGTCCAGTTTTGTGTTGAGTACAGCAGTCAGTCCAGTGGAGTCCAGTTTTGTGTTGGGTGCAGCAGTGGAGTCCAGTCTAGTCCAGCTTTGCAGTTGGCAGTCCAGTGGAGTCCAGTTTTGTGTTGGGTGCAGCAGTGGAGTCCAGTCTAGTCCAGTTTTGTGTTGGTTACAGTTGGCAGTCCAGTGGAGTCCAGTAGAGTCCAGTTTTGTGTTGAGTACAGCAGTCAGTCCAGTGGAGTCCAGTCTAGTCCAGTTTTGTGTTGGACACAGCAGTGGAGTCCAGTGGAGTCCAGTCCAGTCCAGTTTTGTGTTGAGTACAGCAGTCAGTCCAGTGGAGTCCAGTAGAGTCCAGTCCAGTCCAGTTTTGTGTTGAGTATAGCAGTCAGTCCAGTGGAGTCCAGTAGAGTCCAGTTTTGTGTTGGTTGCAGCAGTCAGTCCAGTGGAGTCCAGTTTTGTGTTAGTTACGTTGGCAGTCCAGTGGCCAGTTTTGTGTTGAGTACAGCAGTCAGTCCAGTGGAGTCCAGTATAGTCCAGTTTTGTGTTGGTTGCAGCAGTGGAGTCCAGTGGAGTCCAGTCCAGTCCAGTTTTGTGTTGAGTACAGTTGGCAGTCCAGTGGAGTCCAGTGGAGTCCAGTTTTGTGTTGAGTATAGCAGACAGTCCAGTGGAGTCCAGTCTAGTCCAGTTTTGTGACAGTATGTAGTGAAGTCTCAATATATAGTGAAGTCCAGTGGAGGCCAGTGGAATCCAGTGGAAGCCAGTGGAATCCAGTGGAGTCCATGTGGATTGTGTGGGGGATGGTAAAGTATTGTAGTTCATGTAAATCATCTTGTACCTACTGGCTCACATAAATAATTTAGTTCCCTGCAAATATTTCTAACCAGAAATTTTATTTACAAAGGCCTTGGAGCTGTGGAAAGGACTTCATGATGCACATGGTGAGCACAACGTTGGTGCAACATGCACAGACTTGCACTTGTTTAGAAGCTACAAAGAATGTCAATAAACCTACCAACTCACAATTGCAAATTTTAATACATATTTAGTTGAAAAACTGGTCTTGAACTGGTTGTAACTAGTTCAGACCAAGACTGGTCCAAAGACTGAAAAAGACTGCAGGATTAGTCTTTTCCAGTCCTGGTCTGGTCTTTTGAGGTTTTAGGAATTGTGTGGACCAGTCTAGGTCTCAGTCTTTTTATTTTGGGTCAAAAAACCAGACTGGACCAGACTTTCAAGCACCAGTCTAAAGAGAGTTCTATCCTCTGTAAGTCAAACTATTAAGTCTTAGATATGTTGAACACTTATCATCAAGTTTTTGTAAAGAGGCTCTAAGTCCAATGACTGTAGAGTTTGAAAGTGATCTTAAGTTCTGAGGGTCTGAGGATTGAAATAAGCTAGATTGTCTAGATACAAGCTACCAAATACAACCTGCTTATATACTAGAGGAATGAGTAAGCAGAAGTCAAAGGAAATGAGTTGTTATAAGCTGTGTAGAGTCATATGAATCATATAGTATCTAGGAGAGCTCATATGAGTCATAAGAGTCATACAAAGTCCATACAATGAGAAATATATCTTAATAATGAAGATGAGTCACAAAGCAATAGAATGTGGGTTATGGGAATAAGTAGATATGAGTGTGTGTATGATGTAAGAAAAAGAGTTTGTAACAATAACACATTGGCTCTGGCCACAGTTGATATGGACTCAAACCTTGCACTCAATAGTGTCCACTAGCCATTTCTCTACTCCATGGGCCACAAAATTGGCACTACCATTGAATGCTTTTATGAAGCTGGTGAGAAACATTTGCTCCAGTTTTTACCATGAACAAAGTTACTAAAGTCAAGTATTGTTGGACTGCTGTTGAGTACATTGATCATTCTTGGAAAGAATAAGCCCCGTTTAATGCTTGATGGCACCCAGAAGAGGTATGGTATGCCAAGGATTGGGACATCACAGACATCTTCCTCCCAGCCCTCCATACAGTCATCTTCCTCCCAATCCCCCATGATCCAATTAGAAGTCCCTCCAATTGGATAGAAAATATCAGGTTTACCCTTGAAAACATGGGATATACTGTCATCTATATCAGTGTCAATATTATTTCCAGCTTCAGATAGCAAGAGTGTGGATGGCAATGCAACTGAAGAAGCTGAAGGATTTAAGCCTGTCCAACCTATCTGAGCATCCCAGAGTCTGATGGTTTTGTCTGCAGATCCAGAAGCAATATGCCTACCATCAGGTGAAAACACAACTGATTCAACACTGCGGTAATGGCCTCCTAATTCTACCACAGCATTACCAGTTAGAGCATCCCAGAGTCTGACACTGTGGCCATAAGAACCAGAAACAATGTACCTCCCATCAGGAGAGAATGCAACTGAACAAACAGTATCACGATCTTTAAGAGGATCCATCACACTTTGACCTGTCTGAAAATCCCACAATCTCACAGTTCTATCAAGAGATCCAGATGCAATGTACTGTCCATCAGGAGAAAAGGCAACAGACAGAACATGATACTCATGACCTATGAGAGGATTCATAAGACTTTGGCCTGTCCGAGCATCCCAAATTCTGATTGTTTTGTCTCCAGACCCAGAGATAATGTATCTACCATCTGGAGAATATGCAACAGAACTGATGCAACCATTGTGACCTATGAAAGGATCCAACATACTATGCCCTGTGCACACATCCCAGACTGTAACTGTCCTGTTGTGAGACCCAGAAGCTATATGTCTACCATCAGGAGAAACTGCAACTGAAGAGACTTGATCACTATGGAGAATGGGAGGTTCCAACAGACTCTGCCCTGTCAGAGCATCCCAGATTCTGACTGTGCAATCAGCAGATCCAGAGGCAATGTAACTGCCATCAGGAGAGAATGCAACAGATTGAACCATGTCATCATGACCTTTTAGTGGACCTACAATACTTAAACCTGTCAGGGTATCCCAAACTCTAAGTGTTGCATCATTGGACCCAGAGACAATGTGTTTGCAATTAGGAGAAAATGCAACTGATTTTATTCCATCATAATGGCCTCTTAGATAATCTACCTCAGTGTGACTTGTTGCTGCATCCCAAACTCTGATCCCAAAATCAGATGCAGAAAGAATGTACTTGCCATCAGGAGAAAAAGCCACTGTTGAAATTCCCTCACAATTCTCTTCAAGAATACTCAACATACTCTGACTTTTCAGAGCATCCCAAAATCTGATTATGAAGCAATCAGTTGCACAGATAATGTCATTTCCATCTGGAGAAAATGCTACTGATTCAATAATCTGAGAGCCTCTAAGGAGAATCATTATGCTCTGACCAGATAGAGCATTCCAGACTCTAACTGACATGTCATAAGATCCAGAGACAATGTGCCTCCCATCAGGAGAAAATGCAACTGATGTAACATTGCTATTATGGCCTTCAAGAGGATCTATGACATTCTGACCTGTCTGAACATCCCACAATCTGATTGTCTTGTCACTAGATCCAGAGACAATTTGCCTGCCATCAGGAGAAAATGCAACTGAAGTAACTTCTTCATCATGCCCTTTAAGAGGATTTATGACATCCTGACCTGTCTGAGAGTCCCAGACTCTGATAGTCTTGTCATTAGATCCAGAGACAATGTGCCTCCCATCAGGAGAAAATGCAACTGATGTAACATCATCATTATGGCCTTCAAGAGGATCCATGACAATCTGACCTGTCTGAGCATCCCAAACTCTGATTGTCTTGTCGTTAGATCCAGAGACAATGTGCCTGCCATTAGGAGAAAATGCAACTGAATTGATACAACGATCATGGCCTTTGAGAGGGTCCATGACACTATGACCTGACAGAGCATCCCAGACTCGAACAGTATTATCATAATGTCCAGAGGCAATGCACCTGCCATCAGGTGAATATGCAACTGCCTCAGTAATACTGTCTATTCTCAGAAGACACCTGTCAGGCCAATTACTCCTCTCACCATTCTGAACTCTCAAAGTGTTTGCAAAGTCTTTCATAAAGTGCATAGATATTTGAGAATTGGGTGGTGCAAATGGCAGTGCTGATATGTATATGTGTGGTGCTGCCTCAGATATTGGCTGAAAGAATGTCATTATAAATTGGTGTGCATCATTTGCAAACTCTGATATACTTGGTTTCACATCCTATAATTTATTTGTTGAAGTCAGTAAGATAGTTATTATTTTGTGGCTGTATCACTTACTCTGCTCCAGTTTGCAACTAACAATAGTATTTGAGCAGCATGGTTAACATTTTCCATTATGCTCATGACTTCTAGCCAATGCAAAAGATGGTTCATCATAAATTTCTCCATTTCATTTATTACCCCCTCTACTAAAATCTTATCAGAACACTTTTGGAGATAACTTGCCCAGAATAGGCTTGCATGATTTAAAGCAGTAGATTTTACATTCTCAATATGATCTTTCAATTTTGGAATTTCTCTATTATCAACATGTGATGTTTTCAGATCAAAAAAGTTGAACTTGAGCTTTGCACTCATGAAATTCATGCATGACTCAGCAAGACAGAGACTGTGCTTTTTGGAATCAACCCAAAAGGTCTTAGAGCGCTTTGGGTCAAGCATGAAATCTGTGAATGACTTATGGCAAATATGCAAATGGCCAGCATCACTGATTAACAGTACTGGGCTCAGTTGGCTAATTATTGACAATGCATTTCGAACTCTCAAAAGTTGTTCAAGATCACTGGCACGAAGTGGATCCTTTGCAATAACAATTGCTCCTAAAACAGATGATAAAGCTTCTCTTTCTGCTTCTCTTAATTCCTCAAAAGCAACAAAGACAATGTGCTGGTACAAGGCATCAATGGCATCAATGCCTTCACCAGAGTCACAGCAAATGACATTCAGCCTTTCTTCAGTGTCACCACCTTTGTACAAGATAAAGTCCATTGCAGATTTAGCCCAAATAAAGAGGCCTGCCGCCCTTCTTATAAGAAAAGAAATTTTAGCTGGACCAGGCCAGTTCAAATGTAGTGATAATGTTTGCAATCTAGTCATTTCAGAGAACCTTGTAGTAAAGTAAAGCTCAAGATCTTTAGAGGTCTGATCAGAAACTTTATCTCCAGTGTGAAGATCAATATGGTAACTGACAGAATTCAGTGCACTCTGAATATCAGAATAACGACGACTTGTGATGAAAAGTTTCAGAAACTTGGGAAGCTGCCATGACCAGGATTCTAATGAAGGTAAAAGTTTTTCATACTGATCACATTCATCAAGTGCATCAATAACAATTAGAAGAGGTGCTGTGATTTTCTGAAAGACCTCCTGAATTGGTTTGATGATGAGATGCTCAAATTGCCCAGAAATATCAAAACCTCTGAGGTTAGCTTTCTGTGTCTCTAATGCCTGAGCTATAGATTTCCCTAGAGTATCATTTCCAAGTGCAAGATCTAAAGCAAGATGTCTCCATAGATTGTTTGGATCACAAAGCTCAGCCTGATCACGATGAAAGAAGAATTGCCCAGAGAAATAATCAGAGTCAGCAACAACAGTTGATGCAATTGTTGTCTTTCCAGAACCAGGACTTCCAGAAACCCAGAGAATATTTGGCATGTTCAGATCATGAAGCCACACTTGAATATCTCCAAGCACATTCACACGAGTTCCAGGCATGCACCTCTCTCCTTGTTTATGTGAAGGAGCCTTCAATTCTTTCAACCATTCACTTCTCTACAGAATTAATTAGTGTCAGCCCTGAATACCAATTAGTCAGCATAACTTACCTTTGATTCCTCTACCCTTGTTTTGATTTTACACTGGAGTTCCTCATTACCATTGTAGTTGACCTGTATGATGAAAGTGAAATTAGCATAAACCTTCAAATGAAAACCTTTACTAACAGTATTTGCAGCAATAATTACAGATTGCTCCATCTGAATGTCTCGTGCCCCAGCAAAGACAGTTACTTGAGCTGCAATAGTACCTTTTGAGAGGAACAATGAAAATTAGGGAAATTTAGATGTGTCAGTTACAACTGATTAACTTACCATCTTGATTGGCCTCTGTGGTCCTCAGCTGCTCAGCAGTCTCTGTGCCATCAGCTGTAAAGAATAATATATAGTGGGGAATATAAAAAAATGGATGCTTCAACATACTTCGGAAGTTGTCCTCGTACCAAAGAAAGACCTAAATTTTGGTGTCAGTGGGCCAATTAAACAGAGAACTATTTTACACACATGAAAAGAGCTTATGATTTCATTCACCTTTCCCTCAAACTTCTCAATATATTCTGTATCTTGTGTATAGCTGGGAAATTTCCTCAAACTCTGCTGGTGAATATCTGAAACACTTTCTTTTAGATGGTCCAAGGTTCTAATAGATTATCCGAATTCAAATATATCTATGACAACAGTCAAAGTCACACACCCTTTTAAATCCTCAAGCCAAGACTGCAAAGCAGATGGAACCTGATCCTGGCGAAATTGACAGGTATACCAAATGATCTCCTCAACCTTCCCCATAAGATTATTCGAACAAGCGGTCCAGGCTCTCTTGTTGGAGTTGAATTTCTAATTTAATCCTCAGATATGGTAAATTGATGAGAGCAAAGCCAGGCACCATGACGATCTCAATGATACCCAAGGCCTCGACGACAGCCAACTTCAAAGGTGGAAAGGTGTCATCAAACTCGGCCACAGCTTTGAGTGTATGAAGGCCGGTGCCTCCGCCAACAGCTTGCAGACGTCGGTTTGCGAAGTTGGGATTCAATTCACTAGTATTCATATTGAAGTTGGTGTTCTTGTTACTGGTAGTAGCGTTTGCGTTTGCGTTCGTGGTAGTCGTGGTTGCGAAGAGACCTGGAAGGAACACTACCAGCTGCATTGCCTCATGGCCGTGGTCACGCCCATATCTATTTTTGAACTAGAATGCTGTTATCGGACGCTCACGGAAATCGATTGGTTTCTGCGGTCCGAAGTTCCTTGAGATAAGGAACCCTACCGCTTCAATCTGTAGTCTACGCGGCCTACGTCTACATCCCAATTATCGCTCCAAATCCATTCACATCAACGTTTGGCACAAAGCACGGCCCTCGCGTATCATTCTGCTCATGGCTCAAACTAATGTTAATGACGGTTGTGCCTTTACACGACCCACCGCCCATTTCGCAATCGAGATCGTAAATTTGGCGCCCACCTATGCACTTTCAAGGACCCGGGCAGTTACTACTAAAACCAGATTGCAGGGCACGGCTGCTTGGCACCCTCCAGGAAGTATGGCAGTGTAGGGAAAAGCGAGCCAAGTTGCGCATTCTTCTTGATGTGGGCCTACCCTGCTGATTGTCCATTTTAGACCGAAAAGTTGACCCCACTGTTAACAGTGGAGAGAAAAGTTACCCAAGCTTCCCATATATTATTCTTTGTTGATTCATTGAACACGCCGCCCGAGAGCGAGTTTGATCATACCTGTCGAACGAATTTGCTCAAGTGAGCGCGGTGTGGGAACCGCCAGAAAGAAACTGATGACAAGACAGCGGCATATAGAAAGCTTAGCATCTGAGAATGAAATCACAGCGAATAGGCAACGTCAGCAATTCGTATCAGGATATTAAAATGTTGCTACCTTACAAGTTGACGATGATCAGCTATCAGGCCTACCATCCATTATATTTTGAAGGTCAAGGACTTGGGTCCGAGGTTTGCCAGGCGAGGTTCCTTGGTCATCGCACGATCAACGGCTGAGTTTCATAACTCTGTTCGTACTACCCCGTCCAAACCCTATCAGTATCCATGTAGATACAACCCATGTACGACTCCTAACGTTGGAAAGAGTTCATGATACTGGCCATTATGACAATAGGCCGGAGAAGGGAATTGGAATAGAAAAGAGTGCATTACCATTATTGCCTGACCCTCTACGTTACGATTGATATCATCGATGGGGTACCAGCCATAATTCCTCACGGGGTGGGGAGCCGTATGGCACCCACGACGCTGCGTAGCAAGGAGCTGGATTCTGAAGCATCAACAGAGTAATCATCGTTTGTAGGGAGAAGAATACAGTACTGTTGTATCGCGTCCATAATTCACGTCCCAACGAGCCGTCGTAGAAACCACTCTCTCCAGTACGGTGTGGCATCTTATCATACTCAGAGTGCACCCCCTTGGCAAACGCGGCGTACGGGACTTGTGGTAGCTTTGGATTACCTAGTTGTCATTGAAGTGCGGTGTTGTGCAGAAAGAATACTAGGCCTCTTTTGGCGGAGGCTCTGTTGGAGGTTCGCCCCATTCCGGTACGACTCTTCCTCGACCTAGGCACTCAATTTCTGTAACGTCTCGCTTAGTATGGAGCCAGAAAGTGAATGAAGGTTGGACTGGCATACGAAGTACTCTTCACGTAAATCAAACTTCTTGCGATTCTTGTACAGCTTGGGTTCTTGTTCTTTCGTTTCCTGGACCAATCAATACGCAGCATAAGCGAGACCTTTCAAGAAGTAAAAACAATCGCACTGTTTGACTTTGAGTGAATGTGCTGAGACCGAAAGGCGCGATAACCATAAGAACGAATGAAACCCCAAAGAGAGCTGGGTATTTCCTGACGGTCTGTGCAATGGGCTATGAGTTTCACAGGTCTCGAAGGGAACACGGCAATCCTTGGGATTTCTCTGAGTCCGTGGTGGTTGGGAACTGTCGGCAGTGGCGGAAAGTCCGGAACCTTTCATTGCACTCTTTCGAGTGTGTATGCATGCATCGCGGAAGCATAGGTAGGCTCGCTACCAGCCGTGATGGACGATTTGGGATCAGAATACTTACCATAACTATGCGGCCTTATGCGGCAGGTGGATATGTGGGCACAGCCTTCAACAGACTCTATGATGGTCGTTCTTTGGCTCTCCGTTTTAGAATCGCGGGGCCATCAGCTTGCTCGTCTGACCCGCTGATATGATCTGGGCGTGACGCTCGGCTTGTTATCTCATCCCGCCAAACCCCTCCCCTCCAAAAAAAAGCGTAGTCAAAGAACCACATCGAAGCTGGAGATCACTTGCACGGCCAGTCGCTAAACGCTTCGTAATTTAGAAAAACATAGTATATGGCGGTGGTTTAGCATACCCTCGCTCACTGGACAAGTTGCAGAGTCGATTCTTGCTTGTTGATTTGAGCGTTTCCGCGAAAACTGGTCAAGAACTTGAGGATGGCATCTTATAGAGATTTTGATGAAGTAAAGTACCTACTTAGTATGCACCTATCCAGAATTGTCGGAATCGACTGGCAAAAGACGAGCGTGAGAGTTGCGTGAGAGGACGCGTCGTACCAGTTCTTCGAATGTTCAATGTCGCAATCGACTGGCAAAGATGAACGGTGAGATCTTGAGAGGACGTTTGGTACGAGTTTGGTACCATTGCTTCGAATGCTTTCTGGAACGGCGCGCGCACTTCAGAGTCACTTCTACTTGACCTGGCTTGGTGTTTATGTAAGGTCGACGACACAATTTCGAATCTGTCACGACGTTCATCACCTCCTGTCTTCCCACAAACATCGCAAGAAGTTCGACTTCGTACGACTCTATCATTATGGCTCCACAGTATGTGAGACATTACAGAAACTGTGTGCCGAGGTGGGGCGTCTCTCCAACAGAGCCTCCGCCAGAAAAGGTCCTAGTAGCTTGCATCCCGTTCAACTCAATTTCAACTGGTGGATTTTGTTGGGTAGGTTGCCATTCTGCTATTACATTTCTTGGTACGTCTTTAATCAACCTTTGGCGTCACATCTCTTTGATTGACCGCTTGCTACACACTGACAGAGATGGCTTGACGGTGATGTTCCATCTGCGCAAATCAGCACTCTAAAGACAGTTAGGCAACCGAAAGCTACCACAAGTCCAGTTCAAAGTTTAACGCCCCATTGAAGATACATAGGTATCACCGATCTGTCCAGCAGCCACAAACTTGCTTACAGTTCTGTCAAGGTCACAAGTTCAACGTCCAACGCCCCAGATATACGAATATCATCACCAGCGAGCCCTCACAAACTCCATCGCAGGCCCATCTGGACACCCAAGGGGAATCTCTGCGCCCACCCTTCCACCATTGCCTTCATCTCCTTCAACCTCTTCACGTCCATCGTCGAACTGCTCACAAAGACCGTCGACCCATTATGTGTGATTGGCACCTGTATCACCCCACCCACAGATTCCATTGGACCCGCGTCATAAGTTCCGTCGTCGATGACGGAACATTCTGCACCAAGAAGGCAGAAGGGCTTATGGTTCTTCCAGTCAGCTCTGGCATTCTTTGCTGCAGTAGGAGGGTTTCTTGCCAACGTCGCATTTTCCTGAGCCTACCACCTGTTGTTAGAACGGGCCCGGACGGACGGAGGAAAAAGAGAGAAGTCGTACACTTGGATAACATCTTCCCTGTATCAGCCTCAATACCACACCCCACGGCTGCACACCGGTATCTCTGTGGGTTTTTCAGCCTCTTTGCCTGCATCTTCTCCCTCTCTTCCGCAACCTGCTTGTTTCTATCCTTGTAACCGTCAACCGCGTCTTTATAGAGCAAACACAGCTCTGGCACGTTTTTCGCCATGCGTTTAAGGACGTGATGCATGAACTCGAGAATCGCAGGGGTTACATGAGTGGAGGGGGGGTTGATCATACGACAGAGGCGCGCGGCGATGTTAGCATGGTGGCATGCTGCTTGGACGTACCGACTCTGCAAGTCGGTTCGCAAAGAGTAGAGATGCCAATATATCAGTGCCCCGTGGGCGGTTGCTTTGGTTTTGTCTGAGGCTCCCGGGGAAAGGATGGCTTTGATAAAGTAGACGCGGGATTTGGGGCGGTCCCGGGTGCAGCACAGACCCACTGAGAGTCTGTTGTGAAGGGATGAGAGGATGTTGTTAGGGTGAAAGAGAGGGACTCACCTCAACCCATAATCCAACGCAGCATCTGCATCCCCCGCATCCGCGTCAGCTTTGACCTTCCCCTCGGGTCTCTTATCCAGCACCTTCAAGAGAACTTCCAGCTCCCTCTTCACCTGTGGCATAAAAGACTTTGAATCCACCTGACTCGGGTCAGGGGGACGTGAATTCGTCCACGTCTCGATATACCTCAACGCAAGATTGACCCTCTTCACTTCATCTGATTCGTCGGTCGACTGTGACCGACGCCGGGGCGACATCTCTTGGGGGTCAGGTTTGAAGTTCCAGAACGTGAATGGCTGTGGTGTCGTGATAGCCGCGGACCCAGTACCTGTATACCCAGCAGCCGTTTTGAGGTTGGCGAAGAGGCGCGTGAAGGCTTTTTGCATGATACGGTTTGTCTGGGTTTTGGACAACGTGATCGTGCATAGTTCGAGAGGGCGAACGCCAATCCGCTTGAGCTCGTCGCTGACGGCAGATGCTAGGTCCTTATCTTCCGTCGTCAACTTCCATGGTGCGAACGCCGGTGGGGCGTTGGTTGTCGTGGATTGCCCAATGTTGTTGACAAAGGCATGGAGGAAGGCTTTTGCCACTTCTGGTGCGGCTTCTTTGGCTGATTCAGGAAAGTATTCGATGCCACTTTGGTTGGTGGGTAGGCCTACGGGAAGGCGTTCAATGTGGATGATCTGGGACTGGGGTTGGATGAGGGTGATGATATGCGAAGGGTTTGGTTCGAGTTGCATGTAACGGAGATCGAAGTGCCACTCGTTGAGTTCTTCGTCCGAGGGCGCTGTCTCTTTACGAGGGAGTGCGTTGAATGCTTTCACGAGCTCGGAAGTCATTTTGTTGATGTAGGTGCTTTGATTGAGAATGCTTGAGTTTGGATATTACTGTCGAGGACCAAATCTGGTTGGCTTATTGGTGTCTATTAAAGACTATGTTAGCCCAGTAGAGCTACTCGAAAAGAAATCAGACGTCCTTACCACAAATGTGTGTCTATGGAATGGGAAGATTTGTCGGAATCAGGGAAATTTAGAGTGACGACTATAAATAACAAACCGGGCCGCACCCACTTGACTTCTTTCATTGTCCTTTGGCCACACCTCATCACCTTTCCTTTTTCTTTTTGTTGCCAGTGTCACTCTTACAACACCACTCATCGTCAGGTCCCTGACAACCGCTTTGCTACCTCCCTCGCCACGCACACTACTAATACCGACTAAGCAAACACTTGCGTGAACATTCTTGTTCTTGTCCAGCCACACCTTGCCCACACCGTTTATGTACAGACATTCAATGAAGCCCAATCTTCACAATGGAACTCAGCCCCTTTGCTTGGACGTCCTGGCTCGGTGTACATCCGTCGCGACGTTGTTCTCCATTCCTAAATTTTTTATCCCCCGCGCGTGCCGTCTGCTATTTCGACCTCCAAGCCAGGGACTCCAAGTTGATAACTTTATTGCTGATAGACTACTAGCCAGGCCTTAACTCTGACTTTTACTGGCGGACTTCATGCACCTCTAATTAAAAGGCACAATGAGGCTATACATGCACCACCTCAGGATCGTTCAGCCGCGTCTCTGTTTCCAGCTTGAATGGATGCGTTTACAAGTAATGTGGTGTCGCGATATTCCACCGTTGAATCGCGTTGAGAAAGAAGCGATAAAGCGTACGGCATTCCAGAGAGAAGGTTCTTTATTGACCAACTAGACACCCTTTGTTCAAGATCCCACCGAAGAGTCTGAACACCTCTACCAGCGTGCACATGTCCAAAGACGTGCAACATTGGCTTAACGTCCTGCAACCTCTCGAGTAATGCTACGCATCCTGCATGCTGAGATCCTACAGTGTCCATATGGCCATGTGGCGGCCCATGGGTAACGAGGATGTCGATGTGGTGAGGGATAGATGCCCACACATCACGAGCACGATCAGGGAGTAATTTCGGCTGTGGATATTGAAAGGCCCAGTTTCCGTATTCTGGAGTGAATGGTGACCCAAAAACCGTCAGAGTTCTTCCGCGTATATTTATTTGAGTACCCAAATGTTCTATCGCAAAAGGCTTTGTCGAGAGCTTTATCGTGGTTGCCTGCAACAACTATCTTGACAGGGTGGGGCAAGGAGGCGATCCAACGGACAGCGGAGCGCACCTCGTCTGCTGTGCCGCTCTGGGTTAAATCACCAGCATGGATCAAGACGTCTGCAGGTACTATAGGGTTGCATTGTGTGTATCCGAAATGCAAACCACACAGAGAGTGGAAGTGATGGAGGGTGTAGCAGTAGCCATGCGGCAATTCGGAGTCAACAAAACCAAACCTTGACTTGACCTTGACGCATGTCTTTTCGAATCTACGTTTGAGGCTTACCTACGAGGCATCGGACTTTGGTGGCTGCATCTCTTTCACCGCCAGTCGAACCTGCCACCCTCTGTGGATGAGCAGTGCTCGCTGAACCTTCTTCCGTTCGCAGGCACCACTCATGTCGCTATCATCCTTCACTGCGAAATAATAACTTCCCTGACACTGTGCTCGCTTCCCTGTATCGACTCTACGAATTCTACATAATAGACGACACAATTTCCTTCCGCAATGAGATTGAACGGTTTTGGCACCGTCACGATTGGCAGGTCCACGCAATACCCGATCCATCAGATACCGATCCTTTGAGATACTCGGCGGCCTCACTGAGATTCTGTGTCACTCTTTCAATCGGCTCATAAATCTGGGACTCCCACGGGATTCCCCTCCCATTGTGGGGGACTTCACTGCTCTAGCGGCCCTTCCAAAAGTACTTGAATGCCCACCCGAGTGGCTGGCCAACGTACAGCCTCTGCTAGAAGCAGTCTTTGTGCCAAATGGCAAAGGCGAGAGGGTGGCGGAATAAAATAGCTCGCTCGTCTTTAGGAACTGGAATATCTTTATTGAGCATCCTCATAGCTATTTCGTCTGGTGAGTACATCCAATCCTTCTGACTTTGAGGTGAATTATTGATGCCTCTTGGCCACATCCGCAGATCAACCTGTTCTCTCGGATTGTTGCAGGCGTGAAGGCTTTTTGCATGATACGGTACGTTTGGATCGTGCATAGCTCGTGAGGGCGAACACCGATCCGCTTGAGCTCAATTGTCTTTTCCACTCAGATCGTTCAACTATACAGAAGTGGGGGTTGCGCCGTCTTGATTCACAGATGGCCTTCTATTCAGGCCTCAGATTCGGTGGGGAGGTGCTCATAAGCTTGATTCGACGTTCAAAACCCAATCTTTACAATTGATTCGGAATTAGTTACTAAGCCCCTTCGCTTTGACGTCGTGTTCCACTCGTACATCCATAGCGACATTGTTAGTCTCTATTCCCCCCTCCCCGCACGTGCCATCTGCTATCTGCGCCTTCACCGAACAAGTCCTTAGAAATGGTAATACTCAGCTGTTTCATGTAATATTGATGATTGGCTGATAGCCAGTCTTTTACACTGGCGGACTGGCGTAATGGTTAACGCGCCAGTTTCCGGTGTTTGCACAGGGACCACAAGTGGTAGCTGGAGATTTCTGGGTTCGAGTCCCAGGTTCGTCGGTTTTTGACCCGGAAGAGCGAGGGACTGGGTTGAACTCGAAAAAACTGCATTACACCGGCGGCTTCACGATTCCTTGGCTAATCTTGTAATACACAATTGATGCGTCCTCCGACGTGATGCCCAGATAGATCTCTTTCGTGTTCAGCTGCGAAAATGCAGCTTGTAGCCTGACAGAGATTTGATAGTTCAACACGAATGAAATTCAGAGGGATGGCAGACCTACCAGGCAAAAGAGACTGTCTCGGATAGAGAGCAGGGTACCACATGTAGCACCGCATCCTGCTTATAATCGATATTGAAACCTGAACAAAAAAAGGAGAGGGAAAGAAAACGCACCGTGTCTTTTTTCTTCCCTTGGATAGCACCCCGCTCACACTTGTCAAGGTCGACAACTTGGACGTTTTGCCATTGTTGAGCTAGGTCTTCGATGTCAGATGATTTCCTCGTAGGGGTGTAGAGAGTGTCTGACTGTATACGATGTCGTTGTACGCTTGGAACAGGCCTGATGCGGCGCGAGGATATTTTTCGAGTAGGTTGGCGAGGATGGGGTGCTGTACTTAGGTCGTTAGGTATGATCTTGTGGGGAGGAGACTGAAAGGTACCGAAGGATGGGATTCCATTTTACAAAGGTTGAGAGTGACGCGTTGGTTGATGATGGTGTAGGAGAGAAAGTCGTGACAGGAATGCGTGCAAAACACATACGATGTTAACCGGCGTTGGAGATTACAAAAACAAACGTGTAGTCTCTAACTTCGGCCAAGAGTGTTGTGTGTTAAAAAAATTCAGGCGGGGAATATTTAGCGTTTCCACAGTAAAGAGGCCCCATTAGAGAAGACAAGATAAGGCGGCTTTCCCGACGTGCGGGCTCGAAGTGTCTAACTTCAGGCAAAGTTCAACTTGAGGCCTCAAAATAACACCTAAGGGATATAGAACCTTTGGCTATCCACTCATATTCTTTTTCATTGCACATGCTAGTTAGGCGCCCATAGAACCCTATCAGCGCCCGCTCCGCTCTCACCCGCACTCCTATCGCCCATTCTCGTCTCACCAGCTTCTGGGCTACCAGTACCAAATCAGCTGCGCAAGCCCGTCCAGAATCATTTGTGTCTCCAGCTTCGCCCTCGTCTTCATCTCCAACAAACCCGGGCCTTGTTCCTCCAGCAAAAGTGAAGTCCTCATTACGTGGGTCCGTACCCAGGAAGAGGAGCGGCGACTTTTATTGCAGGCGATAGCAGAGGGAGATTCGGGAAAGGATCTCAGCGGGGACGTGCCCATGGCTGTCAGTAATTGCGACACAGACAAAAGCAATGGCAAAGAAGGCGTCGAGAAGGGTCTGAGGAGGGTGTGCGGAAAGTAGTGGGTGAATTTGGTCGTTCATGGACGGAATTGGGGGTGATGCTGCCACTGTTGATGCCAATGTTAACACTCCTGAGGGTGAGACTTGGGCAGGTAGAGCTGGAGGCGGCATGGCCATTGCTTCCTCCAACTATACTTCATGTTCTCTCTCGCGTCCGCGTTGGAGGTTAGTGTCGTTTTGATCTAAGTCTTTGAATTGTTATCATTACTCAAAATCCCAATAAATGAATAAAATGGAACATACAAAGCTTCGATAACCAAGATCGTCCTTGATCCGAGCCCGCGGCCAGTGGCACCATCTCCAAAAATCCTATCAAGCCCGCTTCCGAGCCCTGGTAGGTCATGACCGACCCCGACCCCCGGGCTCAAACTCGCCTCCTGGTCGTTGTCCTCTTTGATGTCCTCGGACCGAGCCTGTGGTCGAGCTGACCTCGCCTGACTGGTATTTATGACGTGTACTTTGTGCCAACATCAAAGACTGACATGTTAAGGACAAGTTTAACGTTGGTGGGGCGAGGTGGGCTGGAGAGAAAGTTTCAGCGGTTTGTTCGTAGTTTTAGACATAAAAAAAGAATAAGAGATATGAAAAACGTACGGTAACCAAAATCGACCTTTCTCTGAGGTTCCGGCGCCTTGAGAAGTGCATTCAAACTGGGCACCTTGCTTCCGCTGTCTCGTTCCCAGGCAAGCACGACCTCCAGCCTCGATCGGAGGTCGCGCAGAGCGAAGACACCAGACGAGAGTAAGTATGCGACTCGAGTCGTCCACATCGAGGTCGATAAGGCGCCCCTTGCCCTGAGTATCCGTTTGGGCTTGATTTGGCTTTGCTGTGGTGAGGGAAGACGACGACGCCTCCTTCTCCTTGAAGTTCTTGTTCCCCTTCCGGCTGGCATCCACACCAGCATGCAAAATCTACCTCAGCACCACGTTGGTACAATCCCCGTTCGCTCCGTCCAGGAGCAGGGCAAGGAGCAGGGAGTGGCGTTTGGGCGTTCCAACTGTATGGTGAGCGGACTAGTTACAGCTCGGTTGCTAGGGGTAGAACTTTTCAGAATAAGCATGGGCAAATAATCCGAAAATAGCATATCGAAGGACCAACGAAGGTTCACTAGCACTCACCGACGAGTCACCGTGCCACGTTCAACGTTGGCTTCAAGTCCTACGCAATACACAGATAGTGTGATCGCCACAGGGACAAAGTCCCACTTCGCGGGAAATTTTGTGCATCCCCATGATATCTGTATCTGGCGCTTATTTACGTACTCTACGGATCCGGAGGCCTTGTGTCCAGACATGAACACCTCCAAGGTCCCTCCCGCAGATGGAATCCCTTGTATCCGACAGATATCGAGTTCTCAACGCAGCGCCAGAGCCTCTATATAATGTGTCTCGAGACCTCATGCCCAAGTACCCTCCTTCCGAGTAGCTGCTGGGCCAGTCCTTCCTTCGTATCATATCTCTGCATTCATTTTACCCCTCGACGCACCCCACATCACAAAATTAAATGATATCCATATCTCTCCTCTTCACCACTCTCATTCTTACAGCGCATCGCGGAGAAGCCCAAAACCCAGCATGCCAACCAGGATTCAATTGGGTGAGTTGATATTCGCAGGCGTGCTGATCTTTCATGACCTAGGCCAATATTTAGAGCTTTAACTCACTGGGTCAGAGTCCATGTGATATTGGTGCGATTCTCGAAAGTGTCTGCTTTAATCGAGGTGAGCATTTCATATTTAGCGCCTAGTGTGGGTATCGGCGCCTCATGCTGGGTTTTAGCGGTTACGTTGCAACCGCTAGCTCCTGGAATCGTTTATGTGGGACCCGACTTGGCGCAGGCAAGCCCTTGCTCGTGTAGCACTGTGATCTATTCGTTGCTGAGTGCTTGCGCTGTGTGTCAACTGCGACTCGCCTCAAGGTAATTGTGCGATCCTGCCTGCCATCCATGAGCGGAAATTCAAAGGGCATTCAATTATTCCACAGTTGGACCTTCTACAGAAAAAATTGTGCGACCGTGTATTCTCAAGCGTGCGTGCTTTTCCTAGGAATTTACTTTATCCAACCCTTCATGAAGCTTCATGGGACTAGTTCCCCCAACTACGAGTGTACCCAGTTATGCATACCTTGACGTCATAGTACGTTCAGCTCTTAGAAATCTCATTTCAGAACTTTGATGCTTCCCTTAGCGAAGTGACAACTTTAACGTAACTTTAGCCATTGCCGCAAGTGGCGAAAGTCCTGCCAGTTCAGCGACAAAATACAGCTCTCCGGCACCTTCGATTTCTGCTACAAAAAAATCAAATACAGTTTCAATGACGAACATTCCCACTTCATCTTCTTCGACGACATCTACCTCTCTCGCCAGTTCAGCGACAACATCCAGCCTCGTAGCGACAACATCCAGCGCCCCAGCAACAATATCCAGCGCCCCAGCAACAATATCCAGCTCCCCAGCGCCTTCAATTTTTATCACAGAAAACACAAATACAGTGTCAGACACGAACGTTCCCACACCATCTTCGACAACATCCACCTATCCCGCAGCCACGAACTCCACCAACAATAACTCAAAAGTTCCGATTATTGTTGCAGCTGTGACGGCCGCGGGAGTGGTGGTCGCGGCGATTATCGGGGCAGGATGGTGGCGAGGATGCCTCAGGCGAAAAGGACATTTTTATCAGGGGGTATTTGCCAAATTTGATTTACATCCATTGCATGAAGTTGACTTCGGTACAAGATAGCCCTTCAACGTTGCGACGGACAGCATCATCATGATTCCTGTTCAACTACAGAAAGTGAGGTATGAACAAATCTGCTCTATGAGCGGGCTTCCTGTTGCCGCCTGGATGCGGTTGAGGAGTCCGAACGCGGTTTAGGCTAGGAGGGTAACGTGGATTCAATCATGACGATTATCAGAGTCAGGACTCTTTAATTGCCCACACAGTCGGGCACCAACTTTGTAACGACTTGATGTCTGATATTTAACGCGTATACGAGAGTAACGAATAGTGTAACTCATAGGATCCATAGTTGGGGTGGCTGCACCAACCATGCCAAGGAAGAAGTAACTTTATCCGTAGGGACTGTCACGGATAGCTAAAGCCCGGGTGAACCCGAAATCCACCCATATTTGGACTCAACTGATGGATTCGGGTAACTACCCGGACTATCCACAGGTATCTGTGGGTAAATTAGATATTTTTAGACCTTCTTGAGATATTTTGAGCATACATGCCCGGAATAGATAAGATTGTTATTTGTACCCCCAACTCCCTTCCACCACAACAGAATGCTATCACAACAACTTCCTGGCCCCTTCTGCTTGTGGAAGGGGTCCAAATTGTGACCTGGCCTTTGTTCCCAGCTGTCACCCAAGCTTGTCACCAGAAATCTTTGAAATACTGTTAATGAATTCAATTTTTAGTGAAAGCAATCACAATATGCCCCAATAAAAAAACAGGAGAACATTCAAACTTACCTTGATGAACCCAGAGGTATTGAAAGAACAATTTTGGTGACACAAAGTGTTACAAAAACCTATTTAAGAGGAAAAGAAATCATTGTCCATCTTTTTTCAATCATTTGTGTACCTTTATTGAAGCTGGGTAGAAGGAGAATTTAATCCAGAATCTAAGAGCCATTTCTGCTCTGAATGTTTGAAAGTTGATATTGTGCTGGGTGAAATTGATCTGATTGCGACCAGTGGAGAATGCTCACTCTGCATCCAGAAGTAGCTGCATCAATCATTGAAAGTAAAGGAAAATAAATGAATAATGCTGCTTACCTGGGGCTGAGCAGAAATCAGAACCCATTCATGAAAGTTGCAGTCAGGAATGTGATGCATTGTGCCTGTACATCCCATTTCCTTGATTGTTTCTGTTGCTACCTGACTTAAATATCAATTGTTCTCAAAAGCTTTTCTCTGAAACTGAAAATAAATACTCTCAAGATGGCCAAGGCATGCTAATACACACCCCCAACACTCTCTGTGATCAAGGCTCAGTTACAGCAGCATTATACAAGGAGAAAGACCTCAGATGATGATATATATAAATAACTTTAGTTTCGATATACTCAATTTAGATACTATATGAATGACTTTTGGTGGGTTTTGGTCGTACATGGACGGCGTTGGGTGTGACGCTGACACAGTTGATGCCAATGTTGACACCCCTGAGAGTGAGACTTGGGCAGGTAGAGCTGGAGGCGGCATGGACATTGCCTCCTCCAACTATCGTTCATGTTCTCTCATGTTCGCGTTGGAGGTTGGTGTCGCTTTGATTTATGTATCTGAATTGTTATCATTACTCAAAATCCCAATAAACGAATAGAATGATACAAAGCTTCGATAAGCAAGATCGTCCGGGATGCAAACCCCCGGCCAGTGGCACCATCTCCAAAAAACGAGCCTAGGTAGCTCATGCCCGACCCCAGGGCTTTTCGATGTCCTCGGGCCGAGCCTGTGGTTGAATTGACCTCGCCCCACAGGTGTCGATGACGTGTGCTGACATTTTGAGGAAAACTTTAACGTTGGTGGTGCGAGTTGGGCTGGAGAAAAAGTTTAATGGTTAGATCGTAGTTTTAGATAGAAAAAAGGAATGAAAAATATGAAAAACATACGGTAACCAAAGTCGACCTTGCTCTAAGGTCATCGTCCCACCCAGCGTCTCCACATCCTCATCGCTCTCAATAGCCTTCTCCTTTTCCTGTCAATAACCTTCATCATCGTCGCCCTCAGCTCCGCCGGCGCAGACGTAGGGGACCCTGAGAACAATATACTCGACAGCGAGCAGCCCGAGATCCAGTCGAGTCATGTATTCGTTAATCAACAACAAAAACTCGTCCTGGCCAGTGGTAAACACAGCCATCTGCATCAGCCGGCAGGTAGTGAAGGTGGATGACAGTGTGTGCAGGATGTTCGTTATTTGGAGCCGCAGGTGTTGAATGTGTTGCCAGGTGAGTGGATGGGGCCCGAGGGTGATATGTCAACTCGAAGTTGGAGTTGAGGTAGAATCCAGCAAACATGAATTCGACGAGGACGTGGGCTAGGCGTGCATGAATAATGTGATAATAAGAGAGAGAAAAACCGACGGGAACACCCCCAGCGCCTTGAGAAGTCTACGCAGGCTGGGCATCTTGCTCCCACTGTCCCATTCCCAGTCAAGCACAACCTCCGGCCCCGATCGGAGGTCGCGCAGGGCGAAGACACCGAACGAGAATATCCGGCCCAAGTCGTCCACATCGAGGTTCATAAGGCGCCCCTTGCCCTATCCGTTTGGGCTTGGTTTGGGTTTGCAGTGGTGAGGGAAGACGACGACGCCTCCTTCTCCTTGATATTCTTATTCCCCTTCCGGCTGGCAGCAACACCAGTATGCAAAACCTGCCTCAGCACCACATTGGTACAATCCCCGTTCGTTCCGTCCAGGAGCAGGGCAAGGAGCAGAGAGTGGTGTTCCTTTGAGCGGACCTCGTTACAGCGTGTTGCTAGGTACAGCTTACAGAATAAACATGGGCAAATAATCATACAGCCCTTATCGAAGGTTCACTCACCGTTTGCTCACCATGCCAAAGTTCAACATTTTCAACGTTCAAGCCCTGCGAAATATACAGATAATGTGATCGCAACAGGGACAAAGTCCCACCTAGCCGAAATTTTTCTGCATCCCAATGATATCTGTATCTGGTAGCTAGGTCGATTCTCCGTCAGGCTGGCGCTTTACGCATCAGTAAAATTACAAGTCCGGCTTTAGCCGCTTTCACCGCTTTTGAAAGTGTGAAAGCATGAAAGCGTTTCCGCTTTTGGAAGCCCAGGCCATATTGTTTGAAAAGGGATTTCCGCTTTCAAAAGGGACAAAAGGGGCTGAAAGTGGTTCAAAAGGGGACCATGAAAGAGGTGCAGCTTTCAAAAGGTGACTTGAAAGGGGCTTAAAAGTAGGCAAAAGTGAATAGATTTCTGATATTTGATAGAAACAATGGTAGTAATTACTACTAGAATGACGCTAACCCTCTAATGTCCTCGCTAACTCGAAATCAGACTCACTGGAAGGGGTTGTGGCCTGGGGAACCATTGCCGCAACAGTCTCGCCGACCCACTGCAAAGCTTGACCATAGTCCCACCGTGCTTACTGTGCTGTGATTGAGGAGTTGTGTAATTCAGATTCCATCTGCTCGTTTCGAGTGAGTAGGCATTGCGAACGTGCTTTTTGAGCCAGGCAATGCAGGCTTGACGTGTCGCGGGTAGAGACGAGTGGTAAAAAAACACCCACCAGGCCGCCTTGACCAGATGCGAAGAGACGTCGTCCATCGTCACCGAGGTCAGGAGCACCTTGTCAGGCGAATGCGTACTCACAGACGAGGGGAACACAAACAACCAAGCGACGACACCCCATCCATATCCTGCACCTCCACCATGATGCGCGTCCCCGGGTTCGGACCAGGGGAGAAGGCTTGATGCTCGTGGTCTAAGGGTGCGAGGTCGGTCGGTGCTGAGCGTAGTTGTAGATGTGGTCGTGCAAAACCCTAGGGAGGGCTACGCATGCACTATCAGTCCTCCTTCAGTAAGACGAGAGGAAAAACTTACAAAACGTAAGCAATGGTCTCTCTTCCTCGTTGTCCGACTCTGGGACAGCCTCAAGCGGTGAGGCCAGGAACGGGATCTGTGCAGTGCACGCTGGTCATTCGCCTGTGCGACTTTCGTTTCGGAAGGGCGAAGCGACCTGAGTGGCGTGGTGTGTACTTTGCTGGTAGCTGAAACCACCATGGGCTTGTGATGCGATGGGAGTGGCGGGGCTTGGGTGAGGCAGGCTGCTGCTTCTGGAATCAAACCTGACGATGGCGATAAGCCACGTCGATGTCATCATAAAAGGATTTGTGCTGGCCAGACACATACCCAATCGTGAAGACATCGCGCGCCAGAGGAGGGGAAGGGACAGAGGTAGTGTAACGGAAAAGTTAACAAGTCCAAAAATTTCCAAATTCGGATGTTCAACATGTCGCGTGATCGACAGCCTTCAACAAGTCTTCTTCTGATTTTGGCATGGAAAACACATCTTCTACCTCTTTAATCCTCACTGAAAATTCACTATTAGATGATAGATCTTCACCCCGAATGCTACCAGATGCTACCCTATAAAATATATTGATCAACAAATTTGAAAGAGGTCCAAAGGGGGAAAGACCCGAAAGGGCGGGAAAAGGTGCCTTGAAAGTTAATTGAAAGTGATGTGAAAGTGAAAGCGCCTGGAAGTGAAAGTGAAAGGGGTTGTGAAAGTGAAAGCGCCTGAAAGTGAAAGTGAAAGGGGTTGTGATTCTACTGATGCGGTCGCCTTGTGTTTAAACATGAACACCTGCGGTGCCTCAAGGCCTCACGAAGATGGAATCCCTTGTATCCGATAGAGATTGAGTTCTCAACGCAGCGCCAGAGCCCCTATATAATGTGTGTCGACTCTCAAGACCTCAGGCCTCATAGCCCAAGATCCCTCCTTCCGAGTAACAGTACTAGTCCGAGTAACTGCTCCAGTCCTTCCTTCACGTCATATCTCTGCAGTCTTTTCACCCCTCAGCGCACCCCACATCACAAAATTAAATGATATTTAGATTTCTCCTTATCATCACCCTCTTTCATCGTGGAGAAGCCCAAAACCCAACATGCCAACCAGGATTCAATTGGGTGAGTGAATATTCACAGGCGTGCTGATCTTTCATGACCTAGGCCAATATTTAGACTTTTAACTCACTGGGTCAAAGCCCATGTGATATCAGCGCAATCCTCGAAAGTGTCTGCCTGAATCGAGGTGTGCATTTCATATTTAACGCCTAGTGTGGCTATCGGCGCCTCATGCTGGGTTTTAGCAGTTACTTTGCAACCGTTAGCTCCTGGGATCGTTTATATGGGCCCCGACTTGGCGCAGGCAAGCCCTTGCTCGTGTAGCACTGTGATCTATTCGTTGTTGAGTGCTTGCGCTGTGTGTCAACTGTGGCTCGCCTCAAGGTAATTGTGCGATCCTGCCTCCATGAGCGGAAAAAGGGCATAATCATTCAATTACTCCACAGCTGGACCTTCTACAGAAAAAATTGTGGGACCGTGTATTCTCAAGCGTGCGTGCTTTTCATGGGACTTGACTCTGTCCAACCCTTCATGAAGGTTCATGGCACCAATTCCTCCAACTACAAGTGTTCCCAGTTATGCATACCTTGACGTCATAGTACGTTCGGCTCTTAAAAATCTCATTTCAGAACTCTAATGCTTCTCTTAGCGAAGTGACAACTTTAACGTAACTTCAGCCATTGCCGCAAGTGGCGAAAGTCCTGCCAGTTCAGCGACAAAATACAGCTCTCCGGCACCTTCAATTTCTGTTACAAAAAAATCAAATACAGTTTCAATGACGAACATTCCCACTTCATCTTCTTCGACGACATCTACCTCTCTCGCAGTTCAGTGACAACATCCAGCCTCGTAGCGACAACATCCAGCGCCCCAGCAACAATATCCAGCGCCCCAGCAACAATATCCAGCGCCCCAGCAACAATATCCAGCTCCCCAGCGCCTTCAATTTTTATCACAGAAAACACAAATACAGTGTCAGACATGAACGTTCCCACACCATCTTCAACAACATCCACCTATCCCGCAGCCACGAACTCCACCAACAATAACTCAAAAGTTCCGATTATTGTTGCAGCTGTGACGGCCGCGGGAGTGGTGGTCGCGGCGATTATCGGGGCAGAATGGTGGCAAGGATGCCTGAGGCGAAAAGGACATTTTTATCAGGGGGTATTTGCCAAATTTGATTTACATCCATTGCATGAAGCTGACTTCGGTACAAGATAGCCCTTCAACGTTTCGACGGACAGCATCATCATGATTCCTGTTCAACTACAGAAAGTGAGGTATGAACAAATCTGCTCTATGAGCGGGCTTCCTGTTGCCGCCTGGATGCGGTTGAGGAGTCCGAACGCGGTTTAGACGAGGAGGGTAACGTGGATTCAATTGTGACGATTATCCGAGTCAGGACTCTTTGATTGCCCGTTGCCTGCACAGTCGGGCAGCGACTTCATAACGACTTGATGTCTGATATTTACAAGGGGGTGTCGGGATCATAATCCCGGACCGGGGGCCGGTTGGTTGGTTGGGCCATCAGGCTGTTAAAAAAAAATTGGAAGCTCAAAAATTTTGGCCCAAAATCATTATGGGCGGCCTTCCTGGTGGATAAATTATACATAATAGATACTAGAAAGCCTCAAGATGTGCTAAATGCCTCAGGATGCGCCAAAAAACACAACTAAGACTGCTTACATAAGACAATAATAATATCGGACCATTGATAACTTTCCTTAGTGTGGCAACCGTTACAGCAAGGAAACATGAGGTCGGTGCAAAAAATGAAAACGTAAGGTTGTCGATTGGAGGATTGCTTTTGTGGATCCCGAGCAGAGCTGACCACCGGCAATGTGATCCAGTGGGATGTGGTCAATTGGTAAACCCACTTTCTGTTAGGGTTTCAATGTAAAACATACTTACATCTTCATGTCAAACCATTCTGATATCACCTCTTTACCTTGTGCAGGTGCCCATGCATTGGGTCTGCAATGCATGTTCAACATCGAGAGGCCCGAAGACAGGAAGACAATGTCACAACGGTGACGTCATATTTCCTAAAATAGACACGTGCCTGATTACGTTGGGTGGTTGGTTCAGCCCAGCGCTCACTACCAAAAAAATCGACCCTAGGTCTTTTTTTTTTATCCCGACACCCCCTTGGATATTTAACGAGAGTAATGAATAGTGTAATTCATAGGATTCATGATTGGCGCGGCTGCACCGACCACGCTAAGGAAGAACTGCGCACGGTGTAGTGGCTTCTAAGATCTGAGCTGCCCGAGACTAGATATGATCACACCACCGGGGCAGCGATGCTTGCCGTGATTCGGAAGTGTCCGCAAGAGTGATTCGGCACACAGAGGGGCTCAAGGTATATAAAATGTATCAGAATGTACTTATCAGAATGTGCTGGAGGAACAATCTACTATCATTGACCCTCTTTTGCAAAAGGATTTTTCTGGCTTTCCAAGGTGCTTTTCTTGTATTTATGAGTGAAGGTGCCGTGGGAACCTAGCCGGACCGATATACTTATAGCAGTTGGAGGCATGCGCTTTTTTCTCCCACCTTGATCTCATGTGCTTGGGCTCGAGATGTCTGGTGAGCTTCACCCAAATTTCAGCGCTCACGACTTGAAGGCGGGATCGTCTCGCGCAGAGTAAGAGTTTCCTGAACAGAATCAGCCTGTATTCAAATATCATTCCCCATCGCAGTGATCTTCCCTTTGAACTCTTGAGCGTCATCTTCAAACTCGTTCATCAAGACTTGAGCACCCGGAGGGGGGATCTTTTTAAGGGGATCAATGCCTTCTCTACGACGAGCAAGCGCTGGCATGAGGTCGCATCATCTATTCCGGAGTTATGGTCTACTATTGAGATTATTATCGACGACCAGGAAGAGACCTCACATTCTAAACTTCTCACCACAACTACCACATTCCTTAAGCGGTCAGGAAACCTACCACTGTCCGTGATGTTATCATTCGAGCACCCTCGCTGCGACCTCGTTATAAAACGAACCATGAGGTTTATAATGACCACATTCGGTCTTCTCCTCGATAACTTCCAGCGATGGCGCTCGGTCTCTTTTGACTTTGGCAACATCACCTTCGAGCTTCCTCCTCTTCCACGGCAGGTAGTCGCACCCTTTTTGGAGCATATAGATATTAAGTTCCACTCCCCGTGGATTCCGAACCCAAGCTACTATGCGGCATTGGTTGCAGCTGCCCCAGGTCTCCGCAGCTACGTCGCTCATGCGTCGAATTGTAATGTTCCGCCCAACCTGCCATGGGGTCAGCTTCATAAATTTCATCCCGCCAGTCCCATTCGGCAATCCGATGCTTATGGTATACTGAATCGGGCGAAAAGTCTCCAGGAGTTCCATTTCGTGATACACAGGGACCCCGGGCGCGTGATAGCGCCGCCTCCAGTAAGAATCACCTCCCCAATCCGATCCATGAGTGTGACCGGTCATGGAACATGCCTTCTTGATTTTCTAATTTTTTCTCGTCTGGATACCCCCCATCTCAAAGCTTTGGGGATCTTTTTCTTGATGCATGTGGTTCCCCGAAACATCGGACTAGTTCAGCTGCCTCAGCAACACGACATAGTATCCTCATTCCTGTCAAATGGCTCTTTCCGATTATCATCCCTGACGATAGGGGACCTACTAATGACCGAGAGCCAGCTTATGGACTGTCTTCGCCTTCTATCCCCATCCCTCACTACCTTAAAAATACTAACAAACACATCGCTGAAGGCCTCAGACATTCATATATTCGAATCTTTCACAAACATTGTTTTAATATCCCTCACTTTTCATGATATCTCGACTAGGTCGGGGCTGTTGTGTCCCGCCTTGGAAAGCCTCACACTGGGTCGCTGTGTCGGCGCGGACGATGGCGTCCTCAGCGATATGATCCAATCCAGGCATGGGCCGTCTCCCATGGTAGTTGATAGGCTCTCAACAGCCAACGTAGCTATACTGAGGCACCTCGAGGTGGTTTTCGACGCCAACACCGCCAAGACTCATCCTACGGATCTGATGCGGTTGAGCGAATTTTACCAAGAGGGACTGTGTGGCCGAATATGGCAATTACCACCCGAGGTCGAAACGGCGTCGCAGTCAGCATCGCTCATGGCCTCAACCACCACCTGAGTTTGTTTCTTCGCCTTTCCACTGGAAGAGATTGACGAAACTGGATGTAAGTTTTTTTTGGCGTGTTCATGTCTCGTCCGTTTTTTTTCCATTTTTTTTTCGACTTGAATTTTGAGGACGTCGAGCTAGCATTGGAAATACCCTTCAGCGTTTTCTTGAGGTGTATTAAGGTAGAGATGTATCACCGGATATCTATCTTGACCTTCTGTACACCATGACCTTCCTCTGTACATATGCATGCCTCCATGTGGATTCGTGATTTACCCTGTGCCAGACGGAATTTTTGTTCCGGAAGACCACTCAGTCGAAGTCAGCAGACTCACCGACCACAGCCGTGGTGATGAGCGCTCCGACTCTGGGTGTGGAATAAGCTTGAGCAGTTCGGGGAAAGGGAATGAGCGGGCTTGATGATGAAATCTAATTTGAGATCTCATGTATCGCCCTATGATAGGGTTTTACGGGAGAGAACAGAAATTGATGTTTAAAAGAGCGCAGCAACCCAGGTCCGAAGTTGCATGGAACGATAGAATGGCGGCCAGACTCAAAACTTGCAAGGACATTTTCAGAACCCAGTTCTACAATGTTGTGAAATCCGAGAGTTTTCAATACGTGGAAAATGTATATGTTCGTTCAGTTCGTTCAAAATACGAGAGAAGTGTAACAAGGCGTGGTCCATGTTCGTTCCAAACAGAGTGCAGTGATCCAAAATAACAGCTCGCGATGCTAAGGAATATAAATCCTCGAATAACCGTCAATGCTAATTTTTCAGAAGTCGTCAGTTGGGAGAACCTAAATGAATGAACCAAGCCTTACATCTGTCTGCAACAAGGACACCGATGTTTATTCGGTGCACTCCTCGACGCCAGTGACTCCCTGCACCCATCACACATAGCCAGGCACCTAAGCATCATCATCTCAGCATTCGCAAAAGAAAGGGAAACAGAAAGGAAGGACGTACCGACAAGGCCAACAAATGATATCCCTCGCTTCCATCGTACACACCACACAGACATGCCGCAAATCCAATTCCCGTTCTTTCTTATCGTCATCGTATCCACCTCTGGAATTCGACACTTCGTCGTCGTCTTCGTCCGAAAGGTCTTCAAGTCCACCCTCCCCTTCACGAGAAACACCGATGCTAAGCAAGTCCTTCCACTTCCTCCTCGTCAAGGGCCCTGTTGACGATGGACTCGTAGCAGTAGTCCGACCGGACCCCGACATAGATGAAGATGCTGGGCGATTGGGGAGGTTGGTACCGAGTCCGTGCACCAAGTGCGCGAGAACCATCTCTCCTTGGTGGCCTTCTCGTTCGCCCGACTGGATGAGGTCAGTGAAGAGACCCAGAGCTTCGTTTTGTCGGTCCACCCCCTCTTCATCGTCCTCCTCGACATCCTCGACATCCTCTTCCGCAGACTCGTCGACCTCATCATCGTCATCATCACTTATATTTTCCCCCCTCAAAAACCGCTCATACAACATCTCATCATCATCCCCACCTTCCCCTTCCTCAACCCCACCTGCATCCGCATTCCCGGAATCTCCAGTCTCCTCCTCCTCACGCGCCTCAACCACCATCCCCCTCCTCATCACACCCCTCCTGCCCTTCCCCCTCATCCTATCCCACACCCAGAACCACACGAGTTTGAACACACCCTTCAAAACACCCCATAGCGCAGCAACGAAAAACACAAGCTCCCAAATCCACTCCGACCAACCCCTCTCCGCTCCATGAGAAAAATGAGTCCCAACATCGACCTTCCGAACCTCGTTCCTCAGCCCGCGCATAGGCTTGAAGATCCCACGTCCAGGTCGTCGAATCAAACTAGCCGCTTCGCGAATCTGATACCCCGATCGCACAAACCCAACGCCTACACGACCCATAGACACCAGTCCGTATTCTCGGAAACTATCAAGACCTGATCCTCCACGCCCTGCTCGTCTTGGCCGGCTGATGGGAATGGGAGCTGGCACGGGGGCAACTTCGTTTCCCCACCCGCGGAGGCCTGTAGCTTCGAGGCTGGCGGTGCCTACGCGGAGAAGGAGGACGCCGAAATCTTCGTCGTGTGGTAGGGAGCGGAAAAATGCTCGGATTCGGCCGGTGTTTCTTGCGTTGGTATCGTCATCTATGGGATCGAGGTGCGTTAGATGATCAAGAAGATGATGTGTAGAAGTGGCGATACCGACCTTGCAAACTACTCATTATGAGCCCCAGACCTAGACCGCTGAACACGCGCTCTACCCTGCCTCGTACTAGGATTTGCACCACGGCGTTTAAGATGACTGTCAGCAAGATAGTCGCAAGAAGCGCAGTTTCGAATATGTTGGGGATGTAGTTCAGTAAAGGGTACGTCGTTGTGAGGCTTTGCATCGTTGATAGTTGTCCAGTGCCTTCATTTTGGGATTGAGTAGGGGTCGGGGAAGGAGTAGGGTATTTGAGTTTATAATGGTGCGTGATGAGGGTCCCGTGGAAGTGGACCAGGGACAGAAGGGAGGTGAGGGTTGTGGGTATTAGCCGGTGTGTTGAGAGCCGCTTAGAAGATGAAAGGGCATGGAAAATCGTTAACTACATATTGTGGGAGTTAGATCACATTAAGCTGGGAAAAGCAGACGCAAATACCTGAAGAAGGGGAATAGCTATAGTAATGATGACGTGTTTATCGGGCCGCGTAGGGAGCCCGTCCATTTGGTTGAGGTGCGTAACGGGGTTGGAGTAAATGTGTAGTAGAAATGCATATCCGACCTGACCGGGATAACAGTTACTCATCATAAACAAGTAACCTATGTATAGGACTCACTAAGTTGAAAGGAGACGTGTTCGGGTTGATGTTGCCTCCGATAGGAAACCCAGTTCCGATTCCGTCAAGGGCCTTCACGAAGCCCTCTACTGAGAATGCCGCACACACTGCACAAAAGGTCGTCCAGCAAACTTCGCTCATCTGCTTTTTCTGGCTCCAACTTCCTAAGCGATGCACCCAGCTCAGCCCCCACGCTTCGGCAGTAGATGCGCTGATCTCTGGGAATAAACTGGATGCCTGCAACACAAGGACAAACCATAGCACGAGCACCTTGCAGAGGAAGTACATTGACGGAAGGTGTAGTGCAAGACGTGTCGTTGTGTTGGCGAAGTTGAGGGGTAAGATAGCGTTGTAGATTCGGCGGAGAAAGGGTAGGTTCTGGAGTCCAGCAAACCGAGGAGAACGTCTGCCTCGACGATTGAGAGCCGGTGACCCTGGCACGCGAGATGGTATGATGATATTTTGCATACGATGTAACAAGACCGCCTGAGGCCTTCTCTTAGCACGTAAAGATCATGAAGGAATATATATAGCATACCATTAGAAAGAGCCCCATCATATAGCCGGAAGTGAAGAAACCCCAGGGACCGGGATACACCATCACATTGGAGGACGGCGGAGCGGCACTTTGCAAGAGTGGCTGATCTTGGGCAAATATATCCGCAGCGGTCGTGGCTGGTATATCAGAGGGGTCCACGGATCTCCCCAGAACGTCCTTGCGCAAGCGGGCTATCAGACGAGAGGGTAAGAAGGAGAAGATGGAGCTGAGGTTTAGGGAGATGTTGTAGGACATGGATGACCCAGTGAACGCAGGCACGTCTGCGACGATTGCTGCACCTTCCATTACGGTACCAAGTGGTTCTTCTGGGAGGACCAGCACAAAATTAGAGTTTGAGCGCCTGGGCAAAGATCTCCAAAATCCAGTGAAAGTGCCACCGGAAGCGCCAGGCCAACGCCAGGCCAAGCGAGATTCCACTGTTCAATTTATTGGTTGATGAGCGAGACCTAGCGCTACGCGCTAATAACCATATGGAATCCCTGAAGTTCCTGCTTAGAACGTAGCGGTTAGCAAGATTTGGAGAGTGAGAATAATGAGGCTTACAATGCTAGCCGTTGGCTAGCCGGGTGTGATATCATTTGATGTGCCTCATCATCAATCACATTTCTCCCACGGCCAAACAACGCGTAAATACGGGCAACGCCGAAGGCCTTGTGTCCTCTTCTCGTAATTGAATATTAGCGTGGACACTAATAATACGCGTTGATAAGGTCATGTTTTGGGTAAGTGGCCGTGCTTTGCGTGGGCTCTCTCTTTTGCTTAAGGACGGAAAGGTTCCTATCTTTCCGATGCAACTCCCCGACTCCAACGACGGTTGTGTCGAATGCGAACACGATGGATATTTCTAGAACCTTTTACATACATCGTGTCTGGGAAGGAGAGATAACAATTACATAACTCCCCTTCGTAAGTCCGCATTATCATTCCACTCAGTCACAAGACGCGATAGCATTCCCTTCAGAAATGACTCCCAAACGCCGCCCCTCAAAGACATCTAACAAACCCGACGAGCTACCACTGGTGCCAACTCCACCGACTCCTCGTCCCCGCTGTGACCCCCATGACAAATTGATGAAGCGGTTTTACGAAGCACTCGTGCTCCAACACGTCCTGGGCATCACCCGTGGGGACCACATCCCTCGCCCGCTGCCTGACGTCCAACATGCAGAATATCTGGACGGCATCAGCCTTAGGCGTAATTTCTTGGAGAAGCTTGCGTTCGTCTGCGATTATGAAAAAGGAGGTGCGACTGTCACGGCCATCGCGCTCCAGCAGACGCCCGCTGCCGTTATATTCTGGGTTGCAGCAAACGAAGACGTCAAGAGCAAGGTCAAGCCATTCTTGGAAACCATCTTGAGCAGCTTGGAGAAACTGTACTCAAACCCAGCGGAGAGCGTTATAAAAGAGGCAGAAGACGAGATTTTCAGTCGAGTTTGGGAATTTGCGGATTAAAGGTTACATGCGATGCATGAAAGGACCATTAGACAAATGCCGTAAGATCCTTGCAAAGTCTGACCGTGATTCGGACCAAGGTAAGGCGGTCAATCATCTACATGAATCGAACGCTAAATGACCACAACCACCAAGATTTAATAAAATGGTTGACATCATTTCGCCTCCAAGACAATCTTTTACCAAGCCTTTGTCGAATCGCATACGAGGAGAGGCAATCACCCCATATGAAAGAACTGGCCACAAAGTCACATAGCAAGGATTCCAGCAACGTAGACTCCAGCGCTAAAAATTTCGAACGATTGCGGCATTACATCGGACGAATCGGCTCATATATGAGAGCATCGAAGATATTCGTCGCGGCCGCAACCAGGTTTCCCGAGCTCTTCGCCAACGTTGAGGTCCAATGCCTCTCCTCTCCGAAACCAGCGCCGAAACCGCAGATGGACGAATTGATGAAGCTTGATAGGATTGCCGTTCGCATGTTACCCGCGAACGACAAGCGTTTACCAGATATACAGGATGCCCTACAGTCCATGGATGAAAAGTTCGCCATCTTTGAAAACTTCAGAGACAAATACGAGGACGATAATTTCCAACCCCGGGTACATGCCGAGCTCATCCTTCTTGAGCGTTTCTACGTGCACGCATATCAGTTCGTCGACGGAGACAGGTATATTGGCTGCAGCAAGCCAGCGTGCTACTGCTGCTATTTGTATATCTGCGCACATCCAGGGGGGTTTATCAAGCCGCCCAGTCACAGCAAGAATTATACCAACTGGAGTCCGCCTGAGATTGATCCAGTGGGCTCAGTCGACCCAGTGAAACACCGACGTGACATCTTGAATAGTATGTGCAAAGAAATACGTGAAGATGTGTTGAGGCAGATCCAGGAACAACGGCCACAACGTGGTGCGCACCACGATTCGACGACGGGAATTACATACCAGGATTGGGTACAGTAAGATTGTCGCAAGAAGCGTAGTTTCTGGCATGTCGAAGATGTAGTTGAGTTGAACGCCGTTGTAATGCTTTACATCGTTAACAGTTTCTAGTGCTCTCATTTTGAGTAGGGGGGAGGGATTTGAGTATTTGAGTTTGCGCGAGGAAGGTTCGTGGAAGCGGACCAGGCATAGGAGGGAGGTGAGGGTTGTGAGGAAGATCTTGAGCTGTACATAGGACATGGATGACCCAGTGAGCGCAGGTACGCCTGCGACATTGCTACGCCTTCCATTACGGTGCCAAGTGGTTCTCAAAACCAGAACAGTCTATTAGAGTTTGAGCGCCTCAGGAATGATCTCTAGAATGATAAATCCAGTGAAAGTGCCATGAGAAGCGCCGAATCGAACGAGATTCCGCTGTTCAATTTATGGATTGATGAGCGAGAACTAGCGCGCTAATAACCATATAGAATCCCTGAACTGATAAAAAGAACATCGCGGTTAGCAAGATTGAGAGAATAAAATTGGAATAAAATGCTTCCTGTGACGTACATTTCTCCCACGGCCAAACAACGCGTAAATACCGAATATTGGCACGACGTTGATAAGACACTAGGCCTCTGAGCTCTAGGGTTTGAACTCTGCTCATACGACTCCAAGTCGCCGTCATTTGCCTGGGTTTTCATTTTTGCTCATTGACAGAAAAATTGATCAACCCTTCGTAGTGATTGACACCATCTGGCCTCCGATCTTTCCGAGCACACTCCGTTGTCAAGATTCCATATTGAAATTTTGAAGCTACTATATCGACGGTAAGAGGCGGGGCAGCCGATATCATGTGAACGACGCGTTTACGCGTTGCTTAGTGATGTTACTTCATAGATTCTGAAAGTCAACGTTCAACGCTGTAATTCGGTCAACCATCACCTCCATCCCTCAAGTACTTATACGAACGGATGCTGTCAGCCCGCTTACGACTGTGATCCTATGCGGTGGAAAGCTTGCACCGAAGTCCAGACATAAATTTCTCCACTGTTTCTCCGGATACCACCACTGACTCCACCTGAATCGTCTTGACCATATGGCCATCAGTCAACCACCTCCTTTAAGGAATAGAAGCGGGCTTATCAAGCCAGAATTGCCTCCACATCGCCTGAGCTGAGGTGAACGGCGAACGCAATAAAAACGGAACCCGGAAAAAGTTGAGAATATTTGACAGGTGGAGTCAGGGCCGTCCTTCCGACTTCTTTCCACACAGCAATGTGAGATATCTATCACATCTTTCCCATAACGACGTCAAACACTGTGAGCGATGTCGACAGCCCCTCCTCGGTGGGTCGTAGTGGACGACGCAGACAGTACAATCGCCTACACCGGTGCTTGGTCCAACGTCGCGTCTAAAAGTCTCGATACCCTAGGCAACTTTGGACCCACGTACCTCGGCACTTCGCACGGGACAAACAGCACCGCTAGCTTCGCCTATTCCTTCCAAGGTTCGTCCACACGTCTGTCTTTTCTATAGCTTATCTCGACAACCACCTGCAGGATCTGCCGTGAACGTCTTTGGAACCACGAACATCAACAATTCGTCTGGCGTCATCGACCCGACCTGGGAGTGCTTCATCGACGGCGTCAGCATCGGCTCAACTTCTCCATTCCAATACGCTGAGAACAACTGGGCTTTGTGTACATGGAATAACAACGGCGCGAGTGGGTCGCATGTCCTCACTGTGAACGCGACGTCGAACGGCCATCCATTTTACTTTGATTGGCTGCAATATGAACCGCCGCAGAGCGCTTCGGTCCAAAATGCTGTGGTGTACCTTGGCAACCTGGACGCAGCGATCAAGTACGACTCCTCGTGGCAGTCGCGGGGAAACACAGCGAACATGACGACGAAGGGGGAATCGAAAGTGACGGTTGACTTCATTGGTACGTATCTGTTTCTTCTTCAGTGCATCCAAAATAATAGTGCCAATCACAGGCACCCAACTCAGCTGGTATGGCTTCATTCCATCAGCACTCCCGCACAATCCTTCACTAGGGACATACGCAATTGACGGCCAGACCACCCCAACCGAGTTCACTTTGAAGGGCTTAGCCTCATCCAGTTCGGATGCAATGTACAACACGCAATTTTTTCAAACACCAAAGTTATCCTCTTCTGGGCCCCATGAACTCGTAGTGACGTTCCTCGGGGACAGTTCCTCCACACCGCTCACCGTAACCTATATTCTCATCCAAAATGGCAGTCTGTCCGTTTCCGCGCCTTACACCCCCAGCTCTAGCTCCGGTTCCTCTCCTTCGAAATCCACCAGTTCACCATCATCATCATCCACGGGGATGACAACCCCACCCTATACCTCCCATGTCTCAACCGGTGCCATAGCCGGCAGCATACTAGGTGTCCTCGTCCTCATACTCCTATGCCTCCTCTTCGTCCTTTGTTTTCTGAAACGCCGGCATCCCCTTGCCCTTCCCTCTACACCCGAAGAAACGGTGGTCATAGAACCGTTTCGCATTCCCTTCTCACCACCACAGGACACGGAATACACGTCATGCTTGCACAACGCTGGATACCCACAAATACAGACACGCACCCCACTCCAATCGTACGACCTCCCAAATAGCGCTGCGATTTCGTCTGGCAGGCCACCGCCTAATGTCACGGTTCCGCGCAGGCTGGCGCAGCACCAGCCTCGACCGCTTGTGTATCCGCCAAGGAAGCGCATGGATTCAGAGGCAGCGAGCTCCATAGTACCGGCTACCCCAACGCCCCAGATGTCGGCCTCGCCGAGTGAACCACCTATGCCAAATGGGAGGAGCAGGTCGAGGGTGGTGTTGCATCAGGATAGTGGGATTCGGCTGCGTAGGGACAGTGAGGAACAGGAGGAGGTTGCGGAGGTGCCGCCGTTGTATACGCCTGGGTGAACTTTTCCGTGAAGTCATGGACTTGACTTTATTGAATATATTCTGTAAAAACAAGCTTGCCCTCTTTTATAAACATTGTTGTTTCCTTAGACGGCATATGTAGGTGAGCGGACATAGGTTGAACGTTTGAACATTGAACGGCTTGTCCATTTGTTTTGCGCCAACAAACAACGTAGACTCAACCTCCATCTCCAGACTTCCTCTTCCCTGCCTCTTTCTGCCAACTTATCCTCGCAAAATTGACGCCCGAAAAACTCTAATATATTTGGCAACTCAACAACTGGAGAAGCTTCTGTTCGTCGTGTGAGAACCTGAAAACCTCAAACAAAACGTGAAGGCATCGGTCGCAAATCGGTCGTGCGATTGAATATGTGGAATAAAGGGTTTCCTCGTCATTTTCCTACATGGGGACATTTTACGGATACTTCAAACCATCTCATGTGAGCTAGTACACTTTCCGCGGACGCAAACTCTTTCGCTCATCGAGAATACTAATAGCATCCACATTTGGGGACTCGGATATCAACCCGACGTGATCGATGCCACTCTGGCTCCTCAGCCTCTTGTCGTCAGCGACCTCAGCTTGAAGCGCTGGAAGAATTCGATAACTGGCTGAAAATTTCTAGTACAGTCCTAGGGAACTTGCAAACAAAAAGCGTTGCTTCATCGCGTCGCTTCGCAGGAACGTTCAACGCAATTGGTCAGAAACCAACCATCACATTCACCCGATAATTCCGGCAGCACTTCAAACCTGCAACTTCAAGGCATGAAAGATCAGACTACTGTCAAGTAGCTTATCGACTCCGAGTCTCTGATACCTGATCCTTACGTGGACGAGAGGCTGTATCATTTTCTCAGCCACCGGTTCCTCAAACATCATCAACGACGACTGGCTCACTGCATGGCCATCAGCCAACCACGTCCGTGTTGGAAATAGAAGCGCCTCCCAGAGACGGGTGTCAAAATCACTGGTTTTCCCCTACAAGGCGGGGGCGATGGTGCGAAGAAGCAGGTAATACGTGGATTCCTAATCTTCCCTTGCCTTGTTCCTGACTCCTTTCATCAATGAGGACCACATTTTTCTACGGCCTTGTACTCATCTTGCTATGCCCCCTCGTCGCCCCCTATCCTTCCAATCAGACTATCGATGATCAGTTTGGGGACTCTGTGACAGGTCTTGTACCCAACTTTTGGAGTGATCTCTACAGCCCATGGGCCAACGAGACCTGCGGTGGGTGCGCTATCAAGCTTGATGTGACCCAGGTGTACAAGGGGACGTATTCTGCTGCGACATATCACCCTGACCTGGGATCTTTGGGAGTTGGCATGCAGTTTACTGGTAGGCTTCTTCAGCAGTCAACAGCCCAGGTTTAGACGACTTATCACGTCGGGTTCTGATCATCGTCTTACAGGAACTGCGATTTATGTGTTCTTCACTCTTGTAAACTACCAAGGAGACGGCATCACAGTTTTGACAAGTGCCAACTTTTCAGTTGACGGCGAACCACCTACGACATTTACATATACGCCCAACATGACAAGCAATGCTGTTCTATATAAATCGCTGGTTTTTTCTCAAACTGGCCTCCCGAATACTCTCCACAAGCTCAACATCTCAACCACGGGTAATATCAGCATGTATCTCAACTTTGACTACGCGATTTACACGTCAGTGTGCTATTTTCAATCCTGGTTGACCCTCATTAAAGTCTCTCCTTCTCTTTTTTTCTCAAGCGCTGATGACGATACTGTTTTGGTGTCATCATCAACGACGTCAGTCTCAACATCAACGACGTTCCTGACGCAAAACAGTCAAACGGGTAGTTCAGTACGGAAGAGCACCACAGCGAATGGCGCAAGAACTCTAGTGGGAGCTATAGTTGGTGGTATAGCGGGTGGCATTGCAATATTCGTTTTTGTCATCTTCCTCCTGTCCTATTGGCATCGTCGGAGAAATCCCGATGGGCTACAGAAGGATGGGGGGAATGGGGACCCTGCGTCTCTCATAAGAAGTTTCAACATTGGAAGGGGGCCCCCGGCGGTGTCAGCCCCCCGAATAGCACAGTTTCGATCCGAAATACGCTCAAAGACTCCAATAGTCACACCCCAATTGTCAAATTCTGGTCAGGGAGGTGCAGAGCCTTCACAGCGATATGGATCGCACGGAAAGCTAAACACTACCGACGTCGTTTCTAATGGCATGTTGCGGAGGGGCCATGACAACTCTCGTCCAAATACTCGAGAATTAACGCGAGAAGAGGTCCGCCATGAACGACAAGAAGAGCTTGATTACCGATTGAGAATGGTACAGCGGGAGATGGAGCAGGTGACGGAGAGTACTTTGGCATCGAGGCGACAGCAGACGTTGAGGCACACTGGGGAAGAGGGCTTGTTGGTATCCGATATGAGAAGGGAGATAATGTTGATGACTGAGCAGATCTCACTCCTGAGGGCGCAGCAGAGGTCGGCTTGGGCCCTGGGTTTGTCAGATGATCCTCCGCCAGGATACACACCTAGACGAGGTGAACATAGTTGAATGGTAACATCAGCGGTGGCAAACGTGTCTTCCTGACAGGCTTTATCTGTACCTAGGACAGCGTGGCGCTCTCTGCGCTCTGGTGCCAGTTACGGGTTGCTTGTATATTTATTTATTCAACGAAAGCTACATTTTCAATGGAGCTTCTTGTAAAATGCCAGGCATGTGGTACAATGTGTGTATCATTTGTTATATCAATGGTGGACGTTGAGATCTGAGATGTTGAACCTCCTGCCAACTCAAATAACGTTGCGATTTCGATCTACTACAAGTTACAACTTCCTTCTTACCCGGTTGGGCGTCCTCTTTTTCCAAGACCTCAAAGACAAGTTCTCGTCCTGTACTAGTGTCGCGATCCTTCCAATTAGACCAGGGGACTCTGCCATGACAGGTCTCGTAGTACCCAACTTCTGGAGTAATCTTTACAGTACATGATCCAACGAGACTAGCGGTGGGTGCGCGTCCTATTGGCATCGTCTCCCGATCATGATGCCCTTCAGAGGATGGGGGGAATGTGGACACTGCGTCCCTCATAAGAAGTTTCAACATTAGAAGAGGCCGGCCCGAATAGCACATCTTCGATCCCAAATCCGATCCAAAGTTCCATTAATTAATGAATATCGAACTGACTCTCAGGATATCATGACGATGCCTCCCTCAAAATCTGCATCCTAGGTGTATATCCAGGCGGATGATCGTCCGACAATCCCATGGCCCACACAGACTGCTGCTGCTCCCTCAAGACGCGTATTTGCTCGAGGTCTTCTTGTCGTGCACGGCGAACCTCCTCCTGTGTTCCTAAATCATTCAGAAAGGATGGCAGCAGAGGAGAGGTAGTGCGAGTATTGCTACTACTAGCACCGATTGCACTTGAATTCAAAGTTGACGGTAAAGCTTTTTCTGCCAAAGATGGCATTCGGTGGTTATTATGCATGTTGGCCTGGTTGTCAGTATTCAGGGGAGACTCGCCGCCGGCTGCTGTGATGGTGGCCATGAATTGCGATATTCTATACTCGGGATCCCCGTTTCCCTTGAAATCATAACCTCCCCGACGACGCCAGCAGAACAAAAGGGAGATGACAAGGGCCAACAGGGTAATTCCACCGGCTATGCCACCAGCGATGGCGCCTACTGGAGTCCTCCGAGCTGGTGCACCCGTAGCTGTGGTAGATGGTGCCTGAGACATAGTTGTCACCGTGGACAGCGATGATAGCGACGAAGTGGTGGTCGAAAGACCATTGTCATAGCTAGGTGAAAAAGAAAAAAAGAAAATCAAAAAGCAGCAGTAAATCGGTGAATCCGGCTTACGTGTAGATTGCGTAGTCGAAGTTGACGTATATGGGCCCATAGGTACCCGGGCCCGAGGTAGAGATGAATAGTGTATGGAGAGTATTCGAGAGGTTACTTTGAGAAAAAGCCAGCACATCATATTGGATGTAGTTGGCATTGCTCTCGAAAAGTACTGGTTGGTTGCTATCAAGCGTGAAGTTGGCGCTGTTGAGAGTTACGGGGGAAGTATTCAAGTGTCCGAGGATAAAAAACACATAAATCGCGGTTCCTGTTGAGCGTCGATCAGGATATCGAAAGAGACAGAGACTTTGATATCTACCATTAAACTGCATGTTAATTTCCATCGTCGGATCGCCGACGAGATAGGTCGCTGCAGTATATGTGCCGTCGAACACCTGGGACGTGTCGGGAAGAATAGAACACGCGCCGCACGATTGCTTATTCCAGGCGTTCTGGCTCGGATAGTAATTTACTAGACGGTGTGTCACGGAGTCGCCGAGCTGGTCGTCGATTGTCGCATTCACGATGACGGCGGCGACCTTAGAAGGCCACAAGTAAATGCCGATAAGAGCGTAGCCTAGCGCTGCGCCCAGACGCATCAACTTCATGAGGATGAGGAAGATTCACGAGGTTATGTCGGGGCAGCCTTTGTCGGTGGCACCTGATAAGTCAAAACGAGAACAACTTGAAAGTGGGCACTGGCTCCTCGGGTCGCTTCACAGCCTGGGGTGCCTCGGCTGAGAGTCAATGCGGTCATATAAAGACTCAACGTTCAACGTTCAACCATCGCATTGATCCAGGAATCGCGGCAGAACTTTAAAGTGTCTGAAGGATCAGACTTGCTGTCAAGGAGCTTGCCGTCTCGATAAGGTCCTTCTACTTTGCATAGACTCGTTCCAAACGCGGTTTTCTTAGCCACCGATTGGCTGGTCCGGACGTCGATATCATTATACATCCATATGGCCATCAAGCAACCAGCTCCGGTTTGAGGAACAGAAGCTCCTTTTCCAGACGAACATCAAAACTGATCTACAAGCTGAGGTGTGCACCGCACAGTGCGCAAGAGAGGTTTCAACCAATATACTACTTCTTAAATGATTGTCAACCCACCTTCTTTGTGCCCAGCGATTTTCTTCTCCCTGCCACAGCTACGACCCTGTGAGTGATGTCGGCCTCGCCTGCTCGTTGGGTCGTAGTAGACGATGCTGATAGCAGCATCAACTCCACTGGACCCTGGTTTGAAGCCTCGTTCAATGAGCTCGATAGTTCGGGCCCACGTACCTTCGCACATCGCATGGGACCAACGGCTCTAAGCTTTGACTACTCCTTCCAAGGTTTGTCCCTGGTTTGTCCACACACAGAGCCTGTCTTTGAATAGTTTGTCTCAACACTGCTACCTCCAGGATCTGCCGTGAACGTTTTTGGAACGACAAACATCAACAACTCGTCGATAGACCCATAGCTTCATCGACGGCGTAAGTATTGGCTCGACCTCCCCATTTCAATACGCCGAAAACAACTGGCTTTTGTGTACGTGGAATAACAATGGCCCAGCTGGCTCACACGTCCTCACCGTGAACGCAAAGTCGACTTCTGGTTCGACTTGCTCGCCGCCTCAGTGCTTCGGTCCAGAATGCGGTGGTATGCCTTGACCACCTGGACGCAGCAATCAAGTTTGATTCGTCTTGGGGGGCGCTGGGCGGTTCAGCGAGCATGACGACAAAGGAGGGGTCAACAGTGACACTTGACTTTATTGGTGCACACCCTTGCCTTCTTCCCTCCAAAATCCGGTACTGACAACAATTTCTAGGCACGCAACTCAGCTGGTCCGGCTGGATACCAACTGAGCTCCCGCACGGCCCGTCACTAGGGACATACGCGGTCGACGGGCAGACCATTCCAACCAGCTTCACACTAAAGGGTTTACTACCCTCGGCCTCAACTACATTCTACAACCAACAAAATTTCCAAACACCAGTGCTTCCTTATGGGTCTCACGAACTAGTGGGCACATATGGCGGGGATGGCTCATCCTCTGGCACCTACTAACTGTCGCATATATCCTTATCCAAGATGGCAGTCTGTCCATCTCCGCACCTTCCGCATCAAGCTCAAGCTCAAGTTCCGCGCTTTCAAACTCCACAGCATCAGACGGCACAAGAATATTTACCACCTCCTCCTTAAAACCATCAACATCCTCCTCCTCCTCTTCCTCCTCCTCCTCCCCCTCCCCCTCCTCCTCACCATCTTTCTCCTCCCACATCCCACTCGGCGCTATAATTAGCGGTAGCGTAGGCGGCCTCGTTCCCATTATTCTCCTCATCATCTGCTTCTACAAACACCGTCGCTCTCCTTCGTACAAAAAGGCAGAAGTACAACCATTCGACGTCCCCACTGCGCCGCAGAACAATGTTCACTTTTACTCGGATGAAAGTCATAAACCAGCACTACACACAACACAGCCCAGCACCCACTCGCACGACCCGCCGTATACGAGGAAACAACAGATGGAGGCTCTGACGATGCAGATGCGGATACCGTCTCCGTCGACAGTTGATACAAGTCCTGCTCGGGGATCGTATACTCATGGAGCGAGTGGGAGCAGGTCCAGAGCGGTGTTGCATCAGGGTAGTGGGGTTCGGCTGTCCAGGCAGGTGCAGCAGGGGGGAATGGAGGTGCTTGTGGATTTGCCGCCGTTATATACCCCTGGTTGACCACAACGCTTTATCTTTATCAACTAATTTTCTTAGAAGACTACTATTGTAGGTGTGCGAAGTTGCTTGTTTTTTGCTTTGTTGTGCAAATAACACTAATCCCTTGCTCCCCGCTAACCTTTGAGTTTCGAAGCTTTATGTATTACTTGAAAACCATAGTCTTATATACATATCCTAGCTCACCACCGAATAAAAGCATATACATAACTTATCCCTCCACAATGCACTAATATCACAATCAATAATACCCCCTCCTCAACCTCTCATTCTCCTCCCTCAACGCCCTATTCTCCTCCCTCAGCTCCCTCAAATCACCAACATACTCATCCATCAGCCCCCTCAACTCCTTCTTCCACCCCCTCCCCATCCTCACAAGATCCAAATGAAGCCCGACCATCTCCTGCCGCGCCTCGCGCTGATAATCATACATGACATCTTGCACGATCGTTTTCAGGAGCTCATGGGCTGAGGAGCTTCCGTTGTTTGAGGTGGATGCGCGGAGGGGTGAGGGGGCCCAGGTTTTTGTGTCTTGTAAGCCAGAGGGCGAGGTGGTGGTGGTGGTGGAACGACGGATGGGGGAGACTTGCATGCTCAAACTGCGTTCCATCTCCCTTTCTTTCTCCTCCTCGTCTTCATCGTCTTCATAATCCCTAAATCCAACACTCTTCCCCTTCCCCTTCCTTTCCCGTTCCTTCGCCTTGTCATTAATATCAACCCCCTTCCCAGCATTAATCCACCTATCCACCTCAGGCGTGCCAAGCCCCAACACACCCATATTCGCCTTCTTGTGCTTGTGCTTGTGTGCGGGGAGAGGTGTGATGGGATCCGGGGGAGGAGTTGGGAGGTCAGGAGACGGAGTCCGGCTTCTTGACCTCCTTGGAGGAAGAAGATGAGGAAGAGAGGGAACGGGGGGTACAGGTGAACTCGCCCTTCGTTCACCTGCGGGAGAGGCAGATGAGGAAGGCCGCGAGGAAGAGGTTGCGCTGCTGCCCGTTGCTGTGCGTGCAGAACGGCTGGAGACGGCTGATGCGGACTCGGATGTGGCACGAGAGGCGGAGGAGGCTGTACGTGGTCGTGTCTTTGTTGTTGGAACCGCGAGTTTATCATCTGGTGCTGAAGTGGGCTGGGGTGGTATCGAGGTCGTAGTTGAGGTGGTTGATGTTTTCCGTGTCCGGGACGATATACTTGGTACTGTTCGTGCTCTGCGAGGGGGATCCTCTGTAGTAGTAGTAGCAGCTGCGGAGGAACGAAGTTTTCCAGCTGAAATGAACGTTTTTATTGTTGGAGATGGTTCTATGACTGGGGGACTGTTCTCCGCCTTCTTCACCGGGGTGGTTTGGGTATTTCCTCGTAAAGTACCAAGAGTTTCAATTTCCACTGAATAACAAGATGAATACAGATTTTGACATCCCCAGACGAAAAACGTACCAGAAATGTCGCCCGTACTTGCGCTGTTTCCATGAGGATCCTTTGCAGGCGAGAGTACTTTTTTCTTTGGTATTGGTACAGTACCACTGGCTTTGGAAAGTGGCGAAGAAGTAACTCCTCCCTCCTTTAATGATGAAGGTAGTCGTCGCGTTACAGGCGACGTGCCTGATCCAACACGGGCAGCTCTTGGACGCGCAGGCGATGGAACGGCGGATTTTGCTGCAGTGGCGGATGTACGACGGGTCAGTTCTGTCGTCGCGGGTGTTGCAGATGGCTTCGCAGAAGTATCTGCGACTAGCTTGACTTTTTTCTACTTTGGCGTGAGATTGATCGGCGTCAGTTGATAATGGTACTAACCTGTACGCTGATAGTTTCTATACGACTGCCTATTTCGCTGAGGACAACGGTCTTGGGTGGTTTGTCCAATGCACGCAGGTCTGTGATGAGGAGTTTGCCGTTCTCAGTTCCGAGGTAGATTGCTGCGCCTTCTGGTGAGAACCCTATGGAGGTCAAGGTGAGCTTGAGGTTGAGGGTTCGGAACAGGCTGAAAGACTTTTTTAATAGATGTTGTGTAACAGTAGCCAAGAAACTCACGCTTTTTCTTTTTCAAGATCTATCAGCCCAACAAAGCCTCCTGAGGTGGCAACTGCCACGAGCGTCTTGCTGAAAGGACTACAAGCAACAGAGGTGATATTCCCAGATGTGGATTCGCTCATGACGATGGTTTTACTTGGCCCAGAAGGACGCGTGGTGTCATACACCATGAGTTGTTTTCCACACGCAATCAAGAGCCTAGTCCTGGCGTGTGGGTGGAATGTACAGGCGAGTATAGACTGGCCCGCTAGCCCTCGGAGAACGGTATGGGATCCCAAAGAGAGGTTGTATACGTGCGCTGCCCCCGTAGACGTGGATGCAAGAAGCGTAGAATCGTTTGAGAGAGACAATGAAGTCACTGATGATTTGTGTGAATCGAACGTCTGCGTGATCTTTCCACCCTCCAGAACCTGAACCTTGTCTCCAACAGCGAAAAAGAGTGTCCCTTTGTCTTTTGAGACTAAATGTGCAATAGAATCTGGCTCGGAAGACGTGCATACGTCAGTCAGAGAGTTCAACGATGGATCATACTTGTGGATGGTGTGGGCCGATGAGAGGTAGAGAAAGGCGTTGTCAGATGACCATGCGCTCGCTGTTGGCGGGTTGATAAGGTCGAGGCAAGATGGTATTGAGGAGGGAGCCTTTTTTAGGACTGCAGGATCTGTGATACACAGCGTGTCGGTTGTTGTCGCGGCGAGCATGATGGTTGAGAAAGAAAGTTGAACGCGTAAACAGCACCAAAGAACGCGCTGGTCACGCACTGCTCCTCCCAGCTCACCATGGCAATCATGGCATTCCCATCGATTGTCCACTTGCCGCTCTCCGGACACAGTGAGTCGGAAGAGACAACATGATCGCCATTCTAAAGCCCTCCTACTGTCACGGTGAGTCTTTTTTCAGAAGCACTACGCTGTAAAATATGAATTAATAAACTCGGAACCCTTGCACAGTACTATGACTCAGGAGTCTATGCAAATTGTCGTTTATGACGTTGACGATAATTCAATAACGTTCGATGCTTTGTACTTTCTGAGTCTCTGGGCAAAGCTTTTAGGAGAATTTAGTTCGAACAAGCTAGGTAAGGTCACCTCAGCTCACGGCCGCAGTATATCATGATGGTTGAACGGTTCGTAACCAGAATCACCGCAGTCGTCAATTGTCTTCTATGATCATTGTCGGCTCGAATCAATCTATTTTCAAGCCCGTAACCAAGCAAGCGGCATTGCACCAATTGGCAATTCGTCGTCTTCTGGAAGAGGTGGAGTGATGAATCATGAATGGTTGGACTTGAATTCTTCTTTTTCCAACCTCTCCCTAAAGTACCATGAAGTTGGCTGGTCCAGTCGCTTTGGTCTATTCTCTCATTACCATTCATCTATGGCCTGTCACCGCCGCCCTCGTCAATCGGACAATTGACGACCAATTTGGCGACTCTGTGACGGGCCTCTTGCCTGTTTACTCGCCTGCTAAGGGAGTTTGGGATAATCAGACATGTGTTGGATGTGCTATCAAGGCCGATGTCACTCGAGCGTTCATGGCAACGTATTCTGCTGCAACGTACAATCCTGGTCTGACATCGATGGGGATCACCATGCGGTTCAGCGGTTCGTCTTCCTTCACCATCATAGCTCCAGAGTCGTTTGGATTCTGATGGTGTAACATCCCTTAGGAACCGCGATATACGTGTTTTTCATCCTTGCGAACAACCAAGGCGATGGTATTACAACAATCACTCAGTCCAACTTCTCAGTCGATGGCGGGTTACCTGTGCCCTTCCTTCATGCACCTAATCTCGCGACCACCGCCTTCCAATACAACTCTTTGGTGTTTTCCCGTACTAATCTCTCGAACGGGGATCATAGACTCGACATCACCACCACAGGTTCCATCAACATATATGTCAATTTCGACTACGCTATTTATACGTGAGTGGAAGACCAAGTTTACCGCTCCCTTTCTGACTACCACGTTCCTCAACATAGCCAGGATGATACTCCACCAATTTCATCAACCACATCGCTGCCACTTACCACTCATAAACCATCGGCAACAACAAGCGGCACAGTGCAAAGTACAACAACAGGACCGCCTGCAACTACAAGCACTACTCCCCCGTCCGCAACGAAGCCGATAGGAGCTATTGTCGGTGGAGTAGTGGGAGGCTTAGGGGTTGCTGCCCTTGTCGCCCTGGTCCTTCTCTGCTGGTATCGTCGGCGAAACAGCGGCGCTCCTCGGAAGAATTCAGGAAATGAAGGCGACTCTCCTCCGGTAACACAGTTTAACGGTGCAGCATCGGCATACGGATCTTCGTCCGCCCAACTCCTAGTTCATTCGACAGCCTCGATAGTCCCTATGGCCAACTCAGAGAACTCTCATGGAGGCTCGCAGGATGACTACCTGGCTAATTCCAACCATGACCCTGTTGACCAATCCAACATGCGGAACGCCTACCAAACTCTCCCTTCAGGCCAGGTAGTCCTATACCCATCAGGATCCACACCATTGCCATCTCTACTTCCTTCAACCTCCATAGCTAGTGACACCCAACACCCCTCTCTCTCCCGACCAACTCAAGCCTCCGCCATACAAACACAAGAAGAAATCCGCCGCGCACGACAAGCAGAGCTCGACAACCGACTAAGAACAGTCCAACAAGAAATGCAGGAGATGCAAGAGTTAAGGATGGATATGAGGCCTGAGAAAGCGGGGCCGGGGCGGTCGTTGTCGTTGAGAAGACAGCGAACGTTGACTAGGAAGACGGGGGAGGTGGAGGTTACGGAGGAGGAGGTGGACATGTCGGTATCGGATATGAAGGAGGAGATTCGGTCGATGAAGGAGCAGATTAGGATGTTGAAGGAGCAGAGGAGGTCGCCGTGGGCGGAGGGATTGTCGGATGATCCTCCGCCGGGGTATACGCCTACGGAGACGAGGACGAGAGATGTGTTGATGTAGATTTTGGGGCAGGGTACTGGTGTTTGTAGTTGCTACAGAAGAAAATAAAATAAAATAAAATAAAAAGAGGGAAAAAGCGAAAAAAAGAGGAATATTTCTTATCTTATCTTATCTTACAATCATGAGCTATAAACTACTGACCCATCTTTCCATCTCCACCTACAACTGGCCTACCAACCTTATTCTGACAGGGCCTTTGGATACCTGCTATCCCCCCCATCACAGTCTACTCTGTTGGGGATTTTCCAGTAAATTTTATCTGCCCTACTGCCCTCAAATTCTGGCCTAGAGCATCATTTCCTGCTCTGATTCTCTTTCAAGGTAATTAGGGAGCTGAAATTTCTAGGACATCTTGTGCAGGCCTTTTATTAGCTAATTAAACTGTATTTTGTAATGGGCTAGCAGTGATATTGTGTGGGCTGAATTAATCCTCTCCTGTGATGGTTCAGGAAAATGACTATCCACATCCAAATGATAAAGCCCTGGATTACTTTAAAAAATTTGGGTGGGAGCAATTGATCCTTTGCTTGATGGGCTGTATGTGAAGCACCTCCATTTTGATGTTCACAGGCCATACTACAGAATATATTTTGTAGAAGATATCATTTTCATTTCCCTTTGCATGATTACAATTCTGTACAATTACAGCTTTTTTTTGCAGTCAGGATCTCCTGATTAATGCTAGATACTCACACATAAGCTTTAAAAACAACTGTTTCTCTGCAACAGTAGGATGGACATAACAGCATATTTTGTACCTTGACACAATCCCAAGTATCAGTTCCATTTTTTTTACCCAAGGCTCAGGCATCAATAGTTGTTGCATAGCTGACTTGAATCTAATTTCTTCGGGAATGGGAAGAATCCCAGAAACCTCTTTTGTTTAGGCATACATTGAATGATTTACCTATCCTCTGATTTCAAATGACTGTGGCACTTCATCTCACATTTTTTCAGCTAATATTCAAAGCTGATCAATTATCCAAATGTCAAATTGACCATCACATTCTTTCCCTGTTGAATTTCTTGTCCCAACAGTTATATTGTGATGTAGTTGAAAATTGAACAGTAAAATACATAGAAATTTTGTAATAGCTTATATTTGCGCAATAATCTCAATGTATCTTCTGTTTTACATGATGTAAAAATGTGGTGGAAGGCCGCAGAGAGGGCAAAAGTATACGAGCAAGAGAGATTACACAGCCACTTGCTATCACATAAGCGTGCTATAACATAAGCATAGCTCTCACATAAGCGTAGCTATCACATAAGCGTAGCTATCACATAAGCGTAGCTATTATGTAATAGCAACTACAAACACCAGTAGTCTGCCGATTTTGGTGTCATTAGTATTACTAAATATATTTCTTTTTCGCCACCATCATCCAACTTTTGTCTGTCAGACAATCGATACTGTGGGCAGCACTAGGTTCTCCAGGCCCCACCACTCTGCAGGACCTTCTCCAGCACGAGAAAGACAGTCTTTTAATGACTGAATATACGAGCTGGGCACCATGCAGTTCGACGCGGATCCGGGCCGACTTGTACGTTTCACTTGTCTCCCACTGTTGTAAATTCTGTGCCAGTGCCGCTTAGAGTATGACCGATATCTCCTCAGCACAACATGGCATCTGTGGAGATCAAGGGTGCTTTCAAGTGCTTTGGTATCGTGACCAGATTTGTGCGAAGGCCTGCAAGCAGCAGTCTCACGCTCCTTCCAAGTTTGCTAGCCTTTGCTGCTTTGAACAATTCATCGACAACTCAAGTCTCAGACAACTTTCAACAGAAGTTAGAACTTTCAACTATGTACGACTCCAATACGACTCTCAAAAAAAATAACTCGCTGACTATAGCAACAGTCTAGATGACATGGATCAACGGTCCATGTGCCGAAACTGGAACTCTGGGGCGCTCCGAGTTGCTCAATACTCGCTGGTCAGTGGAAGCGCCGCCATGGCCAGCTGCCACTTTTACTCTCGCAAACCTCCAGTGGCGTAATAAGCCTTATCAGACGCCAGGGACGTGATCCAGCCATAATTATGGCATTGCTTTCCAGTGCTTTCCTCTTTCTTGAATCCTCTTTGCCTTGCCATCCCCCATCCCCATGAAGTTGATGCGTCTGGGCGCGCTTGGCTACGCTGTTATCAGCATCTACTTGTGGCCTTCTAAGGTAGCCGCCGGCATCCGTAATGCGACAATCGACGACCAGGACGGTGACTCTCGGGTGACAAACAACCATGTCACTTACTATCCACGCGAGAACGCTTGGGATGATCAAACGTGCGGCAGTAACAAGTGTGCCCTTGTTTTTGACACGTCGCTGGCATTCGACAATACATATACTGCGGGGACGTGGGACCCCGGCAATGCGACGATGGGAATCAACATGCAGTTTAATGGTAGGTATCATAGGATCTGTCTGTTTCGATATCCATATCAACATTCAACAGGAACCGCGATTTATGTGTATTTCATCCTCGCAAACACAATTGTCAACAGCGCCAACTTCACACTTGACAGCGACGAGCCAGAACTTTACAGCTACCAACCCAGCGCAACCCAATATAATGCGACAGTTTTCTTTCGATCCAACCTCCCGAATACTCTCCATACACTAAACATCTCTACCACAGGTCTCACGCCCCTATACGTCAACTTCGACTATGCAATCTACACGTAAGGCAGATTCACCGATTTACTCCCGCTTTATGATTTACTTTTTCTTTCTTTTCACCTAGCTACAATGATGGTGATTCGACCACCACCTCGTCGCCATCATCGCTGTCCACGGCGACGACTATGTCTCAGGCACCATCTACCACCCTTACAGGTGCACCAGCTCGGAGGACTCCAGCAGGTGCTATCGTTGGTGGTGTAGTGGGTGGAATTACGCTGCTTGCCCTTGTCATCTCCCTTCTGTTCTGTTGGCATCGTCGGGGAGGCCATGATGCCCTTCGGAGTATTAGGGGAAACGGGGGTCCCGACCATCTAATGAGGCAATACGACGATGGGGTAGGCAATCTAGCGGTGTCAGCCTCTGCGATGCCATATACGCAACCGCTTGCAGTCGGCTCAGAATCCCCCATGGCCAGCGTCACGCTACCCGGCAGCCTCGGTACTAGTAGCAACAACCGTAGTGCCTCTGCTCTGCTACCATCTCCTTTGAATGTCACAGGAACACGGGAGGAGGTCCGCCGTGCACGACAAGAAGACCTCGATAATCGGCTAAGAGTGGTACAGCATAACATAGTACAGTTGGAGGAGTCAAGCGCAAGTTCTGGGAGATCGGTGTCATTGAGGCGGCAGACTTCGGGGGCGTTTGATTTCATTGAAGAGGAGATGCAAATGTCAATGCTTGACATGCAAGAGGCGATTCGGTCGCTGAAGGAGCAAATGCGCGTTTTGAGGGAGCAGCAGCAGTCCGCATGGGCCCAGGGATTGTCGGACGATCGTCCGCGCGGATATACACCTATGGAGGGGATGCAAATTCCAGGGGAGGCATCGTCGTAATATCTTTACAGTGTCTTGCATAATGCTTTGCAGCATGAATTTTTTCAAATCGTATTTGATTATATTTGTAGTGAACCTGATATGTCACAACTAAGGCCCAATGAAATCAAGGGGTGCCGGCCCGGGAATCCCGTACCGGGACCCGGTTAGTTAGTCCAGCCGGCCCGGTTATCATGGTTGTGGGAGTATAAAAGGAAAGAGAGAAAAATTCCCAAAAAGGAAAGAGAAAAAGAGAAAAAGGAGGGATTTCCTGACTTATAGTAACCTTTCTCTTGGTAAAAATTCCAGAAAATTACCACACTTACAGTGGCCACCAACATGTGAGCATGACATTAATTGTTATACCACTTTTTCATGATACTTCTGATGGCGAAGAATCAAAGTATGTACATAGATTTGGTAGCATTCTCAACCCTCAAAAGAAATTCACAAGAATAAAAGGGGTGTCTGCTATCCTTTCCTTCATATTGTTTTGAACCACATGAACCACAGGAATTTGTGCACTGATCCTTGTTAATTCAACCTCCACATCCTTTTTTTTCACACTTCCAACATTTCCTTGCTGCATGTTTTATACTATGGACTGTCACAGAGGATTCAGAGATAAATTTTGAAATTAGAATTTCTCAATAGGTTGACCTTCATCTGGTTTGATTTCAAAGAACTTAAATGGATATATACAATTTATCTGTGGATTGTAATAGTTTTATATCTGTGACACTTTAGCTCAAATTTCCCACTCATTTTTAAAGATGATATTAGTACACTTGTAACACATTACACTCTAGAGAAATGTAACATCTCTGGTATACCATAAAAAAAAGATCTCATCTGAAGGCACATGATTGCTTTCAAAATTTTGATTTTGGCAAGTGGATCAGGTGTTACTAATCCTGTGTAGATTTTTTATTTTTCTGTTGGGTATCCAGCATGTGTGTCTACCCTGAGTTATTATTCTCACCAGGCAATACACTTGGTCCTGCAACTGAAATATTTTCAGGTGGAAAAGGCATATTATAGAGCATTGCTTGGTTTTGATCAGTGTAATGGCTGGTAATTAGTTGCTTTCCTGATGATGAGGGCTGGGCCACTGGTAGAGTTTATTGCAATATGCTTGTGAAACTCAGGGTTTGAATTTGAGAGCTTTAACTCCTTTGCATTGAGATCTAGTCTCTGCCAGATTACATGTGTGCAGTTACTTTAGATGTTCCCCAAGCTGAAATTACAGTTGATAAATGATATTTTTGATTATCACAGGAAATGATGCTGCACACAATGTTGTGGGAGGGGAAGATGTTAAAAATGTCGAAAATTCAAAGTACAGGACAAGACAGGGGCGTGGGAACTATATACCATACATGGCAGCATCCGAATACAGAAATCATAGCAGTTGCTAATGTTTCCATTCTCGGAATTATTTGGTAGCAGCTGCTACTACCCACAGCCATGGGAACTCCGCCGTCCAGCCACAGGCTGTGAAAAAAAAAAAAGGACACCTTGGGCAGAGGGCCTTCAATCATTAAGTTGAGTACTTTGCAGCATAATATAGTAACTACAGAATGTACTGGGAGGAATACAGCTCCAATAGAGGCCATCAAGCACCATGATATAAGATATTCATCAATTCCTGCCATATTTGGGCATTTTTTTGACATTACTTGAATTACCGTTGACCAACAATATCCTAAAATCTACAGTATGTCTAACATTGGTTTCATTCTATGTATCACACCATTGAGACCGAGCCAGCTGTTCTTGATGCGGAGGGCTTCGCAATCTGTCCAGATTGTGGTAGCCGTGTATCCTCATCAAATTCTCATATGCAAACAAGGTGTGCGAGAAACGCTGGGTAAGTACATTGTATTATGAGAACTGAGTGATTTTCCAACTCACGTTATATGCCTAGTTCAAACCATCTAAAAGTGTGGAACATGTGCAAGCACCCCGGAATTGTGCCTGCACGACTTGTGCAAAACGTGGGGAGAGCGCTCACAAATGATGTCATATTACTATATATAGACACGTTCCTGATTACGTTAGTTAGTTAGTCCACCTCAAGGTCACCTTAAAAAAAAAATCGACCCCGGGTCTTTTTTTTCAATGCCGGCACCCCCTTGAACGAAATGATCTCTGTCCGGAATAAGCCTGAATGTGACATCTCAGGACCAGTTTAATCAAGTTTAAACAGAGTGTTTACTCAAGTCCAATGAGAGCCGACCAAGGCTAGTTGCACGTGCACAAAACAGTTGTGTGTCCGCTGACACACAACTCCGAGCTGCTGCTCATATTTTCTCCAACTCACGTGGTCCACGCCTGGATGAGCGTTAGGAGACTCTAACATATTTTTAGATCTACCCCTCATGGTTGAGGAGTGAGATTGAGACGCCCCTTTCCGCTAGGCTCTCGTCTTGACATCTCACTCCTCAACCAGGTAAGATCTTCATCTTTCTATCTAGGCTATCGTCTTGATATCTTACTTCATTGTCCAGTTTAGCATACACATTTTTCGTCACCCTCCCACCCTCTTCCTTGTCATACAAATGCTCACATTAGTACTGCTCATGTATGTAGCCATACCTCGAGTGGAAATACGTCGGAATCAGGCGTGCGCCGCGCCTGATCTTCCTGACTTTGGCTATTCCCTTGTCACTCAGTCAGTCACATCGCCTCTGCATCACGCAAAGCCTAGGCATCATTGGACACAGCCAAATACAATTTCAAAAAATTCACGCTGCAAAGCATTATGCAAGGCACTGTAGTGTGACGGCAGCTGAGTAGTTGGCATCCCCTGTAGTGTGAAGTGTCATTGAACATTGATATTCAAGAACATAACGAGCACAGATGATGACGCACTGGCACAGAACAGGGTGCCTGACAGGAAGGGCCCGATACTACACAATTTAAATGGAAGAGATTCTTGCAAGATTAACGCTTGATTACAGTGTCTTTCACTGCCGTTTGCACAGCGTGAATCATAATTTTGTGTTTGCTTCTGTTGTACCTGTTACCCTCAGGGTTTTTTGTCACTGCAAATTGAACATCTGCAGGTCAGCAAATTCACGAGGAGAACGGGATTCTTCTTCATGCCAGATGATTATGTATCCAGAGACTTGAGTTGACATGGGCAAGGGCTAGAGTGAGGTCGGACACTGGTTCACTCAAGATCCCTAAGAAAAACTCATCCATTCTGGGCCAATGTGTGACAAAAAAACCCTGAGGACAACAGAAGCAAACACGAAATTTACGATTCATGTGTGCAAATGGCAGTGAAAGACACTGTAACGCGAACTCAACTTCAGTACTTCTGTTTTTTTTTTCTGGGGGGGGGGGCCAATTTTCACTATTGCTAGAGCGGACCCTATGTCAAAGCAAGGGGGGTCCAAGATTTTTTTTAATCCTATAGGGTTGAATTTTTTTCTAAGGCCTCGACGGCTGGACTAACTAAGTGTGGGAATATATTTCCAAATATAGAAACATTACATCATCATGTCTATGATCATCACAGCACAAGCCTGGGAGTCTGTCAATGCATGCACGCAACTCTGTCAACAATGCAGCAGCTTTTGGACACAAGATTTGTGTTGAAGAGCTCGAGATGATGTTGAATGGATATTAGTAATACTACATGACTCACCAAGGATATTTCTTGCTTGGCACCACCATCGTCCAAAAATCGTTTGTCAGACAACTGACACTGTGGGCAGCACAAGATTCTCAAGCTCAGGGTCTAATCACTCTGCAAGACCTAATCCAGCATGACAATTTCAATTACTGACTTTGAGCCCTTGAAGAGCTCAGTTTGAACTGTTGTATTTGGGACCTGGACGACTACCTTGTACGTTCCCAGGCTGCATCCATTTGTCTCCCTCTTCTAAAATTTGCGCCAGTGTCGCTTAGAGTATCACAAATACTTCATCGCCTATCAACATGGCATAGAGAGGCTGTGAGGCCATTCTGGTATCGTAATTTGCATGCAGACCTGTGTTTGTTCCTTTGCCATGATTTGGAACACTCTAACAGCCCTCATCAGAACCATCACTCCTCAGGAAAGATCCCGCTGAAGGTAGCACTGATGCTTCTAATAACATAGATCAATGGTGTGGTGAGGTCAGGTTTCTGATTGGGTATTATTTGCTGGAAAGGACTCAGGAAGCTCATACACTCACGACATGCAAGTATTTCCCTTTGTCTTGTCTTCATTCTCCCTTTCGTAAATGAAGTCAACTAGTTCCAGGACACTTTTGTATGCTCTTGGCATAGCCATCTGCCTCTGGAGTCCATGCGTCGCCCCCGATCCCATCAACCACACAATTGATGACCGATATGGGAACTTGTCGACAGGCTTCATACCCATCTATTGGCCTAACACAAGTTCGTGGGCTAACCAAAACTGCACTGGGTGCGATATCCAGCTCGATGTCACCAAAGTTTACAACAGGACATATTCTGCGGCAATGTATGATCCTGCTACTAGCACAGGATCAATGGGAATCAGTATACAGTTTACTGGTAGGCCCTTTCTTAATTAACCCCGCTGTACAGCCTTGACTTACCATGTCGGATCCTAGTCGTTATTTGACAGGAACTGCGATTTATGTGTATTTCACCCTCGCAAACTGGCAGGGACCGACTGCTTCTACAGTTCCGACAAGCACCAACTTCACAGTCGACGCTGAAAAACCTGTGTTATTCATACATCAGCGTGATCTGACAACCAGCAGTTTTCAATACCAAGTATTAGTTTTTTCTCAAACTAACCTTCAAAATAATCCACACATCCTCAACATTATGACTATGGGTAGCGAGACTGTATGTTAACTTTGACTACGCAATATACATGTGAGTATCCTAGTTTCATACTGTTTTACCCTCACCTGTTTTTTTTTTCCTTTTCGTCTAGCTGTGATGATGACACTGTTTTGGCATCATCATCGACAATAGCATCTAAATCTCAAAAGTCATCAACAAGCAATGTAGTGCAACAAACTACAACAGGTCAGCCCACGACAGTAACTCATGCGAGAACTCCAGTAGGAGCTATAGTCGGCGGTATAACAGGTGGTATTGTGATATCTGTCGTTGTCATTTTCCTTCTGTTGTGCTGGCATCACTGTAGAGGTCGCGATGCCCAGAGGACCGCGCCTCCAATTACGGAATTCGAGACGGGAGAAAATCCTTCAATGGATGGACTAGCATATACCCAACCTCCAGTCCACTCAAAAGCATCGAGAGTCATACCCCACCAGACAGCTTATAACTCTGCTCCGAGTCAAGGAGGCGTGCTGCAGAATAAATCACGCAGTGCATCTGTTGGCCAGCAGAATCATCAGCTCTCTCATCAAAATACACGGGAGTTGACATGAAATGAGGTCTGGCAAGAACGACAAGAAGAGCTTGACAATCGATTGAGGATGGTGCAGCAGGAGATGGTGCAGGTCACAGCATTGGGGGAACAGCGAACGTTGGGGGTCACTCCGGTGGAAGGAGCAGACTTGTCGGCATCCGATGTGAGAATGGAAATTCAGTTGATGAGGGAGCAAATTGAGCTCTTGAGGGAACAACAGAGGTCGACGTGGGCCCTGGGACTGTCAGACAACCCTCCGCCGGGGTACACACCTATGGACACGAGGGTACTACGAGCCTCCAGGGAAATACAGGAGGGGTGTGCATCCTCATAGCTGATGCTTTTAATGAGATCTTCTCAACAAATGTTTATTAAATTGAGAAAGGTTTTTCAAGTCGGCAACCTTCTAAGGATCCCGTCTGAAAAATACTGTAGTATGAATCAATTAATCACCCTCTAGGTTTGAAGACAGTGCTCGTGTACCCAAATAATGCACAGCTGCAGCACTGGTGCGCATCATGCAATACAAGGACTTGAATGGGAATATATCGACTTACTCAAAGACCCATAACTTTAATTCCGTCGCTCGGAGGACCGTTGGGCCCAAAAGAAATATCACTGAAAACAAACGGTCATGTCGTCCTTGAGAGCATTTGGCATACCATACATATATGACATTCAAAGATGGTTATGAAATGCGCAGTACATATCTGACATGTAAACCTACAAGAGCTCTTCGAAATCTATGGATGCCCATTTGTTTTAGAAGGGGAGCATGTAAAACACATTGACTCCCTCTTGTTTATATGTCAAGTTTTTTATGGCGTAATCCTTCTCGGCGTCAGACACAGTATAGAAGTGGTCCGTGACATTGTCGCTTCAAAGGTGATAAACAGGGATGGCAGCACAAGCAGCGTCAGCATAGACGTATTCAGCAATTACTTCGTCGGCATACCCTAATCCCCGGATGGCAAACACGCACTCCACCTCATCGATGGTATAAAAGTGGTCTGTAATTGAGGCAGAAAACATCCTGTACAAGGGGACAGTGTGGGGCTCCTGAGAGGAGAAGATGTATCTGGATGTTCCAACTTGGTCGGTGTACCCAACTTCAGCAATGGCGTGTTGGTGCTCTGTGACGGAGGTTGTGTAGAAATGGTCTCCCCCTGCAACACTGTATGCCGTGAGCAGAGGAAGAGCAGTCCTGGGATCTCTGCAATTTCCAGGTACTGTATTAGTCTGCCATAGTTGAACGTGGGTCAAAAGGAAGAAAAAAAGATGCAGCTCACCTGTAAGGGATCCGGCGCAAAAACAAAACCAAGAATGGCAGTGACAAGAGCAAGTGTAAAAAACATCGCAATACTTCGAATGGGAGGAATGGGTTTGTTTCGCCATCTTTTAAATATCAGGCCATCAAGCGGTGCTCAGGAAAACTACAGTTTCAAGTCGTGGAGGCTACCACTTGGCTACCACCGTAACTGCGATGTTGATCACACAGCATGCATTCTCTTCTGATTTCGGGAAAATAGCAATTCTTGATAGGTACGACATCGGGCATCATGGAGGGTAACAGCACGGTCTGCAAGTAGATGAACAACATCTAACAGTTTATTGAGGAAGACACAGCCAAAGAACGCAGATGGGCGGGTCCCGCATACCTTCAGATGAAAGCATTGTCAGAGTTTTTATGTTACAAGGTGATGTATGTCAGAGCGAGCACAGAGGAGGGAACATTACAGCAAGATGCAAAATCCTAGACACCTCCGCGAAATTTCTCGACAATTTCTCGACTCCGCCTCACTTTATACAAACAACCGCATATGGTGCAATTCCGTATCATCATGACCTGTGGCACTCAATGATGTACTATTTATGTCGAATGTTTTACTCACCTTTGGGCTGAAATATGAGAGGGGCAGGGACGGCTTTCCCCGGATTTCCAAAATGAGACATACCATCAGACCCTGACGCTATTTTGAGCTTTGTTTGCCTTCGCCCTCCAGGGCGGCGTCAGCCATCGGCCTTTTTCGGTTCCTTGTGACAATGAGAGATTGATCTGTCTATGTACTATAGATTAATTGTCTACTTTAGATTAAGGACTCGTACTTTGAACCTCACAAACCCACTTGAGCTTCCGCTCCTGGCAAAGCCCCAGCCTCCACTGCTTCCAATCCCCTGCCAACCAATCCCCCGCCAAATTGACAGAGGGTGCAAAGGCAGCCAAGAAGCCGCAATGCCTGCTGATGGCGAGAAGGTCCCTTCAGTCCTCAAACAGGTCCACCCCGACACTGGTACCTCCTTCATGAACGATATCTTCGAACGCATCGCTTCATCGCTGGTTGGTTTTTCCTTTGATCATATACTTTATTTCTGCTTACCCCTCCAACTAACTAGCTGGTCACTGGCCTTGGTACGTGAGCGGCCCCAGTTTGAAGCTACACAGAATCAGTATTCCATTGATCTTCCCCGATTTTCAGCATCATAGGCCCTAATGAATCGAACAACCCCAATTTTCTGTAATATACATTGCTCACTTTGAATGTGATGCTGGCGCCGTCTAGCAGGGCGGCGTTTGATACGCATTATGGATGAAGTCTGTAAAAAGTACGTCGCATTAAAAATGTCTGTAAATTTAAACTAGTATCCATACATTTAACTAGGATGCCTGTAGATTCAGTAATATAGCTATGGGCATGGTGGGGGGGATTATGGTGTCTGGGCAAGGGAATGTGTCCGTCGATCTAACGAGTTGGCACAATAGAGAGAAAAAATCAGGTATTGAATTTGGAAAGCACGCCTTCTTGTTCCTGAGAGACGTCTCACTCTTCGGGTGTGCCATTTTTGCTTCGGCGCCGCTCATTGTGCTGAACTCGAATGGCCTTCAGAAGTGCCTTAATGGATCTATCAGCTGCTGGGTAAGTTGTCTGAAAAAGCTCTTCATCACGACCCAAACTGATAATAAGAGAAATCAGCAGCCTTCCTATTACCACAACGGCTCCGAGACACAAGTACGTACCATTCATACTCCTCTGCAATCTTCTTGCGCTGAGAGTACAAGGAGCCAGTATATTTCTTCATATTCCCCTGGTACCATTCTTTCGGCCAGTCCTTCAATGCTACCATGCCCGCATCACCAACCTCCCACTGCTGAATCACGCCACGCCAATTCTTCACATCACGAATGACGACACCAGGGATGGGTGGGTTAGACCCCGTAGATTGCATGGTTGCTGAACCATCAGTATCGTCGCCACTACTAGATGCACCAAGGCTTTGGGTGCGGCTGGATGACCTTGGAGGGTATGGCATCGAAGTCGGGAGTCGGCTATCCCAACCATGGCAGATGGTTCGCTCTTGAAGCGCAACATCATTAGATGTTGTGGCCATGTCTGGCTCAGGGCTGGGGGATTGAGAGAGCCGAGTGCCTGCAATGGCAGTTGTCACCTGTCCTACAATCTCAGAAACAGCATTATTGAGACTGCGGTCCATAGACAGCTTCCACTGGCGAATTTCCTCAGTTGATGGTGGTGCCTGATTGACATGCTCCCCCATGAAGCTCTTATCAGCTTCATTCGGAATCAGACAAAGCGCATTCCCATGGCCAGTCTCATAGCTTTGGAGTGAGTCTATGAGGTATTTGATCATTGTATCAACCTTTTTGAGGCGATTCAGCGATAACACAACAGATTCATAGTCAAACTCACTTGTTCACCCTTGGCCCACCCTCCCCACCACCTGATGATGCTCAAAGACCAATGGCGACCAATAGGTGCGTACATGAAACGATACTGGGCACCACCGCATTGGAAGCAATGGGTTGTGTATACCTTGGTGAGGCCGGCACCAGCAGCAAACTCGCTAAGAAGCTTTTGGAATGTATCATATGACATTGCGTGTTTGGGGTTGATGGTGCCGTTTTGTGAGATGTAGGGAAAGACGAAGTCATCAGGCTGGAGGCTGTGGCCAATGCGACTTTCGAGATGCTTTAACCAGCACAGAAGGTGTGTATACATGTCCATTTCAGCAATGTCTTGTTTGTAGATTCAATAAATTCCACCTTTGAAACAGGCCTTCAGATCGGCTGAATTGTTGTGGAGATGAGATACATACTGGTATGTGGGCCATCGTAGCCAGCTTGCTTTTGCCAATTCTTCCGCTCCTCAAGTTTGACTTCAAAAAATGGGAAGTGGTATGGGGCGGGACCGTTTAGTCCCTGTGTGATGTTGGCATTCTGCAAGGATAAGCCTTCAAATACTCTGCGAAATAGTTAGCTGATGCAGGCTGAATTAGGAATTCACGCTATCATCATACCTCAACATCAGCATGAAAAGAGTTGGACATAACGCCTGCATAAGGCCATGCATGTTCATCAGAGCAACATCGGACTGAGCGCTTGACGGTGCGTTATCAAAAAACTCATTTGGGCACTTTTCTTCTGACCATGCCATGATCTTTTGCAGGTCCTCAAGCAACATCGCCTCAGCATGCTTCCTCGTTGCAGCAGCCCCTTTGGTACCTGCTCTAGTTTTAACGGCCTTCATGAGATCATGGATGGCTGGAGCTCATGCTGGACATCCAGTAATGATACCAGTGGCCTTATCAAGAGCATAGGCACCAGCATACATCTGCTCATCCCTAAAGGTGTGTTTCATATTGACTAGGGGAGCATCATATCCACGTAACACTCACATTTTGTCCCAGTAGTCTGCGAAGGCCCCTTGAATCCCTTCAGCATAGCTTCTAGACAACTCTTTGGTGAACACCTTTTGGACAAGGAAGAATTCGAGTGCAACAGCTGAGTAGCGGTTCGGTGGTTTGTCAAACGCTTTGGCAAGCTCGGTTGTTGGGATCCCCTTGTCGCACACCTCAATACCCTTGGTGTCCCTCTCAGCCACAACATTTGCAAGGAACTTTTTCCCCTGAGCAATGTGGCCAGCGTATGCTTTGTTCGTGTTTTTCGACTTCCCGAATTCAAGAAGGCTGGCGTCACAGACAGCTTGCAAGGTATCCAGGTCCATTGTTGGGCTTCTTGTCTTTTGTTCCGTTGGTCTTCTCGTGGAGTTGCTTCTGGCCATGTATGTTGTTGGTTGGAGGTAGTAACTGTAGTCTGTGAGCAAATGTCTGGCTTTTTATTCATGTTTCACCCAAGTTTCACCTCAAATGAACAGAACCGAAAAAGCGAAATCTACAGATGCCAATTTTCATTGCATTCTGGAGTAGTTGTGTAGGAAAAATCCATAAAATAGAACAGGTCCACTACAGAATATATATATATATATATGTATACATGAAGTTAGAACCTTTCAATCGATGTAAATGGCATTGTTCAGTGAACTACCAGGTGTGGCATGACACTCAGCAACAAGCGCAATGCTACGCCGGGCAGTGGGCACCACGATAAGCCCAGCAATAGGCGCCATAATACCCCCAGCAACTGTGGAGGCGGAAACCCCCCTGTGCGTATTGATCAGTCTGACGCTATGCCCAGCAACGGGTGCCGAGCTAGGCCCAGCAATGGGGGCCGAGCTAGGCCCAGCAATGGGTGCCGTGCTAGGCCCAGCAATGGGTGCCGTATTATTCCCAGTGATAGTTGTCGCACTAGAAACAAGCTTTGGGAACATCTGGAATGATAAAGACATGTAGGACAAAAACAAAATAGGCTCAAAGAACGTGACATATGGCTTTGTAGGTTGATGATGTGGCGAGGCTGGGCTTGATCTTGCTCTTCTGTGCCTTCCAGTAGCGTGCGATGAGGCCCGGCAATGTTTGTTCAAGAATGGAGCAGGGGATCATTACCATCAATCTCCCAGGCAAAGTTTTTGTCTTCTTTGTATTGGACTTTGTGGTGGCTTCAGTGAATGTTCGGAGACCTCAAAGACCAGAGTGTGTGGCTGTAGAGAGACGGCCTGTTTGAACTTCCACTGTGTAGCCAGGAACCGCTTTTTTTCCAGCCTTCTGCTGTCGAACAATGTGAAGGATGGATGAGAGACCAAATGTCCATTTGGTAATAGTTTGCGCAAAATGCGCCGTGAGGGTTGTGGTAGGATCAGCATTAGCTTCCTGATTTCCGATTAGTAATTATTAGTATGAAGAGAGGGTATTGACGAACTTCAACCAATCGATAAAGAGTCATGCCAGGCCAAACATGTTCTTGGAAGCATGAAAGGATACCTTCTGCAGTACCCCAGGTAAACGAGCGCTCACAGAACGCAGCTAGTTTGGCGAGGTTGACTTCTCGAGGTATCCATGCAGTTGTATTGGGTAGTTTCTGGCTGGGGGACCACGATGTGATAGGGTTGGCATAGAGAGCAAGGATTTTGGGGTCAGGGAAGGTATTGGGTACACTGTTTGAGAGGGCAACCTGGCACCTAGCAAGATGGCTAGCATCGTTGTACTGAAGGGTCATGCATAAGTGACTGCACCATTTCTCAAGATACCATTCCAGTTCTGGTGGTGTGCAGGTCTTCGTGGCCTGCAATAGATCGTCGCCAAAGCCAGCACAAGCAAGGCTGTAGGCCGTCGTCATACCACAGCCCTGCAATCCAACCTAGGCTGAATTAGTCACAGAAAAGGGAATTGCAGCAACCGCTGGCTCACCGGATCATAGTCACCTCCACTGAGTATCGCGAGTAATAGAATTCCACCACTCGTGAGGGACAAGGTTGAACAGATGGCATCAGCAGTGTAGATATTGATGTTGTCACCATCTTCTTTGACTTTGGGGCTGGGAATGGGTATGAAGCTGTCTGAAAGGATATTAAGGTGAAGACTTGCTTTTGAATGAGATGAGTTGCTCCAAAAAGGAGCATATCCACATCGTCACATAGAACGGCATCAATAATCCCGTGAGAGTTGAGGACCGCCAGTTCTGCTTCTGCCTCTGTGGGTGCCTATAAGTGGGTCTTGATTAGTCTCAAAGAGAAGTAAGTCAGGAGATGAACTCAACGGTATGGTAGTTATAGCCATATTGCTCAATAAGCTCCTGGAACAAGCGTGTCAGTGCATGTGCCTTGGTGCAAATGTTGACACCTTGTTTAATCGATGGACGGTGTTCTCCATCAAAAATGAAAATGAGGTGGACTGGGAGCTTGCGGAAGCGGGCGAGGCGATAGAAAAGGGATCAGAGCTCAGGGTTTTCACCAGCCTGGTAATGCATGCCTGGTACATGGAAGATAGACTGGGTCTGGTTCAGCCAGATGCTGACAGTGACTGTATTAGTCTCCCTCGTGAATAGATGAGAAAATGTATTTTATACCTTGCATCAACACCAATCATGAGGGTTCGAGCTCCATGCCAATTTGCCTCAAACCCTTCCGAAACTGCGAGCTCAGTGAAAGAGCGTGATTGCACTGCTTTCAGAAGAAGCTAATAGAGCCAATCAGTTTTGGAGAACCACAAGAGAGTTGGGTTCCATACATTCCAGATGCCAGGAATACCCATAATTTCTACGATGCCTAGAGAAGGGAGGACAGAGAAAATGTCAAGGCTGAAACCTCCTAATTACCAACTCTCCTTTCCAAAGTTTTCGACTTGGCGACATCATGTGTGCAGCATTATAGTTAATGATACAAGGGGTCCGTGAACAGGAGATGATTTTGTGAGTGAGCATGGTAGAGATGGCAAGCAGTCAATTCTGCCGGGCCTAAGCAGCAGCAGCAGCTCGCTCGCTGGCACTCGGATATACCAAAGTGACATAGACGAGGCGAGCAGCATGCAGCATGCACATGCTGGGCAGAAAAGGATAAAAAACGAGTGGTGGCAAAGTTCGAACTGTTCCTCAACGTTGAATCACGTGCTTTTGTGCCTCATGTGTCAACTACGCATCGTGTCACGCTGTAGACTTTGTGTTGCATGTAAACTTCGCGTCGTGCTCGACTACAGAATTTATGATAGAATAAACAACATGTTTGGACAAGAACAAAAAGAATTATACAACTAAATAAAATCACTATGGTACTATCAGGCATTAGGAAGAACACAGTTTTCTAGTCCTATGGTGTAAAGTCCAAATATGATGCATAAGTGCACCTAAGGACTTATTTCTGAGAGATTTACCAGTAAATCCAGTGGATTTACTGAGTGATGGCTTGGCCATCGCTCCTGCCCGATTTACGTTTGCTCGCTTCCCTGTCGCTCTCCATCTTTCAGATCCCTTGCTCAGTCTCCGAGTGATATTGGGTATGTGTTGATACTGGTAACAATCCTGCATGTTTTTCATGCATCTTCGAAGTCCTTGAGTGATATGCCTCTCAGATGTTAATCCTTTCTACGGAGGCAAGTTTTATTGAAGTCAGGTTATCTTAGCAACAGCTCATTGAAAGTCTTCTAGTTAATTGTTGTCTGTTCGGTTCAATTCATTCTTTACTGGAGTTGTTAGAGTGACAGCCGATCTCACATCTCTAACAACCTCGCGAGACCCTCGTCTATGGCCCCCACATGAGCTCCTTTGAGCACAGGTAACTGCCCAACCGATCATTAACCAAGCTGACGAAACCCTCCCACTACCCCCAATCACCCAGTTGCACTCGGGATGTGTATAGTGGAAACAGGCAGATCAGATATGCAACAAGCCCATTTACCAAAGTTCAGTGTCCCTTCCATGATTGCTGCACTGCTCGCCCGCAGCTCCTGAAGCAGCTTGCTGTGCTTCCACGGTGTGAAAACGTAACCTGGGCAGATAAAATGTTAGCGAGATGCCAAACTAGTTCGGTCCCATGCAATGCTCACTTCTATCACTAGCACGATGCTCGTTATCCTTTTGATCAAACTTGCCCCTTCCTGCGCCGCCTGCTTTGGAGCTGGGTCCTGTTTGGTCATCTTGGGCTCCTCGCTGGACGCTCCAGTCAAATACGTAGTCGTACTGGTATGCCTCGTGCACAAAGAGGTCACGGAAGAGTTTGTGAAGATAGGAGTAGTCAGGTTTGTCGTCGAAGCGAAGAGCACAAGTGTGTCCCAAGAATATCCCAAATTCATTTGGGAATCCACAGCAGAGAAGGTCAGTGGGGTTGGTTCATGATATGATCGTATTTCTGCTTCTTGTGGCAGCTTTGAGACCCTGTCAAGGAAGAACTCCACGGAGGAAGTATGTTAGAACATAAGCAAGAGATTTGCGATGTACTTGCTCAACACCCAAATGTGTTTTGACTGATGGATGTGCGCCAAGTAGTGCCCATCTAGTTCTTGTTCTCTCTGTATGGAATTGGTACAGAATGTGGAGGTGGGTCTTGGGGTCACAGAACTTCTCAGCAAGACCAAAAGTGATCACACTGACTTGGTTACCGTGCTTTCCAATGCCCATCAGAAAGTTATCTGGCTTGATGTCAGAATCACAACGTATGAAGTTGCGAGAGTGGATTTACACTCGATGCGAGAAATCTATCCCATCCCAGAGGGTCAGCGAAGAGTAAAAGTATGGAGAAAGCACGGACAGGACAGTGTGGAGGCAAGACCTGAGTCCACGTGATAGAGTCTATGCAAACACGTCAACCAAGCGTAAACACTCACTCAAAAGTCAAAATTCTCCAGATGATAGTGAACTCTCGCCACTCACAAAGCCATCTCATTCTTACAAATTTGCATCTCTGGCATAAGTGTAGCCAAAGAACGCTGTCCCTTTCAACTGTGCCCCTGAAACCAACCTTTGGGGAACCCTCGCTTCCCCAAAATGCGAGATTGCCGCGCTTTGTTGCAACGATTCGACAATCCGGAATTTACTTGGTTATACTTGTACTATCATAAAACTTCCCGAGTATCCTTACTTACGTGGAGCGCTCCATTGTACTATAATGCTCATAAATACTACTAATGCTCATAAATACTACAAAAGGGGTTTGATGGAGCAGAGGGTTGTGTCATTCATTCCTGCTTCCTTCCTCAAGTACAAAGCAAGGCGGAGTCGAGAAATTTCGCGGAGGTGTCAGATTTTGCATCTTGCTGTGGTGGTGCACAATCCTCGGTAGGTGTGATGACCAGTGACATGCTGTGACAGAGTGTCACAGGCCCAATTTCTTGAGACATTGACCTTGTACTCTCTCCAACACCAATTTAATATATTTTTTGCAATGGGTTTGACTGAATTAAGTGAATGAATCCATTCAGAGAGTTTTCCATGTAGCAATTGCATTTATTGCTCCAAAAATGCGAAATCAGTCTGTTTTCCCTGCCAAATCAGGCAGTCTGAAGAGATTGGAATATAACTTTTCAACAACAGCACGTATGAACATGATTTGCAGACGGATTTTACTTATAATTTAAATTCCAATCGATCTACGGGTCCAGAAATTTTATTTGTGGCCCCTGTGCTGAGATACCCTTCAAAATCAGTACTTTAACATGGTTAAAGGCTAGTAATTAAATTTCTGAACCCGTAGGATTGGGGATACATAGTAATTGATGATTTCGTCTCTGCAAACATAAGCCCAAATTCTATCCATTGTGAAGCTCTATAGCTCAAGAGGCAACCTTGGGCTAATAGGTGCTGCATAGCCACCAAAGTAAAATATATTGCATATTTTTATACATTTGAATAGAGAATATCTATACAATTCTGGTGCACTTTTCTTCTTGTGAATCGGTGGAGAAATGACTGAGCTACATCATTTACAAGTTTGGGCCATCTAAAACAGGCACCTTCCCAATTTGGCAGACTGCATCAGTAAGATGGAAAAATAGATTCTGGGTTTTCAGTGGTTTCCCCTGGTTTCTAGGTTTCTGGAAACCAGGAAGCCAGAAACCAGGAAACCTAAAAACTATCTACAGTGTAGAACTATTTTTTCCTTAATAATAGCTTGTTTACATGTACATAGGTGGTAGTAGTTCCTAGCATTGTTTTTCGACCCCCAAAGAAGGGCAACTGGGACTGCATCTGGTCCCAACCAACACCGAAGAATACAAGGCCTGCAACCGGATTGATAAGAAGGTCGTGATCCGCCGCTGTCATTTGTCGGGTTGTGCATTGTCGGTCCTATGATGACGAACGACGACATTGGTCGTTCGCCGCTTGGTTGCCACGTCGCTCACAGTGTCAGCGACGTGGCACCTGGATTCAGAGTCAGACAGGAGAATGGCGGGGAGTACTTATGTCAGCTTACCTGGATTGGCACAAAGGACCTAGACAATGACAACATTGTACGTTGTCACCATCATTGTTGCCTTGCATCTGCCTCCACCATTCGTTCATTGGGCATCCGGCTGCTGGTTGTTGTGGCCAAGAACAGACACCATTGCCACCCTGCAAGCAGCGGCTCGCAGGGGCTTAGAGTATCGATGTGGTGGGGGGGGGTGATGTCATAATCAGGCAGTGGGTGGACATTGAACGTTGAACGTTGATGGTGGAAGTGGTTTTTGCTGTTGTCGAAATTGTTTGTTGTCCAACTGGATTTGAGCACAAATATGACCACATGGTCTGTGCGCAGCCTCTGGGTATATAAGCACCCACACGTGCATAATGTTTGTCTACAATATATCTTGTATATAGATTGTATTTTATATTATATATATATATACTGTGACAAGGGTTTCACAGGTTTCCTAGGTTTTTGCACGTTATCACCCCATGAGGTTTCCTGAAAAAGGGACATAGGTTTCCCAGTCTCCATGTTTTCGGGTTTTCTGCGGTTTTCAGAGGTTGCCTGGGTTGAGAAACCTCTGGAAACTGAAATGCTCAATTACTGATGTGGTGATGCTAGCTCAAACTTGTAAATGATGTAGTTCAGTCATTTCTCCACCGATTCACAAGAGGAAAAGTGCACCAGAATTGTATAGATATTCTCTATTCAAATGTATAAAAATATGCAATATATTTTACTTTGGTGGCTATGCAGCACCTATTAGCCCAAGGTTGCCTCTTGAGCTATAGAGCTTCACAATGGATAGAATTTGGGCTTATGTTTGCAGAGACGAAATCATCAATTACTATGTGTCCCCAATCCTACGGGTTCAGAAATTTAATTACTAGCCTTTAACCATGTTAAAGTACTGATTTTGAAGGGTATCTCAGCACAGGGGCCACAAATAAAATTTCTGGACCCGTAGATCGATTGGAATTTAAATTATAAGTAAAATCCGTCTGCAAATCATGTTCATACGTGCTGTTGTTGAAAAGTTATATTCCAATCTCTTCAGACTGCCTGATTTGGCAGGGAAAACAGACTGATTTCGCATTTTTGGAGCAATAAATGCAATTGCTACATGGAAAACTCTCTGAATGGATTCATTCACTTAATTCAGTCAAACCCATTGCAAAAAATATATTAAATTGGTGTTGTAGAGAGTACAAGGTCAATGTCTCAAGAAATTGGGCCTGTGACACTCTGTCACAGCATGTCACTGGTCATCACACATACCGAGGATTGTGCAGGATTACAGCCGTTTTCATAACGATAGGCCTAATCTCGACCAAATACACGTACAGGCGGAGTCTAAAATTGACCTGTGTAAGTTGTTGGATGATGATTCTATTTAGTATATGTCGGAGTTTTCTAATTTCGGTCACAATTAGTCACAATTTGTTGTGCGCGTCACAATTTGGCTTGCCGTCATAAGTCAGTGTGACCAAAGAGTTTTTGGTTACGATTGTGATTACAATGCCGGTTGCAACCAATATTGCAACCACATTCCAACTCCGCGATAAGATTGCAATGATGAGGATACGTCATAACAGGTCATAATGGGCTACCAAAAGTATCAGTGGTCCCCTGTGTTTTGTAGTCTCTTATTGTAGTCGATTTTGTAGTTGTGCGTATTCCATTAATCTTGTTATTGTAGTCTTGTTATTGTAGTTATTGTAGTGTTTCTTGTTATTGTAGTGTTGCTCGTATTAGTGTTTCTAGTTGTTTGTAGTTAGTAATTATTGCGCTGGTTGGGAATTGAACTTGTGACTTACTGATTATTATTTGAACCCTTTCTTATACTGTCCATAGTTACCACTAGGTTATTGCTCGATTTATAGACAATGCATTCGGTTCAATTTGTGAGAATGGCCGCTGGTTCCCACCAGTCACAATGCGTCGCCACAGGCACCGTCCTCTTCTATCTCATATCATTTCTCCCTCCTCGCTGAGAGGCTCCAGTTCATCGTTAGGTCCTTCCCCGCCCAATCCCCCACCAGCCACCACCCAGCACCCACAAACGGCGACCCAGCCCCACGGACGCCAAAACGAGCCCACCGTGTACAACGAACAATTATGACTGCCCCCGACGAAGATGAGTGCCCACCAACTTGAACGACCGCCCACGCATGAAGACCAGCACCCACAAAAACAACCACCCACGGACGTGAACGACTGCCCAGGACGACGACCGCCCACAAAAACAACCACCCACACAAGTGAACGACCGCCCATGCACATGAACGGCCATCCAGCAAGATGAGTGCCGCAAAACAACGACACGCCCATGAACGACAACACACCGACCACCCAATTACAAGACGACCAACGGACGACGAGCGCCCATGGACGATGATGACCCTGTTGACAAACGGGGACGACCGCCAAAACAACCACCCACGGACGTGAACGACTGCCCAGGACGACGACCGCCCACGAAAACAACCACCCACACAAGTGAACGACCGCCCCCGGTTCTTTCACCCCCACGTCTGCGCTTCTCCTTAACCATTCTGCGGATCTGAGCCTAGTCAAGTCGAGCTCGATCTACGGATGAAGATGGGACTTACTTCTAGCGCCGAATGACCCAGAACTCGAACGAGTATGTCGGGAGACCAGCGGATTGCTCTGGCACCGGCTCATGCTCCTTGGGGACGATTTCGACCCAAAAATCATCGTGCAGCACCAACGCCATCAACAGGCGACCCAAGAAGTCTGCCAGGGACGAGGATCACATCAAACGTCCAGAGAACGCCTTCATCCTCTTCCGACGCAAAACTTGCGAGGATCGCCAACAAGCGCAAGAAGAGGCCGCTACCGCAGCAGATGGGCCCACGTAGAAGCAACGCCGACGGCAGATCTGGCTTCAGGTAACGTCGTTATTCGCATCTGACGGCAACAGCGATCCAAACTGACGTTTTAACTCTACAGTCGTCCGAGTTTCTAAGAAGTATGTTTAGCATCAGTGGCCAACCTGCTCAGAGGAGCGACCCGTCTCAAGTACAGGCGCTCACCTTCAATGCCATCGCATGATCCGTCCCCCTTCCATCGTTTCTCCCTCCTCGTCGAGAGGCTCCATTTCATCGTCACGTCCTCCCTCGCCCAATCTCGGTCCTTTCACCCCCACATCCGTGCTTATCCCTCAACCATCCTGCGGATCAGAGCCTACTCAACTCGAGCTCGATCTGCAACTGGAGATGCAGATGCAGTCTGAGTACGCCGCATACTCATGGGAGACCAACGGATCGCTCTGGTCCACCGCCGCGGACATGCTCCTCGGGGACGACTTCGATTTGAGCGCCATCCCCATCGAAATCGGTGCACTCCCTGCGGAATCGAGTTTGGGCAAGTGTTTGTTCACTCAAGCCCTTGAGGGAAGCTGATACCCTGACGAGAGCCAGAACCTCGACAACCTCCTCAGGTTCGACAAGATGATTCAGATGGCAGGACACATCAATGGGTTCTAAGGCTTCGGATGCTGCGCATATAGGTTTTCCGTTGGACATGGTATATTGGATACCTGTATCTTCGTGCACCCTGTCTCCCTACTTCTCGTTGCTTTTTTTTAAGACTTGTACTGTATGTCTTGATTAGCAATAGCATCACCTTGTTGGCACTGCACAAATCAGAGGAAAGACCAATTTCAACGAGATACTGAGGAAATGCAATACGGTGGTGCACGAAAAAGTAGATACCTGCTACATACCAACAATGTCAACTGTTTCGTGAGAGTAATCGATGAAGAATAAGTCCGCCTCAAACCTGACGTCTGGTCCTGCGAGTTGCTGCAGGCACTGCCGCCACCATCTCCATTGCAACCAATTCCGTTGCAGGCACCTGTGCCTTCTTCTTCCCCTTCCTAGCGTTAGCGGGTCGTGCCACCTCTTGAACGATAGGTTGTGAGGGTACAGACGTCGTGGATTGAGGCTGATGTGACGCAGGCGCTGCCGCCGCCATCTCCGTTGCAGTTGTCACCGTTGCCAATTCCGTTGCAGGCGCCCGTGCCTTCTTCTTCCCCTTCCTAGCGTTAGCGGGTCGTGCCACCTCTTGAACAATCGGTTGCGAGGGCACAGACGTCGAGGATTGAGGCTGATGTGATGAACCTGCGCTGTTGATAGTTGAGTCGGCATGGCGCTCTGCGTGAGCACCAGAGTTGCTGGCTTGGGCTGGGGTGCTGGTGGTCGGGGTGAGGGCGAGCCTGGTGAATGCTTCCTCAAGGCCGCTGCTGTCGTCGTCGTTGTTTGGAGCCATTGTGTTATTGTCTAAAGTTTGCGCCTTAAAGATGATGTCGTTATAGAACTTGAGTAGTGCCTTGTGGTACGGTGTGCCTGCCTTTGCCTGCATAAACTCGCGATACGAATTGAAGTCTTTTTCGTAGTCGATGCCTGAGCGAGCACCTTTCCCTGCTGCATCAAATTCCGAGTCAGGGGAAAATGCCGCTCGAACCTACGGTAAGACCAAAAAATGAATTGTTGTCCAAGAATTTGAACTGAAATCGACATTTACCAAAATTGTGATCGTCGCAATGCTGCCTTCTGTGACATATAACACTTTCCACAGTTTGGCGTACGTCTTTGGTTTGGCATAAGTTTTAGTTCGGGAGATGGAAGCGGCACCTTGCAAGAGGCCCTTCAGTGCCTTGGTTGATGGTGAGCAAAGTCCCTCTCGCAATATTTGAACAATAGCTTACCAATGCTAGCTCTCGTGACATGAACAGCATGCTCATATCAGTCTGACAGTCGGGGAATAGAATTGGCGCATACTTCGTATACTTCTTGCGTGCAAGCTCTGACACTGGCTTCAACAATGCATCGAATTCTTGGATTTCCGAGCGATTAAAGTCGGCTTTGAGGCGGGACACAATTTGTGGGATTGAGCCAAAGATAACGGGGAGAATTTTCGACCGTAGATCGGACATCACGGTGCGTAAAAAGCTCTTGCCTGCTTTCGTGAACTGATTGAGGAATATCAGCGAATTATGATGATACTGAAAAGGAAAAGTGCCAAGACTCACGATGTGCTCAAACTGGCGATACTCGTGCATAGCAGCATGGAGGTCAGAGGGGACAACCTCATACACCTCTGCTAAAAGACATGCCTGCATTGCGGCATCGGATCGGTAGCGTTCGGAATCGCTTGACGCGACGTTTGGCCGTGTTGATGCCACGAGGTGGCCTTCCAACTTCATTGGGAAGAAGGGGTTATTCATGAGCGCGAATCGACGTCCGAGATGGCTGATCATTTCACGGCGGTCCTCGATGCTTTTGGGAAGGTCGCTTTGTCCACTGGGTTGCTTCCTGCTACGTTTAGGTTGCTGGGCCTTGAGCGTGGCAATGGTTGCAGCCTGCTCTTTGACAAGCTTTGCAAGGCTCCCCAGCTGAAGCTGCGCAGCCTTCAAAGCCTAAATTCGTGTTAGTGCTCGGTTCTCAAAGTCTAAGTATGAATAACTTACATCCTCGTAGTCCTCATAGGTCGGATCTTCCCCAACTACTGCAACCTCAACAGTGGCAGCTGCTTCATCAATGTCATCATCTGAGGTGGTTCCCATGACGTCATCGAGCCCAGCAAACTCTTCGCCCTCGTCGCTGTAAATGGTGTCAAGGCCACTGGGAGGTTGAAAGTGACGCGGCATGATGGGAATTCCACGAAGGACTCTGGCCTTTGCTCTTGGTGTTTTTAATACACAGAGTCCACATGTAAAAACCCTGGCCACATTGTGATGGGGTCAACGGTAACATACATAATAATTTAAATGCACAGTGCTTGCAATCACACTCATCCCTGAAAATGCCAATACTCCCTGAACATCTTTGAGTAATTGAACACTGGCAAGAATCTGAATATATTTCGAGTAATCATGGCTGTAAATATGTGTACATCTCCTGTAAACGTAAAAACATGTCCACATCAACAATGTCAACAATGTGATGCTCGTCAACACTCTCAAATGTTGGGACAATGTAGGCTCCTCGGATGATTGATTGAACAGGAATGAATTCCACATCTTTTCGAGGTCTTGCACGAACTCTAATGAGGCCGAGATCCTTGTCTTTCCTCCGAAGCATGCCAGTCGGAGCATCATATGCATGGATAAGTGCAAACAAATGTTGTTGATCTTCAACTTGGAAAGAGAACGCAAAAACCAGACAAGCAAATATTAGATTGTTTTGTGTGTGCACAATAACACAATCATGTCTTGGCTGTTGATCTTTTCCAAAGTTGGGTGTGCAGCGAAGGTAATCCTCCACTAAATGCCAGGTTATTTTTGACTCGTACTTGATTTTGAGATATCGATATTCAGTCAACTAATTTCAAGAGGTTAGCTATATTAAGATGTATTGGAAGAGCCAGGTACCAAATCGGTTTTTTTAATGGTAAGGGCTTTGTTTTGCGGATGAGGAAGATTATGGGCAACAAGGAAATCGTTGATAAATTTAGCAAACTTGATTCGAAAGTTGATGAATGCAGAGTCTGAATCTTCTTCAACTTGAGCCATTGTCATTGGCTTTTGTTTTGCTCCAAGGTGGATAAAGCCACCTGGGTCATCAGCCTCATCCTGGGGTTCTGAATCGTTTTGGCGATGATATTCATCGAGGTTGTCAAGCTGAGCACGTATATAATCTGCAACAGCTGTCCAATGATTGTGCCGCAGGATCTAATGTGAAAAATAGTTTAAAGCATTGAGCTAAAATTAATCCAATGATAATAGTAATTTGTTACCTGGCCCTCAACTTCCTTGAAATTTGTTACACGTGCATATACTTTTTTGGCTTCTCCATGCATCTGTTCACTTGGCTTTGTACTGTAATTCTTTGTAACACCCTTGGCCACAATGTCATCAAACATATGAGCATGTGTATGGCGCTTGGGAAACTCCCAGTTTTTCTCTGAGTCCCCATTGTTATTATGCTGCTCATAAGCCTGTGAAATAATATATGGTTGGTTTCACCTTTACAGCATCAGGCATAAAATTTTAGTATACCTTCAAAGCCTTGGAGAAACGCAAGAGCTCTTTCCGACCTGCAGCAATGGTTACTGCGGTGTGAACTTCCAGAGCAGCATACATATCAAGAGAAATATAGCTTCGGAGTACCTTCAAAAGAAGATATCCACCAGGATGTTCAGAATGGGTGATAATGTTGTGCGTTGCAAAAATAACCATCTGCATTTGGTTAAATTTAAGAATCATCTGGATTCTAAAAGGCAAACAAACTTTGAGAATGTCTTCATATTTTCTTGCATCTGAAAAGGTGACTGATGTAACATGGTCAAAGTGGTTGAGATTTCTCCAACGGGGAAGGTTTGCAATTCTATGGTTAATATGACAATGAACACTTGAGAAAAAAAACACAAAATAAAAATTTACTGATCATCTGCCTGCTTTGCTGCTTCACGTGTCTCTTTGAGAATTAGTTGGATCTGTGGGAGAATATGTTTGCCACCGAGTCCTCCAGGATAGCTGTGCATGCGATCCCAGGATAGAGCTGTATGGGGATCTGAATTTTCGATGCTCCAAAATGCATTCTGGTATGGAAGAGAGAGTGAATCGATATAAAGATACAATTAGAATGTGATTACCTTGACAAACCGTAGCCCAAGATCTTTCATCAATGACTCTGCATCTCCACGTCTCTGAGAACTCTTTGCTTCATTATAAGCAGCTTCTGAGTCTTGAGCTGTTCGTAATGGATATGCTGTTTCTAAGTCAGACAGCTTCTCCAATGGAATCAAACAAATAGGGCATGGGCATAATCCATTCGACCCTCGAATCAAAGCCATAATACATCTGAATAAAGACTCAGAATTTTTGATTGAAAGCTCCAGATTAAAATGGACTTACTGCTCTTCATAGTCAGCAGAAAGAATAAAAACCATTGGAAAGAGATGTCGTTGAACTTCATCCCCACATTCAACCCAGCATCCAACTTTCGAATATTCTCGAATTGATTCTAAAAGCATGTGAAATGATTCATGCCAAATAACCCGCTTGAAATCAACATATCCCTTCTTTCCTTTTTCACCCTCATCATCTTCAACCTAAAGGAAAAAAAAATTAATAAATATAATCTTACAGGGAAAGAAGAGGTAGCGAACTATCGGAAGCCAGCCAACAACACTACCACCACCAAGACCCTGACCATTGCTGATTTCACTTGGTAAATTAGCTATTTTTGCAATAACAGGGTAACCCATCTGGCTACCAAATGATGAAAGCTTTGTTTTGTCTGCATACAAGATGTAGCAGAGGGGTTTTCCACTGGCTGGAAGTGAGGACTAATATTGTTCATTTCAGGTAATATGTAACCAGTGAAGTATAAAACTCACTTGTGCTTTCCAGAACTTGTCACCTGTCCATGGTTCATGAAAGAATCGTACATAAGTCTTTCCATCGAACTTGAATAACCGCTGAGCATCCCACTCAAATGAAGATGCAAGGAGGGGATTTTTAACAAGGTCCATTCCCCAATCCCACAATGAGCGATGATAAAAGGGATAATTATGCTCAACCCCCTTGTAAGAATGGCTGACCATCTTCTCTTCGAACTAGAGACAAAACGAGGAAGTAAATACATCTCATATATAAACAATAATTTTGGAGTCATACAGGTGTTAATTTACTTGATGCGCCTTGCAAAATCTCCCGCATTTCATCATGACTGTTGAGGGTGAATTTTGCAGTGCCAGATGAACATGCCTGAAGCATTGCGATAAGTGTATTGACCGTATTCTTATTTAAATGAGACTTTAGAGCGATTTCCGCAAACTCAAAATCAACGCGTGAACGGAAGGGACGCCATGGCTCATCAGGCGGTCGTGGTCTAGGAGCCTTAGCCGATGGGAATCCGTATTCATTGAAATGATCAATGCATGTGGCACGGCCGCTGTGTGGATGATACTCAGTCTTGATGTCATCATCAAGGAGTGTATTACAATGAGCTGAGTCGGGTCTGGCCTGATCAAGCACGTTGGATGCAGGCGGCGGCAGTGATTCAGGTGATGTGGCACGAGTCTCCCAACTTGCCCACCTATCATCTATAGAATCAGGTCTTTCAGAATTAGCTGAGAGGTACAGAGAGTAGAAATTTTACCAGGCAGCAGGCTGACGTTCTGGTGTGATTCCCCACGTGTTTCTTGTTGCAAAAGATCTGATGAAATATCCCGTTAGCATAGTAGATCCAAAAAACATCTAAATTACACATACTACGATGTGTCGGCGCCGTCATGGCCTTTGCGAGCGTGCGCCGACCAAGCACCAGCAATTCCACTGTGGAATCAAATATCAAAACAGAGTTAGGGAGTGTAAACAATCACGCACCTTCTTCTTTGGCTTTTCTGTCCCTCAGCTCCCTCTCAACAACTTGTTGATCTACCCTTTCATTTTCCCGTCGCTTCTGGCAAGCTTTTTTGTGCGATCCGATCCCGTAGGGGCTGAACCCATGCCCGCAGAACTCACATATCGCTACTTTGGCTTGCTTTGGTGTTGCCATTTGGCCAGATAAGATGACGAGAATGAGATGTTGACGACGGAAATGCTCCACGGACACGCCGTGAGGTTGGGAAAGAGGAATGGGAGGTGATCAGGTCAAAATCAGGTCGCTATCTCTGAAATCAACATGAAATCGACGATCACGGATACAATGCCCGATACGACCACGTTGTAACTGATCTGATCCATCAATTCTCAGTCATAACCGAACTAGGACCCTTTCAACGCCTTGACCCGATGGCAATCTATTGCAAGTCAGGTTCAAACCGGTGTTGAAACTCAGTTAGAATGCGAGCCGGTTGTGACTGGCTAAAGAAATCTCCGACATAACTGTAGATCTATCCTCGTCATCCCTGAAATATATGCTGATTTTCGTGTACATGATTAGAATTTGAGGTCCGACTGTATCTGTAATTTTGAACTTTTGGCCTATCGTTATGAAAACGGCTGTAAACTATCCAGAAACCCTGGTTTCCCCTGAACAACCCAGGGTTTTCAAAGTGCTTGCGTAGAAACCTTGTTTCCACAAGAAGCGGAGCTCAGAATATTTGAAGTCCACCACATGCACATGCATAAGTTCAAGTTGGCGGCGGGGGTCATCAACCTTTCAAGTAGCAAGGGACTATGGAAGGGAGCAGTGGCATCCCTAAACCACTCCCGCTCTCCTACAGCTACCCGTCCAAACCCTCATCTTGTTTGCATCTTGTAGCATCGTGTAGACCATGAACCAATATTATTTACCGTGGTAACCACTTGTCGAGTGGGCGCGTCGCATCGCGCGACGATACGTGTGCGACAAGGGATGTGCATGATGGAGTTCAACTCGTCGCACTCTCTTCTCATCATGACCCGGGGAGCCAAGATCAATTTAAATTTGAGCGCGACACGCGTCGGCATCTAGGAATTTAACTCCGACATGGGGTTCCTCAAAATAACCCATCGACTGATGGAAGGGGGATTTCTACCAAATGCAGAAGAAACCCAGGGTTCCACGCGAAAAGGGGGTTTCTGGTTAGATTGATCCGATTGTGCACCACCACTTGCTGTAAGGGAACGTGACGAAGAAGCATTTCCGAAACCGTGGGTAACTGCCGTCCCTTTGAACAGGAGCACGACAAAGATGGACCTCGACAATCAGCCAAGGGTGGTACACTTCTTTCCTCTCTCTTTAGGAAACTGCGGGATGTTCTCTCCGGATACGCGGCCTTCGTTAGGGAGAGGCAAAACAACGACAGTGCAATATCAAGGCTTGACGAGGGTGAGTTGGTTTTTGCTTTATGTTAAGTTCACAACTCGGTGCTCAAACACTCTTTTTCAAGGTACGAAATGAACCACTACGATCTGGGTGTCTCCCTCTCTTTGAGCAACAGCCTTTGCTTGAACGAGGGAAAGCTTAGTGGTTCAGCGGTACTTCTAGGTTCTGCGTAGGTCCATTCACATTCGTCGGCATGATAATTATCCGTTGAACCTTCTCTTCTTAGAACCCATGTACCCTATGGGCAAACCGCATATTGATTTTTGATTAGAAATGAGAGGTTAGGCAGGAGTTGAGTTGCTGACGTGAGATTCCGTCAATTTCGGTGCGCAGGTCATTGCCTTCTTGATCGCTACTAGCGTAACATTCCGGCTCTCAGAAGCTCTGAGATTATCACCATCCATGATGAGTCATGTTAGGAAGTTGGGCATGGAAAAGAGGCTGGACAACAGCAGTTCGCAGCATCATGGTCGCATGATGTTTGCTACGAGTTTGTCTCAATTCATCATCGTCTTCTCGGTGAAACACCAAGAGAAAACTCCCATCTCTACTCTATTCCCCTCTCGCGCGATTGGAACCGCGACCAGAACTGCCTCGGTGTGAGCCATACAGTGACGGACTTACCTCAAGATCCTCTAATGTTCCTGAATCCTCTTCATCTTAGCGGTCGGTCTTTTTCCACTTTTATATCTCGAGGGTCTTTTAGATTCTGATGGTGTGACATTCGTTAGGAACCGCGATCTACGTGTTTGAACCAGTGCGATGATATTATGACAGTCACTCCTCAGTCGATGACGGTTGTCTGTGCCCTTCCATCTACTTAATCTATCGACCAACCCCCTCCGATACGATTCTTTAGTGTTTTCGCGAATTCATCTTTCGAACGGGAATCATAGACTGGATTTCACACCACTGGTTTCACCAACATATACGTTAATTTTTACTATGCTATACAAACGTGAGTGGCAGACCGCGTTTACCGCTCTCGCTTTCTAACTATCACGTCCCTCGACATAGTCAGGATGACATCCCAGCAATTTCATCAACCCCACCACTACCACTTACCTCTCAGAAACCATCGGCAATGACAAGGGACGTATTGCAAAGTGCAACTGCGGGGCAGCCCGCAACTACAGGCGCTACTCCTTGGTCCTCAAAGTAGCTGATGAAAGCTGTTGTTGATGGAGTAGTGGGAGGCTTGGTGGTGGTCGCCCTCGTCGCCCTCCTTCTCAGCTGTTATTGTCGGCGAAACAGTGGCAAGAATATAGGGAACAGAGGAAATCCTCCGGTAACACAGTTTAACGGTGCGGCATCAGCATACGGATCTTCGTCTGCCCAACTCCTAGTTCATTCGCAGCCTCGGCAGAAAACGCCCATGGTGGCTTGCAGGATGACCATTCGACCATTTCCAACGGCGACCCTGTTCACCAATCTAACAGGCAGGACACCTACCAAATCCCCCCCTCAGGAAAGATAGTCTTATACCCATCAGGATCCACACCACTACCACCTCTGTCTCCTTCGACCTCCATAGCTTGTCTCTTCGACCTGCGTAGCTACTGACAGCTAACACCCCTCCTTCTCTGACGAAGTCAAAATTCCGGCGTGAAACGCAAGAAGAAATCCGTCGTGCACGACAAGCAGCGGAAGACCGACTAAGGACGGACCAACAAGAAATGCAGGAGATGTAAGAGTTAAGGTCGAGAAAGCGGGCCCTGGGCAGCCGTTGTCATTGAGAAGTCAGCGAACGTCGACCAGGAAGACGGGGGAGGTGGAGGTTACGGAAGAGGTGGATACTATGTCGATATCGAATATGAAGGAAGAGATTCGGTCGATGAAGGAGCAGAATAGGTTGTCGAAGGAGCAGAGGAGGTCGCCGTGGGCGGAGGGATTGGAGGGTTGGCACCCTAGGTCTTCCAGGCCTCACCACTCTGCAGGACCTTCTCAAGCACGAGAAAGACCTACACTTTCCAATGACTGAAGACGAGCTGGGCGGCCCAGCGTGCAGTTTGATGCGGACCAGGACTGACTTGCACGTTGCCTTGCATCCTCCCCATCCTGTCTCAGTTTTGTGGTAGTCTCACTTAGAGTATCGCTGATGCCTCCTCACCTACAAAACGGCATGTTGAAACTGGAGAACAAGAGTACGGTAATTTGTGCGCAGGCCTGCAGGGAGTACTAGTATTGCGTGAGTTCCTTTGCCATTCAGGATAATCGACAGCTCGTTACTCAACAGTCATCAGAAATTCGAACTTTCTGCCACCCTTCAAAAAAATAACACGCTGACGGTAGCAACGCCACACAACATTTACACGTACTAAGGCTGGGGCTCCGGGGCTCTCCGAGTCGATGGACCCTCGCTATTCAGTGTCAGCGTCGCCAGCTGTCATGTTTTACTCTCGTAAACCTCTCGTGGCGTAATAAACCCTTATACTTCCTTTTATGTCTGCTGCACCTCTGTTGTCCTCCGCGATCAAGTCAAGAACAAATGAACGTTCATTTTTTCATCCAAATGAAGGTCCACTTGTTCTCGTTTTGACTTATCAAGCGCCAGGAAATTTTCCGACAAAGGCTGCCCCGACATAACCTCGTCAATACTCTTTGCCTTACCCCTCACCCGCGTGAAGTTAATGCGTCTGGACGCGCTTGGCTATGCTCTCATCATCATTCATTTGTCGCGTTCTAACGTTGCCGCCGCCATCGTCAATGGGACAATCGACGACCAGTTTGGTGACTCGGTGACACACCAACGAGTCGATTATTATCCGAGCCAGAACGTCTGGGATGATCAAACGTGCGGCAGTGACAAGTGCGATATTGTTCTCGACAGGTCCCAGGTATTCGACAATACATATACTGCGGGGACGTATGACCCCGCTAAAGTAGGGTCAATTGGAATCAACATGCAGTTTACTGGTATAATTTATAAGACTTTTTTTTGTTTCGATAACCTGATGGTCGTTCAACAGGAACTGCGATTTATGTGTTCTTCATCATTGCAAACTTCTTACACGGCCCAACTTTAAACAGCGCCAACTTCTCAGTTGATGGAAAACCACCAGTACTCTTCGCAACTACAATACCTGTAACACCAACCGTCATACCCCACTACGATGTGTTGGTTTTTTCTCTAACAAACCTCTCGAGTGCTCTCCATACACTGAACATCTCCACCACGGGTCCCACGACCTCATACGTCAACTTTGACTATGCAATCTATACGTAAGTTAGATTCACCAGTTTACTCATGCTTTCTGTTATTTATTTATTTTTTCTCGCCCAGCTACGACGATGGTATTGCAACCACCTCGCCCCCCACGGCGAAAACAACGTCTACCACCGTTACGGGTGCACCAGCTCGGAGGACTCCAGTAGGCGCCATTGTCGGTGGTATAGCAGGTGGAATTACGTTGTTTGCCCTTCTCATCTCCCTTCTGTTCTGCTGGCATCGTCGGGGAGGTCACGATGCTCTTCAGAGTGATAAGGTAGATGGGGACCCCGAGCGTATAATAACGCAATTTATGGCCACCGTCACAGTACCCGGCAGCGAGTCTTCCAATACTGACAACCGGGCAAACATGCGTAATAACCACCGAACGCCGCCTTCAGAGAAAGCTTTACCGTCAACTTCAAATTTAAGTGTACTCGGTGCCGGTGCTCGTACTAGCAACAGCCGTGGTGCCTCTCCTCCGCTGCAATCTCCTTTGGATGACCCAGGAACACGGGAGGAGGTTCGCCGTGCACGACAAGAGGACCTCGATAATCAGCTAAGGGTGGCACAGCATAACATAGTACAATTGGAGGAGTCGAGCGCACGCCCCGGGAGATCAGTGTCATTGAGACGGCAGACTTCGGGGCAGTTTGGGATCTTTGAAGATGAGGTTCAATTGTCGCTGCCTGATATGCAAGGGGTAATTCGGTCGCTGAAGGAGCAAATACGCGTCTTGAAGGAACAGCGACAGTCGGCGTGGGCCCAGGGATTATCGGATGATCGTCCGCCTGGATATACGCCGATGGAGGTGGGGGTGCAGATTTCAAGGGAGGCGTCGTCATAATATCTTTAGTGTGACGGCAGCTGAGTAGTCTGTCGTATGAAGTGTTAACTTTTTAAACACTGGTATTTATGGGATGAAGGTTCGCAGTATTCACAGACAGGATCCAATGGTGGACGGCGTCCAAAGCACTAAGCTGAATTCGCAACTCGGCCTTCACTGAGAGTGGGAGTTCAATGCAACATGGAAAAACGACGACAGAGGCAGGATTGCAACCTGGATTTCCGTCAGTCGCGGACTGATCGAAGTCAAAGAAACTCACCGAGATTCTGAGCCCTTGAGCTTGAGCATCGGTCTTTCGCTTCTCGCGTTAATACCCCTCAATGAAGAGTCGATAGAAGGCGTGAGGTAGCGATTTGAACTACCGAAGGGCCAATTGAATTGATGGTGTACTAGGCTACTAGCAATTGAGTGTTGCGGCATATTCATGATCGTGACCGCACTGGCAGCAGAGATCAACAAGTCAGTTACGCCTCGAACGAACTTCTCAATTGCTCTGCCCAATGGCGAACGCATAAAGCTCAGTTTTCCGAGAGGGCTCGGCACCTATTTGCACTTATTCGGTGCGGCGTGCCAGTGGCCAAGCTCCTAAGCTCACAATCCCCCGCGATATGACGAGTTGACGGCGCAAAACGATGGGCATGAGGAGGTGCAAGGAGTCAAATGGGAGCTTGACCCATAATCGCCAACGTATTAAGCTCTGATAGGCATCACCAATAAATCGTTGAGGTCTCTTCGGATCAATCATTACTCACAGCAAAGTATAAGTTTAATCCTGCACTGCTTCAAGTTCAGTAAAAGGGTGTGGCTTGCGACCGGTCCCGTTCTGTTCCTAAATACAGAAGACGTCAAAAGCACACCCTTCCTCTGTACCACCCAGCATGAAGTCCTCCCAGCCCATTGAGCTCCAATCGAATGGCCTCCAGCGCTCCATCATACTTACTGCCCCGCCTGCCTTTTTTATTTATTTTTAAAGTCAAATTTATAGTCTATCGGGGCGAGGCCCCATGTCAGACTTTACAACTAAGTAGACTACCTATAGGCCCCTAGTGCCTTGATTCCTGACCCCCTAGGACCACCTCTTGCACTGGAGAGGGCACGCCCATGGCGATCATTCCCCCTCCCAGCCCGGCACGAAAACGCCGTTTAGAGGTGCGTCCTGTTTGGCGGGCGGGGTAGTCTCGTTATCTGCTTAACTATGCAGTCCGGCCATTTGGTGTTTCGTCTTCTAAGTACCCGATCGCAAAGCGACAGGCACAGCCGGATGGGACGAGCGTTTACAGGAATGGGAAGAAGACGAGTGTGGTTGCTATCGTCTGTTATCGTAAAATGAACATTTGTGTGCTGGCAAAGTGAATCTTGAGCTTGAGTCCGCGGGCTGAAAAGCGGGTAAGAGATAAGAGGGGGTTTTGTGGGCGAACCCGCTGGCCGACGGGCCAACTTGTCTGTTGGGGAGCTTGTGCCTTCAACGTGTTTACCTAGAGAGCTGTGCTATCCGTCAACCTTCCTCGGACTCTAAGTGGGCTACGTCACCTAGAGCGTCCCCGAGGCTTTTCTTGAACCTTGCCGTTCTTCCTACATACTTGAGTAGCTCCTTGATGTGGTCCAGACTCGCCAGGATCGCTTGAAGATCCCTTGAGTGGCGCCCTAACACCCTATCCATGTCGTAACGTTCCCCTGCGTATTCCTGGCACTCGAATAGGAAGTGAACTATCGTCTCCGGGATCTCCTGCCTCCTCCTTCTCCAGCACGCGTCGCAATGCCTGGTGACCGACTTTGTGATGCGGTAGAGGTAGCAGTTAAGGGGCACGTGTCCTGTCCGTAGCTGCATCAGCAAACTGGCCTGAGACCTCGACAGTCTGTCACTGATCTGGCGATATTTGTTGAATGGGAAGTTCGGGTCGATGTGCTGGAATCTTGCGAATCGTGGCGAACTCTGCCATTCCTCCTTCCATCTTACCTTGAGCCCTTCCCTGTGTTCTTGTTTCACGGCCGCCGCGCTATATGGCAGACGCTTGCGCAGGATTACAGTCCATTGTCCGAGCCTTCGTCGTCGCAGGCTCACCCGTCGCAGGTTCCGCCATCTCAGCCAGCTCTGCCTTTGCAGCCTCTGCCGAGCCAGGCTCCGCCGTCCCAACCCTCATTTGCCCATTCCACAAATCATCCGCTTTCCGATGCGGAAAGAGGAGAGCGGTACCGTCAAGAACGTTCGTATCTTGATTCCTTTCTATTTCGACCTGTGAACACTGAAACACGCCTAGTCTTTGCCCAGTGTGCGGACGGCAAACATGACCTAACGACAAAGTTTGGCCCCTGTGGAATCATCACTGCAATTGTCAGTACTTGCAATTGTTCTTTATGTCGAAAGCATCCTTACTGTAGTATTATAGCTTTGTTTTCCCATAGGATTGATTTGCCTATGGTGAGTACAACGCAGCATATTCGTATTTTGTCGCTTGACCAGCTCTTAGGACGGACAGCGAAAGAAGGTGTTTACGTTGTGGGGTTGCAGTGCAATGATGATGCCCTCCGATCTCTAGTCTGATTGGTGACCGCTATTTGCGTTAATATAAAAGATGAAGAATGAGCACACTGTACTTTCAGTGGGGCAGACCGCAGTGTGCCTCTACAGGAAGGGATGGAGGTTTTTTGCTCAGCAATCAGTGAAACCAGTTTTATACTATATTGACCAAAGCTGAGCAATAGGCGACAGTTTCCGTAAATAGACTACCAAATTTGCGTTTTTGAGGGAACGAGGATGTCGCCAAGATACTGTAGAGAAGTAGAAGTCCGAGTCAAGTCCGAGTCGAGCGTGAAAGTTGCTTGAAATGAAATTTGAAGTGACTGTCACACATTCCACTCTCCTCAACCTCAGTTTCAACCACTGGCTATAAATGTCGTCGCCATTGAAGCATCTGTAAACCACGACGGATACATCTCTGGAGCGAACAATGGATTAGGTGGCAGATGGTGAATCTGATGAATCACAATAGTCTGCGGCAGCCCGAGACGTGACATCGTGATATAGTTCCATATTTCCCCCTCTCTTTTTGCTAATTACCAATGCCTCTCTAGAAAATCGCCAACGCCGCGCACTCACCTCATTGAAGCCAGTGGCACCTTTCGTACCTGTGTCCCGGGAGGTGAAAACACGCTCAAAAGCCGTGTTGTTGGTGTTGCAGGCGTTGCTTTTCAAAACCGTGAATGACTGGGACAGCCTTCATCAGAATCACAATGCTCTTTTTGGCTCAGTCCCGTCGGTCGGCGTAAATTTGGATCATTATCCTCTCGGTCACAGTACTAACAATTCTTCTCTAGTACTTCGATACGAGCAATGTAATCGAATCATCCCGATGAAGTCGGAGCTAGTGATGAACTTTCTGGTCTTTTTCCAGTTCTTTCCTGCCTTACCGTCATAAAGTTCATCAATCTGAGTGTGATAGGCTACGCTCTCATGTTCCTCTACTTGTGGCCTCCAGGGGTTGCCACTACCATCATCAATAGGACGAGCTCGGCGACTCTGTGACTGGCCTTCGACCGGTTTACTTCCCGGCGGAGAACGTATGGGACGACCAAACGTGTGGCAGTAACAAGTGCACCCTTGTACCCTCTGTAGCCCAGGCATTCAATGCGACATATACTGCGGGGACACACCGCCCCACGATGGGCACAATGGGAATCAGCATGCAGTTTACTGGTGTGTTTGGATATATATTTGTTTCGACATCCTGACTGATGTCTATTAGGAACTGCGATTTATGTATTTTTTATTCTTGCAAATTCCCACCTGTCAGATGGCACCGAAACTCTTACCAGCGCGAACTTCACTGTTGATGGCGAGGCTCCAGTATTCTTCACAAGTACACCTGGTCTATCAGCTGCTGAATTCCAATACAATGCGTTGGTTCTTTCTCAAACCAACCTCTCGAATACTCTCCATACACTAAACATCACTACCACGGGTCCTGTAACCCTATACGTCAACTTCGATTACGCAATCTACACGTAAGCCCAATTACTGAATTTATCCTGGTTTCTGGTTTTTACTATCACTACCTTTCGCCCAGATAGAGGATGATGTTCCTTTGTCGCCATCTGTGACGACGTTGTCCCCCTCCGTGACGACGTTGTCGCCATCCGTGAGGTCTACGTCTCAAGAATCGTCACCCAGCCATGCAGCGAGTACAGCACCAGCTACTGCGAGGACTCAAGTAGGGGCCATTGTTGGGGCCACAGCAGGTGGCATAGTGGCGTTGATCCTTGTAATCTTCCTTTTGGTCTGTTGGGATCGTCGCGGCAGGGGATAGGTGCCTCTGATAACAAAATTCAATGCTACCGAAAGTGTTTCGTGGGTATTATCCCCTGGAACGCTATCTACCCAATTCACAAACCGTTCAACAGCCTCCCAGGCAGCCATACCCCAGTTATCAAATGACACTCGCAATCGCAACTCTGGTTATCCCGCTAATGGAGGTGGGGTGCTACCCGAGTGGTATCCACGACCAAGATTGGCGCCAGTTACAAAAAATTCAACTTCAAACACTAGACCAAATATTGGAACACATAGACTGGAGGAATCCTTCCGCATACGACAAGAGGAGCTCGACAATCGTTTGAGGACGGTACAGCGGGAGATGCTAGAGCATCAGGCGTTGAGCGCAGGTTCTACGTTGTCAGCGGATGACGGGGAATTACGTCGATGCCTGTTATGAAAGAGGCTATTCGGTCATTGACGGAACAAATCCGCGTTTCGAGGCATTAACAGCTATCGGCATTGGCCCAGGGAATATCAGATGATCGTCCGCCGGGATATTCGCCTATGGAGATGAGGATGCAGCATTCGGAGTTGGGGGACGTTTGAGTGTTGGGCCCTGATCTGACCGTCGTCTTTTTGGTATTTATCATGAACATTTGTTCGCCTTGGAGTAATCGGCAACAGAGCTATATCTTCAGGGTGGTTTTCGACGTCATAATCAAAGGCGCGAGTGGGGATGCGAACGATTGGAGTCCTAATGAAAACATTAAAAGCAAAAATCGGATTTATGTTGGATGAGACGTCACGGCAATGATGTGATCTGAACCCTATACACTTGGTCTCAATGTCACTGTTCCAATCTGCGCACCTTAATTCATCTTGCCTGAGTTAAGGAGCTTTACATACTACTTAGTACTCCAAGTCAATTATTGAAGACGAAAGTTGCATGACTATAGATGACCATGTGACCGTGACAAACCGTCTCTTGCGGTCAACGCGAGTAGCGGTCTCAACGCCATGGGCAGTCCCGCGCGAAACCTAATCCAGCAGCTCATTTTCGGAGGCCCTGACACTTCAGATGTTGAGGATATTGAGGAAACCATCGACGCGTTGGACGCTGAGCGACCTCAGACCGGAAATTGGCCTTCAGTTTATGTGGTAGTGTTGCAAGGTCTGTTGTTTCCATAGTTTCTTTGAGTGTGATCTTATGAGTTGCATATTTATTCTAGAAACGATCAACACGGTTTTCGAGCACGAGAAACACCTACTCACGGAGTACGAGTTGGATGCTATCGCGAGATGGGATTTTCTGTCATGTTCGTCTCTACATTGGTTGTTTTACTTAATTTGATGAGGGGGACTCTAGATTTTGGCCAGTATTGTCTAGCTCGCCTGCTCAATCGTAAGGCCAACCGATGGCATACCCTGGCGTCGTTAGACACCTACCATAAAGAGGTTGGTGGTGAAGAGGGTGTCAAGAAATGCATTGCTGGCATATGTGTTCCTTTCAAAGACATGGTCAAGACAGAATCTGATTCAGGACTGAATATCGAGCAAAAACCTGAGTTTAAGGTTGAAGAGGACAGCAACTTTATCGACTTGACCCTTCTGTCTGATGACGAGGAAGTCAAACCTGTCATCATGTTGGATGACGAGCCACCTTACGACGCCTTTCAGACGAACGCAGAAGCAGGCCCGTTGACGCTACCGCCGACAGTAGAGGAAGACTCTGCGCAAAGAATTTTGAATTCGAATCCCGCTCAGCTGAATCTCGACTTCTTCTGCGAGGACGAGAGTAAGATGACTCTCCCCGAAATTTTGGATCTGCTGCGTAAAGATCGTCTAATGTATCTCGTCAGGCAGACGAAGTGTCCTGTCAACTCCAAGACCACCGTGAGTTACCCGTTTGCCAAGTTCTCGTGGACGATGAATTATGAAGGTTTCTAGAAATCCGTCGTTATCCAGGCGCTTTTGACCCACGCATCCACTCAGAGTGTTCTCGACTTTGACGCACACACGTCTCGTAAGGGGAAAGGCAAAGTTACAAAGGATGGCCTTCGTCAAACTACGCTATCGTTCGCCCCATCACGAAAACAAGAGAAAAGGCCCAAAGGCTCTCAGTTGGACAGATTGCGTGCCATGGCCCTCAAATTACTTGGTATATCCTTCCACATCTCTCATTCACACCTATGCTCATCTCACTTCAGGAAAGTGTGTTCGAGTCAACTATGACTTCTTCCGCCTCGTTCGTAGGCTGCACGTTATCTACTTTCGGAGCAGCGACCACCCAATTGGCACGCTCCTCCTCCCAGCTATCCTCACCCGGTTCAAGAAACGCACGTACGCAGATTACACTCCGAAACGCAATAAGTGCATATGGTCTTCCAGGGAAGAGTTACTTGAGTATGAGCAGGCTTTGGAGCTTCGCATGGTGCTGGATGAGGCCGTGAACCCGACACCGCCTAAGAGTCGTTGGGGACGGAAAAAGACGAAGACTCCTGCGCCTGTTAAGAAGGAGAAGTTCGTCACGCCCGTTCCTGGGAGACCTGGGACTGCTCCTTTGAAGACTCCAAGGAGTTGTGCCAGCGTGCGCTTCGCTGAAACTCCTGATGTGAAGCACGAGGATGGAGAGGTAGTTGCTGACGACGTTGAGGAGGAAGCGCAAGAAGAAGTGGTTATTACGGAGGATGAGAAAGTGCTGAAAGCGAGGGCTGTGAAGAAGTATTACGAAGATTGGTTGAAGGACAGGTGGTATGGTTATCTTGCGGTAAAGCAAGAGCCAGGGCTCCAGCCCAGGGTGCCTGCGCTGGAGCGGTTTGAACCGGGTACGAACCTATTGATGCTTTCGTTCCTGTCTCATTTCATTAACGCCTTTATAGGTTGGGTATTTACCTCCATGGTCTACAAAGTTGCTAAAGCGCTCGCGACTTTGAAGGAATACACCTTGGAAGAGGAGGTTCTTGATGCCCTCTTGGCACAGCGGGTCTGGCGGAGAGGGAAGCGAGCTGCTTGGTACGATCGACGTGCCCTCATCCAAACAAACTATCTGTGCAAAGGGGACCCGGAGGAGCTATCTAATGGAAAGAGCAGGGCTACCGTCGATGAACGTGTTCTTCAACGGGCTGTGCATGGTCTTCATGATGCTCTCAAGGACGACGATGTCGGGCTAGGTACGAGCTTTTTTTGATATTCTCAACACCAGCCTGAATTGACAATTGTTGCTGGACAGTTTATAGACCAGGTTTCGTCAGGCGGCTTCAGAAGCTCGAGAAAAGGTTGAAGATCGAGCCTGACCTATGTATACACGTTACAGGGACATTAAGAATTGCGGAAGTAGTCGAGTTTGCCGCAAGAAGATGTATCAAGTCTTTGAAGGTCGACTCGAATGGCAGGCCCGTCAACGAAAGGGAGAACACGTCTGTAGGTGTGGATTCGTACTTTACATCTGTTGGAGGGTGCAAGAAGGCGGAGGCGGAGAAAGTTGCTGTGGGTGTTCTTGAGTCTCTTGTTGATGTCCGGTGAAGCTGACTTTGACAAAGCCAAAGGAGAAATGGAAGCCTACTGGCAAATCCGTTTGGGAGGGCAGGGAAAAGGAGCAGGTCACTGTTGAGACGCGAGCCCTTCAGTATTACGAGGACATGGGCTTCAAAGGGTCTGTTTTGTTGTAATCATTGCCTGTTTGTCGTTTTTCTGATGAATCTCTTCAACAGGTTCCATTCTGAAACGCGCATATTGACAACCATCTTCGCCCTCCTCTTTTGGGACATGATCTTCGCCGATATTCCGGGGGCGTTCGAAACTCCCTATCAGTCCGCACCAATGGATTTGACGGAAGACTCGTTTTACTATGCACGGAAGGAGATGATCGAACAACGTCTAAGTGAGCTTCGTGAGGGTAAAGCACGGGAGATTTTGGAAAGACATGATGACAAGTATCGGGCGAAGGAGACTTGGTGTGTTGGTGTTCGGTGGGATCTGTGTCCGAAGCAGGATCTCGTGGAGATTGTTGAGGTGAGTTTTACAAGATCGCTGTTGAGGGCAGGGACTGACGTTGGGGTTAGTGTCTCGGTGGCGAGTCTCTAGCTATCGTTTGTCGACTCTTCTGCGACGACTATGGTGGCCGAAGTAGTGGCGTGCCAGACTTGATCGTTTGGAAGGACGGGTTATGCAAGTTTGTTGAGGTTAAAGGACCTGGGGATAGGCTGCAGGAAAACCAAAAGGTAGACTCCTTAGTGCCTCTTCTATCACATGCGGCTAAATTCCCTCTTTCGAAGCTTTGGTCTGATACTCTTCTTCGTGCCAATACCGAAGTCGAGGTGTGCAAAGTTCTTGATGCTGCAAAACCCGTGAAGAGCACTCCGAAACGGAAGCGAAAGTCCAAAACGCCAGCCTCCACTAGTAAATCTAAACGACGCAAGGCTGTCGCGGATACATATTCCGAGGATGAACAGGATTACGATCAACTGGATCGTCATCCCAAGTCTGAGGAAGAGGATGTGTTGCCGCACTATGACGATGAACCTCCGCCAAAGAAACGCAGACGCACGGTGGGTTATGAACGGGAAATGGAAGTGGATGAACCGCCGTTGTTCGCGTTTCCGTCGACCGCTACTCCTCCGACGTCGCCTCCGAGGCTTTCGCCGAAATCGAGGGCGATACCCGTGAACCATGCTTCGGAAGTTGAGGTTGTTGCTTAATGTCTTGATTGGAAGTTTGAAGGGTGTTGCTTTCGGTCTTCAACTACTTTATTCTATATCTATTCCACGTGCAGCTTTCGGATATGTTGTACAGATATATGTGTTGTATGTTAGAACTTAGAAGTGTAGGATGTAAATTTAAAGTTGATCAATGATTGTCTTGTGTTTATTGTGGTACTCATCTGAGACTCCACCTCCAACTCCCATCATACGTACCACATGTGGACTTTTTTCGGGAGTGCCTTGGGAGCGGCGCCCGGGCGAACTCGGCCACGCCAACGACAACGTTTTTTTGAGGTAAAAAAACATGTCGCAAGTTCGACACGAAAGGCTTGGGCGACTTCAAACTTCGAACGTTCATGTTTACTGTGGTGATCGTTTCTAAGTTATCAACGCTATGCTGACTCGGTAAACAATCAGAGGAATGATCTGCATCCTCTTGCGGAGGACACCGCCAATTTACCCTGAGGCTGACATGATTTTGATCCGATTCAACTCCTGCCGCCGGGCATGCTCACGCACACCCCCAAAAGAGCGCCAACCAGAAGCTCGGGTCTGTGTCCTTTGATCTCAGCGCTGCCCATGCTATCATCTACGCCGTCTTCTTGACCGACTTTCACGACGTCGATATTCATGTCCACCTCCACTGGGTCAAAATCCGTCCTTGCAGATTGGTACGCTCGCTTCGTAGCATTCAAGGTCGAGGATCTCTTTTCCAAGAAACGTGTTCCTGGCCCAGCACGAACTGTGTTCGTGAATGAACAACTCCCTGATGACTATATCAATCATAAACAGAAAGTTAAACCGGAGCATGTCTATACCACCAACCAGGTTATCACCTCAAAATATACCCTCATCACGTTTCTACCCAGGAATCTACTAGAACAGTTTCGACGGATTGCAAACATGTACGTCTATCGTCTTAGATCTTGACCAGCGTAACAAACTCACTTGGTTACAGATACTTCCTTTTTATCTCCATTTTACAATTTTTCCGACCCTTCTCCACCATTTCTCCTGGTGTCGTCCTGTTGCCCCTATTGGTTATCCTCGCACTTACAGCGATCAAGGATGGATATGAGGATATTAAGCGGCATCAGGCAGATAGAAGGGTCAACTACAGCACTGTCCGGGTTTTATCAGGGGGTTGGGTAAACCCGAACATAACGGTCAAGAAACACACCAGTCTCCTGCGACATTTACTACCACATCAATATAGCGCTGCTGGCTTACTTTTACCGCGTAAACGAGCCTCGAAGCAGAGGTCCGACGTCGACAACGAAGTCCGACCCCGTCACGACCCTGAAGTCGAGTTCGACTACGATTTGGGCGAGGAATCAAGTGAAGAGCTGGACAGGCCACATTGGAAACCAACGTTATCGGAAGACGTGCGTGTGGGTGATTTTGTGAAGATTCTGGATAATGAGGCCTTCCCCGCCGACATCCTGATATGCGCGACTTCAGAGGACGACAACGTCGCGTTTGTGGAGACCAAGAACTTGGATGGAGAGACCAACTTGAAGTCTAGGCATGCCGTGCAGGCGCTCACTGAGCTGCGCAATGCCAAGGAATGTGCGAATCCGGACAACGCATTCCACATTAGATGTGATAGGCCAGAGGTCGATATGTACAGGCTCAACGCGACGGTGTCCATCAATGGCGATGAATACCCTGTGGATTCGACGATGACCCTTCTTCGTGGTACTGTTCTGAGGAATACGGGTTGGGTCATAGGCATCGTGCTGTTCACGGGGTTGGACACCAAGATTGTTTTGAATTCTGGAGGGACCCCAAGTAAGCAGAGTAAAGTGGAAAGGCAGATGAATCCCCAAGTGTGCGTTTCCTATTAACCTTATTTTTTAATTATCCAGCATTCTAATTTTAGTTAGAATCATCAATTTGTGCATTTTGGCGCTGATGGCTGTTGTATGTGCGATTGCCGACTCTTCCCTCGAGAAGCATTACTTTCCTTTGGGCGCGCCTTGGCTGTACGGGGACGATCATAAGGATGACAACCCGCGGATGAACGGATTGATAACCTGGACCTACTCACTTCTCACGTACGTGGCCCTTCTCCCCCTCTTCGTCTGCCGTCCTAAGAAGCATCTAGCTTTCAAGCCGTCGTTCCTATATCCCTATACATCTCCATCGAGTTTGTGAGGACATGTCAGGCTGCCTTCATACACCTTGACGCGGACATCTGGTGCGAGAAAACCGACCAAGCTACGATTGCGAGGAGTTGGAATCTATCAGATGATCTCGGTCAAATCGAGTATATTTTCTCGGATAAGACTGGTACTTTGACCCAGGTACAACACGTCTTACTCTCGCCTACACTGTCATCTTACTCCTTGACGCTAGAACTCCATGGTTTTCCGTCGCTGCACTATCGGAGGACACGCCTACAGAGGTGACGACCCCGAAGCGATCCCCAATGAGAAAAACGAAAGTCCTCCTCGATTCACTGAAAACCTTCCCGTCGAGGATTCAGAGGAGATCACTCACTTCAAGGACTCCGTTCTCACTCGTGACCTCGAAGACGCAGTCTCCGCAGACCCAAACACCGAATACGCACCTCACGCACGGAACCTCAACGCCTTTTTCACCGTTCTCGCCCTCTGCCATACCGTATTAACCGGCGTAGACCCTATAACAGGCAAGATCGAATACAAGGCCCAGTCGCCTGACGAAGCTGCTTTAGTTCAAGCAGCAGCCGATGTGGGATTCGTGTTCCTCGGACGCGATCGAGAGACGATGTCACTCCGGACTCCGTCCTCAACCGAGGTGGAAAAGTACGAGTTGCTCAACATTCTTGAGTTTACTAGTTCCAGGAAACGGATGAGCGTGGTCTTGCGAAAGATGGGTGATGAGCTTGGGAGGTTGTTTTTGTTGACCAAGGGTGCGGATAATGTGATTTTTGAACGGTTGAAGCCCGGGGCGGAGGAATTGAAGGAGGAGACGGAGAAGCATTTGAGCGAGTTTGCGAATGAGGGGTTGAGGACTTTGACTTTGGCTTACAAGGTTATATCTGGTACGTAAGAACCGCTCATACATGCCATCAGAATTTGACGGGTATATATGTTACAGAGGACGAATACGCATCGTGGAATGAACGCTACCACGAAGCTACCGTCTCCCAAGGCGACCGCGAAGGACGCGTTGAAGCTGTCTCGAATGAGCTGGAGCAGGATCTACGTCTGTTGGGCGCCACAGCTATTGAAGACCGCTTGCAAGATGGTGTGCCCGAGACGATTGCGGATCTCAAAAGAGCCGGGATTAAGATTTGGGTGGCTACCGGTGATAAACTCGAAACAGCCATTGGTGAGGTCTTTTCTCCCCGTCCACCCTCTTTCGAACCAAGGCTGACTAGAGAGGGATTATTAGCCATCGGACGAAGCACGAACCTCGTCAGCCCCGACTCGAACATTATCATTGTTCGAGGAGGTAAACGACCCGTGCATGAGCAGATGCTTATGTCGATAGGGCAGTTCTTCCCGGAGGTTGAGGCTGAGCTGCCTAGTCGTGTTAATGAAATACCGAGACGGTCCACGTCATCACACGATTCTGAGCGGCGGATCCCACTGCAGCGTATCAACACGGGTATCTCTTCCATTGTGGGATCGACGAATGGAGATCGGCCGGGTGGGTTCGTGTTAGTTGTTGATGGGGCTGCGTTGCTTCAGGTTGGTTTGGTTCTTTCTTCCTAAATTACGGTTACTGATTTTACGAATGAAAAAGGTGTTCGCAGAGGAAGAAAGTAAAGCCCTGTTACTCAAGCTCGCTATGCTCTGCGAGGGTGTGATATGCTGTCGAGTATCACCACTACAAAAAGCTCTCGTTGTCAAGCTTGTAAAGGATGGACTTGGGACGATGACGTTGGCGATTGGGGATGGGGCTAATGATGTTAGTATGATTCAGGTTGGTGTTTCGTTGTTTCTTTGAAACTTAGGGATGTTGATGTTGATTGTGGGAATGATAGGCTGCTGATATTGGTGTGGGCATTGCGGGGCAGGAAGGGTTGCAGGCTGTTAATTCGTCGGATTATGCTATTGCTCAAGTACGCTCTGTTTCCCCCCTGCTTTTTCTTTTTAGGGGAAAAGCTGATGGATGGCATTAGTTTCGGTTTTTGAAGAAACTGTTATTGGTTCATGGGCATTGGTCTTACGCCCGGAATGGAACTATGTTCGTCCTTCCTTTCAATCTTTACTTATACTGTGAACACGGAATCTAATGACCGAGCGCAGGATAATGAACTTTTTTTATAAAAATATCGTTCCGGTTGGGGTTCTCTGGTGGTTCCAGATATATGCTGGATGGAGTGGAACTTTGTGAGCTCCCTGTTCATCCCGCAATTTATGTATCTGACCGTCCGTATCGTTTGAAGTGTTATGGATTATACATATATCCTCTTTTGGAATTCCGTTTGGACGATCGCTCCTGTTATTGGGATTGGGTTGTTTGACCGGGTGCTTGGTGCGTCCAGAGTCCTCCCAGCGACGGACATGATGCTGACACTCGGATAGATTCACATATATTGATGGAGTTACCTGAAGTCTATCATTATGGACGGAGGGGGACTTGGTTCGGGTTGACGTCGTTTTTTATCTATATGCTTGATGGAGTCGTTCAGGTGAGCTTTTATCTTTATTGTCGTTGATCTTTCAAGGTTGACGTGCGTTGATAGTCTGTTATCATTTATTTCATAATCGTGTATGCATACAAGGCACCGACGATGCGGAAGGACGGGTATGGGACTTATTTGTATGAATGGTCGACGGTAGGTGTACCACCTGTTCCCCGTACACCATGATTCTGATACCCCACGTCATGTAGACAATGGCCATTGCGTCTGTCATGGTATCCAACATCTTCACAGGGTTCAGCGCAACGGCATGGACAGTTTGGCTCTTCTTCGCAGTGTTCATAGGGATCATCATCGTCTGGGTCTACACCGTACGTGCTCCTGCCACCTCTCCGTTTCCCCTTTCTACCCTTACTAACTCCCTCCTCCTCAAAAGGCAATCTACTCCATCGTCTCACCAAGCTACTCTGTAACCCACCTCTTCGGAAACGACCACTTCCTCTTCCAATCCGCCTCATTCTGGTTCTGCATTCTTCTAACGCTCTTCGCCTCCCTCGCCCCTCGGTACTTGTACAAGGCGTGGAAGTTTACGTATCGCCCGGATGATATTGATATGCTCAGGTGGATCCAGAGACTGGATAAGCATACTGATTTCTCAAAGTATTCGTCGGTGGGGGGGAGTAAGGCTCCCGAGTTGGTGGCGCTGATCAGGGGAGGGGGGACTTCGAGGACTTCGAGGGCTTCGAGTCTTGTTTCTGCGGCGGCTGCCGATAGAGAGAGGCCTGGGATGGGATTGGGACAGAGGGAGGGGGGGAGTAAGCGGGACATGTCGACGGGCCTTGTGTCGGTTGATAGGGGCTTTGATTTTGCGGTTGAGGAGAGGGGTGTGCATATGAGGAGGGTCCAAACGAATTTGTCCGAGAAGAGGGCTAGTATGAGGAGTTTGGGTGTTGGTGGGAGCGGAAGTGGGGAGGGTGCGAGGGAGAAGGGCAAGGACAGTGGGAGAGAGAAGGGGAAGGAAGGAGGGTTTGGTTCGTTTGGGAGGAGGTTGAAGAGGTTGAGGAAGGTTTCTAGTGGGAATTTGAAGGGACATGGACATAAGGACTGACGAACTTTGGTATACCCGAACGACAGTATGATACACTTGCTAATATGCTACGCTGCCATCTTCCATCATGTTCAGTCACCAAAAATCAGTCGAGGTCTTATTGATCGAGGGAGACTAGTCAAGGTGTGCAACTCAGCCAACTGTACGAAAACTGAAACTAGCGGAGGGATGTTTGTACCGCAATTGTCGGCTAGTCGGATGCATCTTCCTCTTTCGAGTCTACATTGGGCGGCTCAGGCTCGTCGAGGAATATCTTCGGTGTGCGTCTGGCGGAAGACTTGTTTCCGTAGCTATCAATTTCATCAGGTTGCATCACGTCGTCGGCTGTAGTCCATCCGCAACATGGCTGTGTGGTTCCTACTTACATAAATAGGTAAAGAGGCCCTCCCAGAACATATCCTTGAACCTGCCTCGAGAAACGACATGTCCACCGCACTGAACCTAAACGTTCTCTCCATAGGAGGATCACGCAACATCGGGTACTTTTCCTCGCTCAAGCTTCTTGGTAGCCCTTTACCTCTTTCTCTTCCCTTTACTCCTTCTTTCCTCTGACAACCTCCGAACCACAGAACTAGGAGCAACAGTAACCTTCCTCCTGCGCACCCCATCCACATTCGACACCAACACCGCCATCCAGAAATACGTCACCTCCGGAACAGCTCGCTTGATCAAAGGCGACGCCCTTGTTCGCGAAGACGTCGAGCGAGCGTGGAAAGAGGCAGCAGGTAAGGAGAATAAGCCTATCGATGTGCTCTTATTCACTGTCGGTACGTACGCTCTCTCCTCCCCAATTTCATTGTCCAACGAAACTAATCAAACCACCCCTTTCCATTTTTCATTTACTACAAAGGCGGCACGCCCAAATTCTCACTGCTCAACGGCTTCACCATATCCCCAGCGAACCTCGTAACCCAATCCCTCCTCAACACCCTCTCAACCATCCCTCCTCAACCCTTCCAACCACGAATAATAACAATTTCATCAACAGGCCTAACACGCACATCTCACGCGTCCCTCCCGCTCCCCTTGAAGCCGTTATACGGATACCTCCTCCGCGTCCCTCATGAGGATAAAGTAGGCGCGGAGAGGGTCGTGGCGCATTGTGCTGGGTGGAAGTGGGATGCTAAAGAGGACGGAGAGCCGGGGGCTGATATTATGGGTACGGAGGAGTGGAGGGGCAGAGAGGGTCTGCCTAAGGAGGGAGAGTTGAAGAGGGTATTGGTTATTAGACCGGCGTTGTTAACTGACGGAGATTGTCTTGCTGACAAGTTGGAGGCGAAGCCGGGGAAATGTGGGAAGAAGGAATTGAAGAAGGCGTATAGAGTCAGCGAGGAAGAGTTGGGCGGGTGGACGGTGTCGAGGAAGGATGTGGCGCATTTCGTGGTGGATGCTATTGTTCATCGGTGGGATGAGTTTGAGAATAAGTGTGTGAGCATCGCGTATTAGCTGCAAGTTGTACTCCGTAACGTTGTTATACCCGAACGAAAGTAATTGACTCAAAGCGTTGACGGCAAATGCCCTTTCATTCCGTCGGAACCTGGATCCTACGATTGAGGAATCCATAGCTGTGCGCGTTAGGTTCTGGCCTGGGGTTACACCAGCCTATATACAGTCGTGCCTTTCCATAACAGAACCTCGTGGAAACTTAGTTATTTCAACAGAAGTACGACGGCTTCTGTGATGACGGTAATAAACAGGAACCGGGTGTTCAACGGGAGATGGGATACGGTAATTGCTTGTACTATGCACGGGGATTGAGGTGGTTGGGTGGAGTTATGCGTAGTGACTTGTGGAATGTTTGGAATAAGGGTCACGTAGTGGCAGCTTCAAGCAAGGGCTCGGCTCAGATACATATTCAAACTTGAGCCGCCACCTAGCACGGTCGGCCATCGACGAAAGGTTATCGAGCAGCTCTGAGCTTCAATGGAAAAGAATGACCAAGCAATCCATGGGATTGCTGTGAGGTTTGCCTGCGACCACTGGTAAAGAGGAGATATTGAATTCACGAGTCCAGTCCTGGTGGTATCTCCGATGCAGGAGGGGCTGCAAGTGGCCGAGTTGTGCAAGTCACGGTTACTGGGAAAGATGGAGCGATCACTGAAATCAAGGGAGCTGGGGACCGGGGTATGCACTGGTGTTGTGGAACCAGAACCTGAGTAACGAAGGATGGCGAGGGAGCAGCCTGTGGCAAGGGTGTCAACTTACCAAAGGAGACTCAGTGACCATTATCCCCGCTCTCCAGCTCTCCAGCTCACGCTCCTGACTGAAAGACGCATATTCTAGTAGCGTGGCTTGTGAAGCTTTTCTTAAGAGCACTAGCGCCTTCGGGCTGGATGTCGTCAAAGATGCCAGCCACGTCACTGCAATGGAAGGGACGTTGTCGACTTGTATACAGGGATACTCACTGTAAACTTGGACAAACGAAGTTTGCTCTGTCCTATGCATAAGCTGAGAGCGTGATCAGGTCGTAGTTCCAGGAGTCGGATCAGCTTGATGATCTTTTTAGTCACGAACGGATAGACCAACTTCTATCAACTCGGTGTTGGAGAAAAAAAGAACGTTCGAGCTGCGATCCTCATCCGTACGTTCCCGAGGGCCAGCGGTGCATCGCGTTGAATCTGAAAATGACATGTAAATCCTGCAAGTGCAAAGGGGCTGAGTCGATGTTGCGGGCTCAAAACCAATTGAGATGCTGATGTAGACCGCTCAGTGATCATTCGATCTTTCAGTAGTCCTAATGACATACCTCAGCCAAGTCCTTGGTTCCCTCTCTCCGTCTTTCTTCTGATGGATTAGATGTTGTTGAACTGGCAGGGTGCAAGGACGCTAGTGGACCCAATTGCAGGGGTTGGAACTGGGAAGGGTCGTCAGCAAACTGAAAGGTGATCAAGAAAAAAAATGGTGGGAGTGCGGAGAAATGAAGAGCTATAAAGTCTTTTGCAACGACCAACGGTGACCAGAAAAAGCAGAGGGAAATGCAAAATCAAGAAAAGGACGGAGTTACTCAAATCCACGCTCTGCCTTATCTTTGCGACCACGGCGAGAGCTCTGCACTCGGCTTTTGATTCCCAAAGTCACAATAAAACCCGACTGCTTTTTTAACATACACACGATATTGGGAGAGGAAGGTGCTATCGGGCATTCAGGTCATCGTTGGTGGCCGATTAGGGTTGGGCGCGTTGGGTAGTCGTCGCGAACATTTTCTGTGGCGATTCGAAGGCGTCTCTTAGTTGTTTGGCGAAGTAAAGCCGGAATGGTCCAAGCAAGAACTTTCACACGCGTCTTGCTCCGAACTTCCATCTTATCATCATTTCCAATGCCTAACCAACCCAAAGAACGTTCATCCAAACTAATCAATTCTGATAGGCTCAAGAGGATGATACCGAAATTCCTCTTGAAAGCCCCGACCGCAAACAGGGAAAGCGTCGAGTCGGTTGGTGCTTCACCGGCGCTAAACTTGACGACCACATCTGCAACCATCCGCACACCCGATACTGAAATGACTGCCACCCGTAAGATTTTTTTTCACTTTTCTTTATTTGAGTCAATGTTGATTCGTCATATAAATAATGTGTCTGTTGATCGGGTTGAAGACCATTTGCATTATTCTCAAGAAGCTGTTGAGCGCTTACAGGAACCTGCAGGTTCGTGTTCAGCCAAAATCACGATACTCTACTGCTGATAGCACCAATAAAGCTTCTGTCAGCTCTGGCCCTGCCAATACCCCACCCATTCCTCTTGTACCAGATGTGGCAGTGGCATCAACCAGTAAATACTATTCTAAAATTTCAGACCTGCTCAAAGCTGACAGACTATGCAGACTTCTCAACAAGTCTCCAAGTTGGCACCATGAACAATATTGAGAATGCTGCGAATGTAAGCACAGCTGGTAATCAAGGTTTGTTTATTCTGTTCAGTCTCTGTTTAGATTGTTTTCATGTTTTCACCTGTAATTTAGGTGTTCTCTTTCAAACTGTCAATCAAGGTATGTTATACATACATTGATAGTATGTATTGAGCTCAATCACACCAATACTTGGTAGTGGTAGACTTAGGTATGAAAACGACACTTTCTACAATTAAGAATAAACAACTGGGTATCTTAAGCATCAATTCTAGGTGATCATTACAGCTGATCCAGTTTTATTTTACAGCTGAGAAGATCTGCCAATGGTTGTCTCCACCTGATAGCTCTGGCAACTATAATGCAGCATGTGAAATTTTGAAGAGTCAGACTGATACTTGCTCCTGGTTTTTGAAAGGAGATAAATTCTCCCAGTGGCTGGCAAATCCAAGTTTTCTCTGGATTAAAGGGAAAAGTAAGTCATCCAGTAAATTGATTTGAATTGGGCTGTCTCTTAACCAACTTAAAGGTGGTTGTGGTAAAACTATATTGAGGTAGGTCCTACTATGGACCATAAGAATTGAGCTGACATTTATCAGTTCTGCCATTATTAATTATCTCCTTGAAACACCAGCATCTCTTGCAACTGCTTACTTCTTTTTTGATGGGAGAGACTCACAGAAAGATCTGCAGCTGCATGATAAGCTGATTCGATCACTCATCTGGCAATTCTGTCTCAAACTGCAGGATGCTATGCCAGAAGTTTTAGTTAATCTATATGCTCGCTGTGGTGAAGGGTTCCAGATGCCATCTACTGGCTCTCTTCAGGATACTCTTGAGAAAATTCTGGATGGCTTCAGCTCAGTGTTCATTGTCCTTGATGCTTATGATGAATGCACTGAAAGAGAAAAGGTGCTCAACTGGGCTAAGAGTTTTATCTTGCAGAAGAATAAAAATCTGGGACTACATCTAATTATTACTAGCCGGCCAGAAAAGGAGATTGATGATAAATTTAAGGCCTATCCTTGTGTTGACTTGGTTGAAGAATCCAAAGGTTGTGATATTGTGGCCTACCTCAACTATCAGCTTGATCAGGACTCAGACTTGCGAGAATGGGACTCAGAGACTCAAAAGGAAATCAGATCAACATTGATAAAGCAAGCAGATGGAATGTATGTTTTCTGCTACTATCTAAAAGATAAAATTCAGGGCTAAATTCAGTTTTAGGTTTCGGTGGGTTGCACTACAGCTCACTGAGCTCAAACATTGTGCAAGTAAGAATGAAGTTAAGAAGCAGCTGGCCAACCTACCTCAGGGTTTGGATGAAACATATGACCGAATCTTACTGGGAATAAAGAAACAATATAGGAATCATACCAAGATTTTTTTGTGCTGGTTATCTTTTGCTGCTCGCCCAATGACACTGGAAGAACTTGCTGCTACTGCTACTGTAGATCTTACTGGTAAGGATGGCCCACAATATAAACCAGACAACCAATTTCAAGATGTACAGAAGGTTTTGACAATGTGCTCTAGCTTGGTTATCAAATCAAAAGGTATGATATACAAGAGTACTCAACTAAAAATTGCACTAAACATCAAGTAGGTGCAATTAAGCTTGCACACTTTTCTATCAAAGAATATTTGACATCACAGCATATTCAAAAGCATGTTGAAGAGCAAGTAAGAAACTTTAGCCTCAGTGAAGAGCTCTCTCACTCCATAATATCTCAAACTTGTCTGGCTTATGTGCTGCAATTTGATACAGCTAACTTGCTGAATTGGAATATCCATATATCTTCTCCACTTGCAATGTATGCAGCCAAGCACTGGATTTTCCATGTCAAGTCCAGTGGCAAAAATCAACCCTGGTCATCAACTGTTTTTTCATTGATGGCACAGCTCCTGACAACTGAAAATGCTGCCTTTTTTAATTGGGTCCGACTTTGGGATCTAGATAAATTAGGGTTTGATAAAACATTTTTGGAAAAGAGAAGACAAGATATTGCTGGGCCTCTGTATTATGCAATTCGAGCTGGCCTGACTGAAATGGTATACTTTTTACTAAAACAGGGGGCAGATGTGAACACACAGAAAGGATACTATGGGAATGCACTGCAGGCAGCATCTCGTGAAGGTGATGAGAAAACTGTTCAGCTGTTGATAGAACAGGGGGCAAATGTGCATATTCAGGGAGGATTGTCTGGAAATGCACTTCAAGCAGCATCATTTGCAGGTTATGAGATAATTGTAAGCCTGCTGATAGAGCATGGAGTGGATGTCAATGCATGTGGAGGAATCTTGGAAGTGCACTCCAGGCAGCATCTTATGGAGGTCATAAGAAAATTGTTCGCTTGTTGATAGAAAAGGGGGCAAATGTGCATTTCCAGGGAGGATGTTATGGAAATGCACTTCAAGCAGCATCATATGCAGGTCATGAAGACAATTGTAAGCCTGCTGATAGAGCATGGAGTGGATGTTAATGCACATGGGGGGGAATTTGGAAGTGCACTGAGGCAGCATCTCATGGAGGTCATAAGAAAATTGTTCAGCTGTTGATAGAAAAGGGGGCAAATGTGCATTTTCAGGGAGGATGTTATGG